CCCCGAAACGAACCATGTCTCGAGAGCTGGGGGATTGCGATGATGATGACGATGATGATGAGGCAGCGAGTATCTGGCGGATGCGATGTGCCAAGAGTGCCAAGTGCTAACGATTTGGCAATGGCCAGAGACATTGTCCCTCGTCTTTGGATCTGTGGATCCGTCTGTCTGTCAGCCAGTCCAAGTGTCCCTAACCCAGCGCTGGCTAAATGTTTTTGCAGCTTTTGATTCCTAGAGATGGTGACGTGAACGTGGGAAACGGCACTCCTCCTACAATATGGCATAATCCACACTCATAAATCATAACTTAGCCCAGTTTATGGACACCAATAAACTTGTCAAATATTCCACTAAGCGCGGGGGTTTTATGTTAAACAAATTAAATATGCAAATAGTTGGACATATTTTATATTTGCTTTTAATTTCCACACACACAAATACAACAAAAAATTTCTCAAAAAATGTATATATGTATCTCTCCTCTTGCTCTGATTTTTTAGACCTTCCCTTCGCTTTATCTATGTCGGGCGATTAATTGTTGTTATAAATAAGCATTAACTGGTGTGGCACAACGCAAATAAATTTCAATTTGTTGGCAAACGTGATTCGGAGTGGGGGATAAAAAAGAAAAAAAATAGAAGAGAAAGGGAATCTTAAGGATGACCAAGTCACGTGCGCATCTCTAGGACCTGGCCGCGAATTGTGGACGCTTACAGGTTTCGTTGCCTTTTCTTTTATTTCCATACCCTTGCGGAGGGTGTTAGAGGTTTTGGTGGGATTTTTGCAAGGCAACAAATACAAGTTGGGAGTGCCACAGAAATCTTTAGCGATTTGAAAGCACTTATATAGCATGCTAAAATCGGTTTAAAATATATTGTTGCATACTCTTAGACACATTACTATGTGATTTCCAGACCTTTCTAATCAGAAGAAAATAGAAAAATTCCTTCCCATATTACATTTTCATTTGTTAGATAGATCAGTCATAAGCTCTTATTAAACCTATATCAAAATCATCATAAATGATGATTAACATCAAAAAAGAGAGTATCCCATCTCCGACTTGACAAAACCAGCTTGCCGATTTCTTATTTTATTTTTTGGCTCCGATTTTTTTTGCCTGACTTTGGCTGACCAAAGGCATCAGACTCTGGCTAAAAAATCCAGCTCCAGCTTCAGCAACAGACTCTCGGGGAACGTCGAACGATTGGCATGCCAAGTGGAGTCAAGAGGATGGGAGGGAGGAGGTAGGTAGGTAGGGAGGGGTGATCCAATGGATGCTGGGAGTCGGGGTACTAGCCTCTGACATCGACCGACACTCCACGCTGAATTGCGAATGGAGCGTTGCCTACATTGTAACTTGTTGTAGCTCCAACAAATACAACCTCGTACACTGTTAGTATAAATTCTCGCCTTTCATTTTGGCGAGTAGTCACGATTTATGCGAAATCATTATAGGCAAGTATTTCTTTTTCATTTTACGACGTTTTATCTGCAGGAAGAAGACACTACAATATATATATATATATATACATTTATATATATATATATATAGTGTACACTATAATTGCAGTCGTGTCAATTAAATACATAGATTGCAGCATGTCGATAAGACATTAACCTTCCCTCGCTGATCGCTCTTTCTCTTCTTACCTGTTTTTTTTAACTCAATCTTATTAGTTGTGACTTGAGCTTTTTGTTTTCGGTTTTTCTTGGTTACTTTTTTCTTAGCCTTTTACAAAATGGCAGGTCATTTCACTTAGCCAAAAGTGAGGGAGGCTGAAAGAGATGGCTAGGGTCTTCTTCCTTACTTCTTTCTGGTTTTGCCTTTGCCTTTGCCTTTTTGGTGAGTGAATTTATGAAGACATGAAATGACTTTGATGTTTTTGCTGCTGCTGCTGCTGCAACTATGCGAAGATGTTTCCCACTGGAACCACCCCCGACCATGACTTGCAAAGAAAATTTTCAACATTTTTGTAATTGACAAAATGGTTTTGTGTTTGCGTTAGGCCCTCGCCCTGGCCTTTACTGCGCCTGCCGCTAATCAAATCTGCTGAAACATTTGTATAATTTGAATGTCTAGCCAACTAGCAATTTCAATTAAACTCGCTTAACTGTGGGAATTTCTGTATCTGTATCTGTAGTATCTGTATCTGTATCTGGGCATCTTAAACTGCTCCCAATTAATTGGCTGCGTAGTTGAAATTCCCTGCGATAAAAGCGATTAATTGGAGCGCTTCCTGCTGACCAACTTTTGTTGATTGTTGGACCCAACACCTGCTGCAGTCCCAAAGACTTTCACTACGCACGGCTAACCCTAATTCCCTCAGAAAAACCCCAAAAAGACACATCGAAGACGAGAGAGAGAAAAAAACCAACCAAAACACTTGGCACCCAGCCGTGAGGTTTGGGGGCGTGGCAGGGGGCGCAGCCATCGGAGTGTGTAATCAACACTTTTATGTGATCCCCAATCCAATTCACAACTAATTACCAAAGCATCGAATGGAATAGGAATTGGAATTGGCCTAGGCATCGGCATCGGTATCGGCATTCGACAGTCGACATCCGACATGAAAATGTTGAAGGGATTGGGATTGAGGTGGAGGGCATTTGGATTTCGATTGGGCATGGAAATGGAAATGAAATTGGGTGGCTCTCGCAATTAACACTGGCATTAAAATCAGCCCAGAGAATCCGATTCCAATTATTTATTACACTTTTTTTTAGTGCTGCCTTTTATGTGGCTGCTTCTGCTGCTATGCTGCTGCTGCTGTTGCCCACCCTGTGCAGTTTGTTTAAACAAAATCAATCTAAATCGATTGCACTACATTCGGAAAATAAAGACGTAAATCAATGGGCAGACGGAGGAGGGCCTGACCAGCGGGTATAAGCAGAACCAGAGATTAAAGGGCCCTTGGCGTGGCGATAACAAAGTGGTTTGTCCGCTGGAAATTAAAGCAAGCTGCGCAAAGTGAAGGTGCCGCGGGCAATGCCACCAAAGGAGGCAAGTACATGTGAGTACAGTAAGTACAGTGGAATTTAGAGGGTATGGAAAGGTATATATAGGATGGTAAAGGAGCACTTTTTAAATCGCTTTGTAATAACTCAAAACTAATAATAGTATAACTATCTATTGACCTTCATTTACAATATAATTAGTAACAGGAAATTTGGGTGGAATACCCTATTAAGTTTATAGGGAGGGAATGAAGTACCTTGACAACATTGAAATAGTTAGGGATAAGGTTAAGGTCCTAGTATAAAAAAATATTCAAATAACCTTTTGGTGTGTACAGTAAAGTACACTGAAAGGGAGGAATACATTTGCGTCACTTCTCATACTTTTTATAAAGGCGGGCATGCCAGGATATGAGGGTAAAGTTCTTAATTTATTCAGCCTTAAAAAAGACATCCATTACCAAGAAAAAACAAAGATTGACAGAAAGTTAAGAATATCGATCAAAAAGCTTTTTATGGCAGTAAATAACAAAGGCCGTTGAACGTTAAACCAGAAAGTTAAATATAAGGTAATACCTCAAAAACACTTCTGGCATTCCTTACGATAATGTCATATTGAATTTGCCTCCGCCCACACTTTTCACAGGATATCGTTTAGTCGTGGCTCCCGCCGATCCCTGGCTCCCCTCTTCAAGTGTTTATTTACACTTGTCTTATGTCTTATTTCTTGTTTGAAGTCTTCGGTACGTTTTTCTTCTCTCTTTATTTTTTTTGTTTTAAGTAAGCGATTAGTGGCGGGAGACAATGAAAATTTGTCACTTGACAAGACAAAAACAAAACGATTTCCATTTGCCCGACGACAAATGAGACATAAGGCAGGCATAAGTGGATCCCAATTCTGCCCCTTAATGCCAATGTATTGGAAGTAACAGCCAAATCAACAAAACAATCGTCTTGAGAGGACCTATGGTGTGGGACGGTATGGTATCGTATAGTACGTTATGGTGTGGGAAGCCCGCACACACACACTTACGCAGACACACTCGATGATTGTTATTAGTACATTTGCTGTGGAGTATATCTAATTTGCCATTGATGTGTGCATTAAGTTTGTACTGGGCGGCATAGGAATTGTCGTAAAACATTAGTGTCCCCCGAGATTAGAGCGAATGTAGGAAGATAGGCAGAGATGTAAGAGAGGCGGCGGCGGAAAAAGGCTGGCTCATCGCCCTTTTATTTGACATTGGGCAATATTTATTGCGAACTCATTTCAATGCAGGCCGAAACTAGCAGGAAAAGCTGACAGCCAAGGATATACAGTGGAGCTTTTATGGAAGAAACCATTTGCCCTAGAAAAATGTTAATTTCAATGTGGCTTTTATTAGGATAATAAAGATTTTATATTCATTATTATGTTTCTCAGCTCCTTTTTGAATTCGATGAAAATATATTGAATAATATTAATTTAAAAGATGATTTTATAACACGAATTTATGCTTTCAATATTTTATGTTAAACAGACAACTGAATATTAATAGTGAATAATAATTAATTCATGAAACCCTTATGACTCATTTAAGTTCCTTTTAGCAAGTTTGGACTGTATAAGGATAGAGCAGGCGACAAGCTACGCAATTCGTACAAAGCGGAATGGCAAAATACGCCATCAAAATAAATAAAAACAGGACAGAACGAACGGAACTGAGCGAAGGCGAAAAAACAAATTCGGTAGCACAGCATTCGGGGCTATTGTGAGGAAAAGAGATGGTACGATGGCGAGGGAGGGTTATACCGTTACAACGGTAACGTCCCACCCAAAGTGTAATGAAATCCTTTGTGTGCGTGCGCTGTGCGTGTGTGCCAGTGTGTGTACGTTTTGTTTGTCAACTTTGGCGAGGCGGGACATAAAAATGCTAATACAAAACACTAGAGCAAATTGCGGCAAAATAAGTTTGCCAGTGTGTTGTGTGCGAGTGCAGAACTTAACACCAGCAAACAACTAACTTTGCTCGCTGGATCGCAACATCGTAAAGGACACTTACCGTTTTTAATCAGGCGAAAAACACCGCTAATCCAAATTCGTAACACCCACACAGACAAAGAATTACAGCACTAACACAAAGACACTAATTTCGGCACTTTGCAGAAGAAGAAAAACCTCTGTTGCCGCAAATTTAAATTCGACTTTTGCGACTTTTGTGGATTCGATTCGTTACGATTCGCGCAGACAAACGAAATTCAGGAATTTCAAGTGGAAATCTCGTTTGAGCACTTTTCGACCTGCGACTTGCGAAGCAAAAAGCGGCGCGGCAGAAAACTTTGGCCTTAACTTCGCTTTTAAAATGGCTTAATGCAAATATCAGCTTTAAAGCAATTCGCGCTTCTAATTGCCAATAAACAAGTCTTTGTTGTTTTTTTTTGTTTGGCTAAACTTTTCCAATTGCGAATTGTTAGCTTCACTCTTTAATTTGTTTGACGCTCGACGCGACGCGTTTGAAAATGATGCGTGCGTCCGCTCACTTCCGATGCCGTTCGAAGTTTTTTTTTTCTGTTTTGATGGTTCTTCAGTGTTACCAGATGATGAAGTGGGTTTAAACTCAAAATGCTTGTGAGCAATCATAAATTTACTAAAAAATCCTGTAAAGTTCAGCGCGCAAAAAATTTCAAATGAAGTTAAATATATATTTTTAATAATTATTGACCTTATTTCTAAATTAGTTTTTGTAAAATTATCTTTTCTAATTTTGTATTTTGTTAACTTAGTTTGTAATTTGTATTTTACATTGGTTATAATATTGGCATACCACTTAAAAATACATTTATTTTTAAAATTAACATACAGTTATTTAGAAATCTAAGTTTATATTTCGAGGATACCTAGAATAATACAATTATGATTCATGTTTAAAATTTAGCTAAGACTCAAACCAGCAAACTGGTTCATTTCGATATAGTTGCCAGATCTTCAAAATCCCTACCGCCAGTACGTGCCAATTTAAAAATTCCCCAGATTAACTTTTTTGCAGGCAAAAACCTATGCAACATTGCAAGTCACAAAAGAAAACATAGGGAAATTGCGTGCATTTTAATCAAAATACGCACTAACTTCCCGAACCGCCTCATTATGCGCCTTTGTTGGCTATGCCCTTCTGGACTTCCGCTTTATTTTTCACTTTTTTGACCGGTCACGTTTATTAATCGGCTTAGGACTTACTACGTTTTCCTTTAAATAGATGGCCCTCGACTAGAGGGCACGTAGACCTCCCATTGTTGGGATAATTTAAAGGGCAACTGCGTCGACAGGCCCTATCCCTAAGCCTAAAATATGGAACGAAAGCAGGGTGGGTCGATCGACTGGCGAGACCGGTTATAGGGATCAAGAAAGAGCTCACACTTGGGAATACCAACTAGTTGTTTTCATTATTATTCGCATAACTACAAAGTAATATTCGTATTTAGATAACTAGCGCTAATCAAGTCTAAAAAAGCAAGCGGATATGTGGATCGCATAAGAGTTACGCTATGTACGGTACGATATTAGTCAGTTAAATCACAGATGTATTATTTTGCGCGCACTCCTCCGCTTGTCCAGCCTCCAGTTCGAGCTCTAGCTCCACGCCGGGCGTTCTATCTGGTGGCTCGGCGTTAAGAACAAGATTTTCTATGGAACGGAACGAGGCGTCCTCCAAATGGGTGGACATGGCGGCGGTTGGGGGTCGGGGCAGGGTGCTGGCAGTGCCCACATGCCCACCTCCCTGCGACTGGCGGTGTCGCACCGAGGAGCGCAGTATGGTCACCACATCCTCCGCCGTATATGGGCGCCTCTCTAGTGTCGAAGCCCCTGAGCGATGCAGTTTTCTGCCCAGCGATTGCGAGCGTTGAGCGTAGCCAGCGGGACGCTGACCAATTTCAATGGACTCGGGACTGCTGCTGGATGCAGCCGAAGGATCTGCATTGGAGCTACTGCCAGCTGGGTTGGTCAGTATGGTAAGGTAATCAGGCGGTGCCGCCGGCGATGCGGACTCTGCATCGAGGGAGAGCACAGGGCGAGTGCGACTTGAGTCCCCAAGAACTCTGTTGTTGGATAGGTCAACATTAATTCTGGGTTTCATTAAAAGATTTGGTTTTATACCTGCGAACGCTACGGCGAATGCTCTGACGAAGAAGCTTGGCAAGGCGGGCTCCAGTGGCCGTGGTGTAGGACGGAGGTGGTGTGTACTTTGGCGGAGCATCGTTTTGGGCATCGTGCGGGGTACCATCAGATGTCTGACCCACAGCATTGCGACGACCTTGACCCGCACTTTGACGAGCAGAGGGACGACGAGGCTCTTCTCCATCCTCTGGCGGTCGATAAAGCAGCTGTATGCGCTAATTAAATTATAGAAAGATACAAGTAAGTTCTTAGTATAAACCGTAATAGAAACGGTATGTAGTAACTTACCTCCAAGATATCCGAAGGACCATGCGCCAGATACCGGTAGATCTGAATTATAGCAGTCACAGGAATTACCAATAGAACTCCAATCTGAATAAGGCTGCCCATCTTCCTGGACCAATATGTAAAGTACGACTTGCCACGCCAATAGTAAAATTGATTCGACAAAGAGGCCTTGTAGTCTACGACAGACAACGTAATCAAGCCAATGGGCAGCAAAACGTTCCACGACAAAGCCAGGAAAGCTGACATGGAACCACAAAGCCGAAGGTCATTCACCAAATCATCTCCGTTGTATGGACGTCCTCGTATCAGAAATACACCAAAGATTTGAGCGGTCCAGATGATCGGAATAAACCAGGAGCCCCCAAGTAGAAAGTCTACATAGTATAGGATCCCAATTCCCATCTCGGTGGCAAATGGGATACTTAATAGCAGTCCAGTAACACAGCTGAGCAAAACCGAACTCGTGGAATTTCCTAAGGCACTTGAGATGGGTTTCCACATCACGCACAGCTGCGCTAGACCAAATCCCGCAAAGGTTCCAAAAGCAACTGCGGCCCACACCCACGAAATACTATCGCTGGCCAATGAGAGTACGGCCGGAAAGATTTCCGATATGAATCGCAAAGCCTGGAAGCCACTTTCTACATGAATCATGGTCCTGTTTCTTCTGTAGGTCTCTCCAATGAATGAGGAGTAATGCGGAATCAGCGATCGCGGATAGGAAAGCAGATAAGGGTTGGTGTTCGATTGCAGGGAATAAATTGAAGTGTAGCAATCAGGATTTTCTATAAACGAGAGGGTTATAAGATTAGTTTTCAGTTTTTTTTAAAAGTGTAAAAAACTTACCAAATGATCCTGGCACATAAACGTATCCATGTTGCCACAGAATTTGAGCACAACACAAAGCTAGTAAGGCCATTAAACCTAATCCGATCAGGGTAAACAAGACGAGAAGAATAGCATCTCTTCTCAGTGCCGCCTTGTTCGCATTGGCGTGGCTCCGGCTGGTAATGGCGATTACAGAGGCCCCTAAGAGGCCCCAGGTAAGGAAGGTCTCCTGTGTAGCAGCCGTCCAGCTATTTGAATTTACGAGAAAATCGTCAAAATCGCTGGCCGCAAATATGTTCTAAAAAAATTATGATATATATATTAGTTTGTTTTTAATCTATTTTTTCGTTTAGATCTTCAGTGCTCACCTGTATCCTGCTGGGGTCCACGACATAGACAAACTTGGCGGTCACCGCCGCAAGAGCCACCAACGACAGAGTGTAGATAATGTAAGCTAACTTGCCTAAGGATTTCAGGCCCTTGCAGAGGATGAGGAACACGGCCGCCCAGATGAGGGCCAGATAGAAGGCCAGCTGCTGAAGGACGTGGTAGTGAGTCAGTTAGATAAGAAGCGGGATCGAGGGGATGGAGGAACTTACCCGATCGTTGACATGGAAACGGATTCCGCTTACATCAGGATGCTTTGCCAGATGCAATCGCTGCAGCACTACCACGTTAAAGTACTCGGCCACTGTTTGCGTGAGATTTCCGGTTGCATTTGAGGCATCATATCGATAGGGAAATGCCATTTCCTGCCAGCGATATCCACTCCGCGATGCTGTCGGGAACACATCCCTTAGATAGACTAAAATCCAGGCAAGTGATACCGTGGAATACAAGGCAAGGAAACATTGTTCCATCACTAATGCTATACCCACTCCTGCACAAATCGGACTGATCTTCCACATTGAAACCGGACCAGCTCGAATTTTAGCTCCTAGGCACATCTGAAGCCATAGCAGTGGGATTCCGAAAATCACTGAGAGCAAGAGAAATTGCAGAAGAAAGTTGCCACCAAAATTAATAGTTAGCACGGCAAATCGGCACATATTAAAGACTCCTAAAGTACATCCAATTAGCGCCAGAGTGCGACTGCCAGAGTGTGGCCACTGGCTGTTGAAGCCGCACTTCTCGCGCAGAAGCAATTGGAGTTGGTGTAGGGGTTCCAGGGGCGTGGTGCTACTGGCACTGCACATTGTCGTGGTCTGCACCGGATCCTGTTCCTGTTCAGCAGAGCTGCTTCCACTGCTGCTGCTATCTGAGGGCAGGGATACAGGACTGGGCATTCGTGATGAACGCGCCGAACTCAATTCCGAGCAGGTGGACATAATGGGGTGCGTGGGTGTCTCCTGTATCTGAGGTTCTCTCATCTGTACACGCGTGGGAGCACTCTGCGGTCGACTCTGGGCTAGAATCAAGCTGCGAACTGGTGTGGGAGGTCCTTCCAAGCGGCGACCATATTGCCGGGGTCGCGGTTCCTCGCTTGAAGCCCTTGCGGACGTCTGTAGCAGGTTGTCAAAGATGTGCGCGTCGGTGAGCATCTGTGATCCGTCTGAAGTTCCAGCTGAAGTCTGACAGTCGCCTTGAGAGAAACAACGACGAATCTCAGCCTCCCGTCTGGGTGGGAGCTCTACCAATAAGGTAGGCACATCGTCTTCCTCTCTTTCCCTTTCAGCTGTAACTTTGGTTTTATCCTGCTCTTGCTCCATAGCCCGACGCAAGGATTGACGCCTCCAAACGTCCATTACGGGTTCTGTGGCTGCCTCCAGTGATGCAGTAGAAGAAGCTAAAAAGAAGAGATGATTAGTTGGCCTATGACAATAATAATAATAGTTTATAAAGAATACTGACCTGTCTGGCTTGTGGGCCTCAGCGAGCAGCTAAAGGTCTTCCTTATTTGATGCTCCCTTTGAAAATCTCCAGAAACATCTTGATCTTCGCTTTTCTTTTTATTGGACTTCTTTTTCCTACTTAAGGGTAGAGTTCGAGTTCTGGGTTCTCTTTTTAAGCTGGAGTTGCGGCCCATAATGATCAGGGATTCTTCGCGGCTCAGCGCATTATCCATCTCCTCCAGGTAGTTGTCCAGGTCCATGAGGTAATCCTCCACCTTATCATCATCGCTGCCTGAATTCATGGATGAGCTTGAGCAAGTGCCATTCAGTTGAGAGACATCATGCACATCCAGAATGGCATCCAGTTCGCTAAGCACACATAGGGCTTCGTCCGTTTCAGCAGCTTGTTTAATGGGCGTGCTCAATGGCGCCTGCTGCATCTCCTGGCTACCGCAAAAGGCACTTCTTTCGTCTCCAAGGTCATCTCCTAATCTGAAGCTAATAGGCTGTAGCTGAAGAGGTTGTTTAGCCTGCTGGTGAAAGGATTGCGGCGTCTGCTGGATCTCAATGAGGTCCTCGTCGCTCAACTCGTCGTCGTAATAGGCACACGCCTGTCGTATCGATTCGCTGGAGAGACTGTTCGATAATCCATACTGTTCCTGCTCCAATTGTTGTTTTCTACTGCGCGCTTTGCCCGCTGTTCCCGTTCCTAACCCCGCTCCCGAGGGTGCTACTCCTGATCCTGATGGCGGCAGACTGGCGTAGGCGTTCGAATTGCGTTTAAAATCCCGGCCTAATGCATGCTGCTCCTTACTGCTCATCTTGGTGCATTGCCGGGTGTCACAGCTGATTAGTCCTTCCGGCAGGGTTAAAAAGCTCTAGTTTCGTTCCTGCGCAGAATAACAATTAGTGTTGGTTAATATCCATTTTTTCAAATGGGAACAAAAGTAAATTTAATTAACAAACTGCTTAGCCAAAAAAGAGAAAATTAAGTAGAATCGCGTAAAAGTGGCCATTAACTTATTTTCTCTTAGTTTTCATAATTTCTTAGTAAGATGAAACTTACTAACTAACTCTAGATAGACTAACCAGTGGTGATTAGCTTATATGCTTGTATTAAGAACTAAATAACAAACTTAAAAGGTGAACAATCCAACCGGAAAAGGTAAGTGTAAAACATTTTGAAGGTGAAAGTTTCAAAAATGTGAAATGGCAACTAATAATGCGATTAATTAGAGAAATAACCTATGCAGTATATTTATTTATCATAGTTTACCGACGTCTTTTATGGCTTAACTTTATGAGTTTGCAGATCGAAAGAGCAAGTCTAACGTCATTATGATTCATTAAGAGAGCTGAATTGATTTATAAAGACTTAATAAAGATAGTTATATAGGAACAACACGTTTATGATTAAATACTTTTGGATAAAAACATTTGCAAAAATGCTTTCAGAATGCTTTTTAATGAAGTCATGTAGAACATTTCAAAAGAGAAAGTTGGTCAATAAGAAACGAACATCCTGGTAAACCCTTTTCGTAAAGTTTGACTCACTCAGAAATTTCTGCATGGTGACTAATTCAGTAATGACTAATCATTTTCTTAAGCTAATTAATTGACATGAATTTTCCAATTTAGTTTCTTTTGTTTTTTAGACCACTAACAATAGCCAGTAGCCATTTGTTCTGGCTATAAAAGCTAACTAACCAACTTGTACTAAATTAAACAAGTTATTTAGCTGAAAGCATACAATTTAATAACCGAAGCGAAAGACGATAATTAGCGAACAAGAATTCCAATAAAAATGTGCTAATAAAAAAATTTAAGACAATGAAAAGAAGATTCTTCGGCATCAAGCAAAGATTAAGCTCAAATGGAATACAAATTAGTCGAAATCAAATTATTTTTATGAGTAATCCAACCTTCTCGTGTAGCTCAAAGCTATAAAACATTTAATTGCGTGTATTACCAGCGATAAGAGCTGCTCTAATTTAAAATACAGATTACGTCAAATCAAAACTGCTGTTGTTTTTTCGGGAAATCCAAGGTTCATTTACAGATTAAAGTGGAATCACTTTCGTACTAATTCAAAACCAAGATAAACGTTTCTTTCTAAGCCACAAATCAAATCAGAACCACCGATTGCGACAGGTCAGTGGCGAGATCACAATATCACTATGCATTATATGCAAAAATGCAATCAAATGCAAACAAGCGCGTGCTCTTACGTTTTTACGGATGTTTGCACGTGAGTGAATAGCGTCCGCCAATAAAAAAAATAAATATATGAAATATGAAAAGCCAACAACAGCTGCTGTCAAATGGCAGAGAAATAATATGAAAAAAGTTTTAATAATAAATAAAAGTGAGCAAAGCAAAAAAAAAGTAGAAAAGAGCAGAGCGCATGTTCATTCAACTTATCAGGTGAATGTACTTCCGTTAATAACTTTTTAAAGCACGATATAAACAATCAGTCGGAAAGGGAGTGCTGGAGTCTAGGCCTTAAAGGGGGAGATCGTTGGCACGTTACCTCGATTCAAGTCAAAATTGTTTTATTGCCCTGTTTCTGTTTATTTGTATTATATACCCTTCAACAGAGTATAACCATTTTAAAGGATTTACCTATATTCTTTCTCCTTACATAAAACGAAATTGTAAAGTTTTAGTAAAGTAACCCATTAGGTTGAAGAAACCGAAAAGTATCTGAAATAAAATATGAAACTGTATAACTACTTTCTATAGTAGGCCAATATTTTTAATTATATTGAAAACATATAAGCTATTGGTATAGTTTCCATAGGGACCAGGAATGAAGCTTGTTTATGAACTTTTCCTTTAATCATTTTTTAGAAAACTTCTTAGGTTTTCCTATTAAACGACTTTTAAAAGGTTTTAGGGTATATGCAATACGACTTGGTCAAGTTCTCTTAACATTTTTCTGCGATCTCACTGAATCACAGAAGTCTTAAACACGGGGTCTGGTTTTGTTTTATATTATTTTGCATACGCTTAGCCGTGACCTTCGGCGCCGCCATAAAATCTCCGAAACCTGTCTTGCACTTCTTTGCTTTATGATAATATATGTACATGCGGAGTATATAGTATGGTATAGTAGTAATAGAATGGGCAGCATCCACACATTAATTGCTGGCCCAGAGGTCAGATTATTTAGCGAAACAGCGCCATTGATCGCAAATTCACATACATATATATGTACATATATATCCACACACATGCATATATAGTTACATATATACAAACGTATAGCGACCACGTACCGTTAAATTTCGCTGTCGTTTTCTCGCATTTCTCACATTTTCGCACCGCACAAAAGTAAACAAAACAATTAGAGCTGCCGCATCCAAGTGCAACTCACAATCAATCGGCAACTCTGGCCATCTGACCTTCGCCAAATGTCGAAAATGGCAACACCCAGGTGCACTAATCACCAAACATCGCTGCTGGCCAACTTGTTTTCCTTTTCTATCTGTACAGAGTGTGCAATTACAATGAAATTGACATTCACCAAACAAATAAAACAAGTTAATGCTGCCACGCACATACATACACACACATTTAAACTGGGGAGCTGGCTCTATCGTGCGTGAGTTGTACATATGTATGTGTAATTGTGTTGGTGAGCGACTAGGGTTGCAACTTATGCTGATCGCGAGATGCGGGCTTTTCAACGGTTAAATCTGCTATGCAAGCAGGTGTTCCATCCCTCGTACAGTGGGAGCTAGATAAGACAAACTGCAACAGTCCAAATTTAAAATCCTAATCCTAAAGGTAATGACTTAACTGAATTTTAAATGAAGTTTTATATTTTTTTGTTTTTGCTATCACTTACAAAGTAGCACTGTTATTTTGCCTAAATGGGCTTAATGAACTTCAAACGCTGTTCTTATTATGACTAAAATTATGCCTTGTTTTAAATTTATTGCCTTTTTATATTAATAAACGCCAAAAAAAAACTAATTATTATTTGCAGTAAAATAATTATAATTTCAATTTATTTTTACAAGCAATCGTTTAATCGCCTTATATTTAATGATTTTTTCTTAACATTGTGTCAATGGAATTGCAATAAGTTTAAAAAGAGCTAACAATTAGCCATGACTTGACAATTTTAAGGTTTAGCAACTATTATCTTTAGAACTGCCCATTTTCACTGTACTTAAGCTATTAACTATTCAGCAATTATTAGAATTAACTTTCTATTTTTCTTAGCACATGCTGACTGAATGAAACTTTAGATTTCCATAGCTTCAGTTCACTATAAGCTTCACTATAATACTTCCCAGAATTGAGCTTTAATTTATGTTAGCTTATGCTCACTGTACTTAAGCTATCTACTCTTGTAAAACATCAAACGTAAGGATCGGCACGTTTTTATGTGAGTTTTCCCAGATAGCTGATAAAAAGGTGAAGCGAGTAAAAGGGGGTGCGGTATTCATTTCCCCCTCTTTTGCGCTTATGAGTAATACAGTCAATAAAGTCCCGACAGACTGCAACTGCGCCTTCAATTGAGTTCAATATTTAAGGGAAGCACTGGGTCAATTGCAAAACAAACGATGGCGCACATGTTTGTATATATACACATGGATATAGAAATTCTGAGCACATTCGCAATCCAGAGATAGCGGGATTTTGTTATTTTTTTTTTTATTTTTGCATTCTCCTCTGGCAGGCGGAAGAAAGAGAACGGTAAAGAGTCCGCCCTGCTTTTGTTTTTGCTTCTTTTTTTTTTTTTTTTTTTCGCTGTTGAAATTGTGTGTATTTGCAAAACATTGGCAACACATACACAGAAGCGCACAGCTTATCCAGAGTTTTAAATGAATAACTGTTGAAAATGAAATAAAAAAACGCTGATTGGGCTTTTGCGGTTCGCTGGGGAATACCTTAATGGGTGGATTGGTCATTCTAGTGGTAGGTAAATTGAAAGGGGGGCGGGGTAGCTCACAGCTGTTTCCAGCGACTGACCCGAAAAGAAAATGGAATAAACGTAAGCGAGTATGCGCAGCACGCTCAACAAACGAAATTTTGGTGTGTATTTTGTGGGTAGAAGCGAGATTGAGATTTCCAGATACGTGTCGCGCTCTCTTTTCCTCCTCGCTATCTCCTTCCATCCCTCTTCCAACCTGAGCGTGTGTGTGCGTGCGTCGCTTTGTTTCTCACCGTACAAAAAGTGTTTTTCAAAGAAGATTCCAAAATGAAAAGGTAACAAGCTGGAAGGGGTTGGGGCGGGAAATGGTCACCGCTTGCCACACTGCACTCTCTGTCCCGCTCACACCCGCCCACAGTTTGTAAAATGCAGCAGAAGCACACAAGCACACACACTTGCACTACATTCTTTTTTGACACGCAGAATACTCACACGAGCGCGCGTTTGTTAATTTTAATATTCCCCGTAACTTTGGTTTTGTTCTTTTAATTTTCTTAATTTTTTCCTCACTATGTTATGCACTGCTTGGCGCGATGAAGCTTCTGCGTTTTTCGCGACCAGAGCTACATTGGGGCTCGCCTTGGAGCAGCGCACACGACTTCACGCGGAGAGCAGAAAACGATTGCTTGGTTACCAATATTTTGGTACTTTTGCACAGAGCTGTCAAAACATCGATGTAACTATCGATAGTATCGATAGTTTAATGACGGGCAGGACTATCGACCGCCAACGAATATCGAGATTGCCCTTTTTTATAATAGACTGATTCCATCGTCACATAATATCACAAACAAGAGAACAAATCGACTTCAGAAAACTTGGCGGTTCTTTTAAATTTATTTATTTATTTTTAAATATTTTTCAAATTTCGCACCGTTTAACTGGCAGAAATATTTTAAGATATGTTTTTTTTTTAAATATATTAAATATTGAAAACATAAGAACCAACTTGTATAATTTAAAAAAATGTAAAACAACATAAAGATTTTAAATATGTCTCATGTACTTAATCACGCGTAATCCCAACAAATATAATTGAATAATTCAGATAAATGGATATAACATATACATTTTTCTTGTTCATACTTTCACTTTGCCCTATCCAAAAATTAAGATAAATAATAAAAAACGCACTTCTTGTGATACCATAGCAATACAGTCATCATATTTTCCCCACCAATTAACAAAAGTCACGTTTAACATTTACATATACATATATTCGTATTTTGCGGTTGCATTTTGCATATAGTTGTGTGTAGACCTTACTATCAGCGGCTTATAAACATGATCAACAAAAATACATATACATATGTGTTAATAAGAGTATGATAACAAGAAATAAGTGATCTGCGGTCGTGCCGAAGCATTGATACCCTTTTCAGTGTGAAATAGAGAGCTGTCTATCAATATAAAGTCCTTTTAGAGCTTATGTCGGGTCTAAAAGGTTTTCGCTTGGACACAAGACGATAGTTAGTAACGACAACTTACAACAGTAGCTAGGGTAAAAACAAATAGCTGCAGTTGGCCAAGTACTTAGTAGACAATAAAAGGTATTTCATTAGGTAATCACCGGATTATTTGAACTTCTCTGTAGTAGTTTGTGTGGGTGCAATCAATCATTACGCTTAACAACTAGCTGATAAACTCGGTAAGGTGTGGAAATCCGATTCATGACAGAAACGTGCGAACAAATCCCTTAATATCGGCGCGGCACATTGGACAATTTACAACGCTAGGGGCGCACTGATTGCAGGTAGCTATCAGGATAGCAACAGATAAATTAATTATATATGGGAGTGTACTTTATCGACTTACCCAAATGACCGCAAGGCAGAAAAACTACGCCAACCTCCTCGTCCAAGCACACCTTGCAGAGGCGTGCATCCTTTAACTGACGATTTTCCTCCTCCAATGACAGGTTGCCATTTGGTGTGGACACTGACAGCTTTTCTAGCTGGTCCGTGATCTTGGACGTTTCAGCAACTGGAGGTGCCTGCGGTTTGGCTGGGATGGAATCGCACACCCATGGTGGCACCGTTGCCGCCTTGCTAGTGGTAGCCTGGCATGTATCCAGAAATGGCGCACTCGGTTCGGGTGGCTCGCGCACCTCCAAGGCAGCCTCAGCGCCCGCCTCATCAAAGATCGCATGCAGTAGTTCGTCGAGGGTGGTGAATGCGCAGCCAGAACTCGAGAGCTTGCGCTGGATGGCATTTCGTACAACTCCTCCATCTATGCCCAATGCCAGGGCCTCCTTGGCTGGGACTTCGTCCATCAGTGCTTCTGCCTGGAGCGATGGAGCCGGTGCAGTGGCAGGTGGGGATCTGGCGTTGGCTGCCGTTGCATCGAGAACTTCCTTTACATAGGCTGGACCTTTGGCTAGCAGAACAAATTGGCACTTTGGCGACCATTTGGCGTGTTCATGCCACGGCTCATCTTCCTTTTGCCAGGAGCGCAGACCGATGTTACAGTGAAAGCAGCGCACCTGGTCGCCAATCTTCTGATAATATAAACCAGCTTGAGCCAACGCGTTTGCAGGCTGGATATTGGCAATGGGCCAATCGGAAAAGGTTGTCATTCTGGCTTCTAAACAGGAGTACTTTGGACGCAACGGCAAAGTAGTGGGCTGGATTCCAAGCTCGTCTAAGTTCTTTCCAGCGGCAAATTCTATAAGTGGACCCATTTGTACCCGAGGACATTGTGGAAAGAATCGTCTGTGCTCATCGAATGCATTGTCGTTCTTTTCCCACTTGGCGATTACTCCGTTACACCATACGCACTTAACATGATCCAGGCGGTTCAAGTAGTAGAACCCAGCCTTGGCCAGAGCCTGAGGAGTGATATTGGGATTCTAAAAGTAGAACAATTTTATTAAAAAAATGCTTAAGTGTTAAATAAATTTGAATTTAACTTCCGAGTAACTATTAACGTATTCATTTCGGCTGGGATTCCCATAGGACTGTTAATGCAGCTTATCAAGTACGTAAAAGTATAAGTATGTATTTATAGCTCAGCTTGAAACTGAAGCCCTGTTGTAATTAAAAAGATCACGCTTTGGTGAATCATACATCAAGCAATCGCATTGAAAGCGAGGGTTTCCAAAGTTGGTTACTTACAGGCCAATCCTTGAAGGTCTCAAGGCGGTTGGCCTCAATCAGGAGATCGGGACAGGCGCAGGATGCCGGACTATCCACTACGTTGTTGCCTTCCTTGTCGCTATCCTGGTTCCTCGGAACGTTGCCACAGTGGTTAGGGGCCAGTACCATGGAGCATATGGGAGAAGAGCGACGGTGGCGATCAGCCACCTGGTCACCGTACTCCCAACGGTCGATGCGAACGTGGCAAAAGTGGCACTCGGCCTCCAGCCAGTTACCCGTGGCGAAAAATCCGTTGACCACCAGATCCTCAGCGGAGACGGGGGCATTCAGGGGCCATTCCCCGAATGTCGATAGGCGGACACTCTCTAGCTCCAAGTGCAGCTCCGTCATCGTGTCGCAACTGGTTGGGATTAGCTGGCCGGACCCGAATCCTCACCCTCCAATGATGTAATACCACCAGCGGAACCACCAGCGAACGCCAAAGGGAAATAAAAACAAGGCAAAAGAAGAAAAGTAAACTTATTGATCCCAGTGACAGTGTGACCGGAGGTTGAGATGGTGCCACACGAATGTGGGGCAATGGAAACGTTAAAGCAGTACTCACTAAAGAACTCTATTTTTTAATAATAGTACAAAATACTTTTTTTTTAAATTTAAGTAAAAAATATTGGGAATAAAATATATCATTAGCTATAATTTTTGTTAATTTTTACTTTACTTTATAACCTAATAGTTTTAAAATAAAGTAAATTTACTTAAGTCACACCTAGGCAAGCAGTTCAACTTGAGTTTTTTTATATTTAAAAGCAAGCATTTTGCATAGATTTTTCGATTATCATATTACAGCCTACTAATTTTACAGCTGTCAAACCATCGACAAAATGCACCAAAATCTATTGTTTATATTTTGTGAGTTATTTTTGACAATAAGTCGTTTTTGGAAGAATAACATTCTCGACTCCCGTAGTGGTTTGCGCCGCACAGGCACAGGCGGAACTATCCGGACTTTTGAGTGCCCTCCACTATTTTGGACTCTACTCAAATGGAACATCGGATTCTCTGGGAGTTTCTCGAGGCCAATGCCAATACAGTTTCGAGACATTTGCGCTTCTGGAGGATCGTCGGACCTGTGCTCCAGATGACGAGCACATTTTGCATTTGACACAGCTTCCTCCGGTACGGAAACCACCTATTCTGATCAAGTGCCTACAGCAGGATCCTCCAGAGAATGAAACAGCACCCGAGCCGGGACTTCTGATAATGCGTAGCGCCAAAGATATCGTCGGTCTCTTAAAGCCTGTAGGGAATGCCACCAAGCGCCACGAACCGGGGAGTTGTGTGGTGGTCCACTTTTGCACCGCTTCCAGCTTGGAGTGCGCCCGTGTGGCCCCGGTGATGAACCTGCTGCCGCATCTATTTCCCACACTGCCTATCGCCTATGTAGATGCCTACGAGTTTGGACGCTTCAATGCCGAGTTCGGTATCGTTTCTCTGCCCACTCTGATGATATTCCACCAGGGTAGGCCCCTCATCAAATACGATCCGTCGTGGTCAGACTCTGAGAAACGCAGCTTTGCGCGGTTTATCATGAGGCATACCAATGTGAAGACCGTGGATCCGCAAGCGATTCATCCGGACATCCTTAATCGGACAAAAAGAGAACCATTATCCAATGTACCCATTGTGCAAACGGATTACTATTTGGGCTTGTCCTGGGCCTTCATCTTAGCTTGCTTGGCTAATTACATGCGGCAAACAATATTTTGGAAGCAGTTGGTTGAGATGGTGCAACGAAACTGGCGGGAATCTGAGGAGACGCAGATGGAGATGGTGGACTAGTCAGATATTTAGTTTAATCCCCGTTAAGTTGTTTAAGTAGAACGCATTGGATTCACTAATATAATGTAATTACCGTTTAATTAAATTCACATCAACATTTACTTAAGCCTTACGAATTACATGTATTGGGGAATTGGTAAATGGTAATTATAGTTTTCTATGGTTTTGGAGCCGTTGAATCATCATCTATCAGGATTTGGTCTCCGTAATTTAAAGCTTAGTTGCTAACGAAATCTAGAAACTTGAGAATTAACCAAATAATTCAAACTTATATTTAGGATTTCCATATATTTTTCATTACTTTCATTGAATTTTTCGATTAGATGTGAGAGTGTAATGCTTTCGGCGTTGAATAGTCCTTTTTGTTTTAAGTAAGTGCAAGCTAGTTGATCTATATCCAGTGTGGACATCAAAAAAGCATCAACTTGCCAAATGTGTAATGCTAAAGTGAGGCTGTCTCATATAACAGAACAACTCAAGAAAAAGGTTTACAATATTTGAAATGGTTATTCTGCTGTAACATAAAGATGCTCTGGAACAGAACCAACGCTTGCTTCCCAGTGGTTGTGAGTGTGCGGTTTGGAAGATGTTGGTATGGAGCTAATCACGCTGCTTCTATTACTTCTTGCCGCGCTTGCTCGTCTTAGAGGAGCTAGCCTCGTCGTCCTCCGTGTGCTGCTGATGCTTCAAGCGCTGATGGCGCCTCGGATTGGCGGCATAGGGATGTGTGTGAATGCTATATGAGGAGCAAAAATATATATTAATTAATATTATTACATACAAATCTTTGGGCAATGTATACAAAACATAAGATACACATAATCATTCGTACATAGGCCAATTGGAACGCAAGTGAAAATTTAATGATGGGAAGATAAGGTCAAAAGAGCAATGATGAGTGATATGAGGCAAGCTAGTAATGGAGTCGTAGGATTCGCGCGTAGAGTCGTTAGTGGAGGCGCAGCAACAGCAGCAGCAACAACGTTAAAATTTTGATTAGCGTCGATGGCCAATTGATCGTCGCGTAGTGTGGGGAATCGTCGAGTGTGGTTCTCGCCGATTGTGGACTACGGATTACGGATTGGCGAGGCACTTTTGGGCGGGTCAAAATGCGAGTATGCAGACAGAGAATTAGGTGTGTGTGGGAAAGTGCGGCCTTACACGTAGCTTTGTGGCCGTTATGTTGCGCTGCCGGCACGGAGATGTGGTGTTGTTTTGCTGGTTCGAAGTTCTTGTGGCGATGAGACGGAGCGTAGCGTTGGTGGCGCCTTCAGTTAGTAGTGGTGCATGTGGTTACGTCGAGGCCCGCCGAAAGTGTTTCTCGTCGTTGTTTTGATTATATATGATTATTATCTGGATTAGCATAAAGTTTTCTGTTTATGTTTGTGGTACGGTTTCCGCTCTACTTGCGGTGGTACCGTGAATTATAAAGACGCCAGTCTCTGCATGATTTTTAAAGTACAAAATGTTGATGGAGAAGAGAAGAGAGATCGAGATGTCGTTAATACACTGGGTTAAATGGTATATTACAAGATCAAATCGTGGCTACCCAGAGAGTCTACGTCGAATTCTAAAACAATAATAGGAACATGTAAAGCTTTAAAAAATTGAAGTCAATTAATCTTTACAAATAAATCAAGAGTGTTGATAATAAACAACACCTAAATTTTTCTTATTTGAACTTTAAGTCGGACGACAAAACTCTTGTAATGAACTTCGGTATTCCGAATACGGATTTGGTTAGGACTTAACAAGCATATTTGGATGATGTTCAAAGCTAACGTAGTCTATGTTACTAGGTGAAAACCCAAATCGCCGGCTCCCGCCGATTTCAACTAAACAAACCTTGGAGCAGTGGATACCGTGGCCAGCGGCGAGGATGGGGGCGTCCGGAGTGGGCGACGGGGCGTGGCGAGGCCATGCCCATGACCATGGCCATTTCGCAGGTACGAACGACGAGAGCTCACGTAGTTGTTGTTGTTTCCGCTGCTTATATCGTAGGTAACTGGCGAAGATGTTGCTGCTGCTGTTGTTGAAATGTTGCCACTGATTCGATGTCGTTGTTGTCGTAGTATGGAATCGATTCGAAGAAAAGTTGGAAAAGATTACAACAATACTTTTGGGATTCGGGGCTATGCTAGTTGGCAATCCAGTTCATTCAACGCGGGGATTTTGTACGTTGTGAGTGGGTGAGATCATGGCGAACGAAAGGAGTCTTGGGCAAAACGAAAACGGAACAAACGAAAGATTTTGAGAGCTTAAGTTGCCGCCTACCTCTGTGCATTATATGATTTCGATTCGATTCGTTTCGTTTGAACGCAGTTGGGAATGTAATTAGCAGAAATTTATAGTATGCAATTCTTTTTCAGTTTTATCGGATAGTTAGTAAAATATACTGTATGTACTTTAGATTTAGTAATTATATCTGCAAGTAAATACAAACGTTTCAATTTAGCAACAGTTGTGTGACAGGATTTGTGGTTAGTTGGGGGTACTTTTTGGATTGGGCTTCAGCAAGTGCTATTTGGCTAATCCTACACAGTCACGCGCACGGGACAGGGACTTAGGTATAGAAATTGATATATATTATCCGTTACACTCACCTGTTCAGCGGTGCCGTTGGTGCAGTGGAATAGTGCCGGCCCGCGGAGGAGCGAACTGGCGTTTGCTCCTGGATCACACAGTCATCATCTTCGTCGTCATCCTCCACCGGTTCAATGGTCAACGTTGAGGTATGAGCCGCCGGGCGGGCGGGCATGATTGCCTGCATCGCACCTCCACGAGGTCCTGACTGTACCGCTCCGCGCGTTGCGCGCGATGTGAACTCGCGGTCAAACTGCTCAGCTTCCTCTTCCTCCAGATTGATGAACTCCTGGCGCTCCTCTAGCTGTCCGGAGCGCATGTCCTGCTCCTTCTCAATGATGTGGGCCCGCTCACCAATGTGATGACCAATGGCCATCTTCTTTACACCAGTGCGCGAGTCCTGTACCGTCTTGCGAGTCTCACGAACACCTCCTGGACCGGTTTTGGTGCTAGTGCTGGCCTGGTAGATCTGCGGGCGTCCGTCGGGACCCGAGGACATGGTCATCACGGTGCTTTGGCAGAAGGAGGCGCCCGGATTGCCACCGATATCTGAAATGCAATAGAATTTAAAGAGGTACCTTGAGGGGGAAGACCTTATATACTCACCAGCATTTAGCAAGCGATTGAAGTTTGGCATCATGGGCATGCCGAAGAGTCCCATGGCGGGCATGGCCGGCATCTGCGGACGCTCCATTAGGGCGCCCTGCTGGAAGCCTGGATCGAAGGGCGATACCTGCATGAAGGGATCCGGCATAAAGGTGTTCATCAGGCGGTTCATTGATCGCATCTGCATGTTCATCGCGTTCATTGTGTGGTTCATGTGATTGCTGGAAAGTAGAGATGAGTACTTTGTAAGATTTGAGTAAGATTTGTATTACTCGGGCTCCATTTGCGCGCGATTACCACGATTACTAAGTGATTTTTTTTTACGTTTGTTATTCATTTCGAACTGAGCCTAAAAATAGTTTTTGCCACAGCCAAACTAAATAATTTGCAGCCCGATATCAAAGTTTTGAAGTGATAAAGGCCACTACATAGCCTGCTGTTTTATAATAAAAAATAAGGTCCGATAGGAATTTCATGGGTCACTTTGTGGTTGGACTGTTATTTGAAAACCGAGTGACAGGGGGAAACCTTTGAAAAAGCGGTTGTGAGTGCCGTTTTCCAATTGCATTTCCCTGCGGTCTCTCGATTCAAATTATCGATTATTACGTCTTCTCTTCACGCATGCTGCACACTCACACACACACATGCATGCCCACTCAGATGGATAATGTAAGTTTTGGCACGCTATTTATTACTATTTTTTGGTTTTTAATTGACATGGATTCGGGAATTATGGGCCAATTACTGACTTGCATTTCATTCTGCAATTGGTTTTCTGTTTTTACACGCCCTAAAAAGGCGTCATTGAATGCACACGTATGGAAATAAATGGGGCTTCAACAAGAACCGCATGATTTTCCAGTATATCGTAGCATTTTGTACTTACTTCATTAAACCAAGATCGTCATCAAAGTCCCCCATCAGCGCTCCGAATAAAGACATTTTCGTGGTTTTTTATAAACTGTTAATTGCTTGGGATTTTCCGTTTTCCGTATGCAGAATTTTCACGAATACTCTAGATTTCCTTATTAGTGTGACCGTTCGTTAGGGGCTTAAAAATACCGGTGACTTAAAAATACCAAAAGTATACTTCTTAGCTTAAAAACAGTAGGTGAATTTTTATATTTTTAAATTTTAAGGTTTCATTATGTGTGTGGGTTATACTAAAGATCTGGAACCATAAAATCCAGTACAAGATGCGAAGAATCTGTATATATATTTAATATTCTGTTAAAAAGGTAATATTTAAAAATGACTTGTAACGTATTTTTGCTATCTACTGCACAAATACGATCTCTAACCTTTCTTAAAATGGTATGTGAATTTAGAAAATTCGTTAAATGTTGATGTAATTAAATTCTTGCAAAAATATCGAATTAAAAACTTTTAAATGCTCATTTGGAATTTATTAATGTAGTAAAGTAATAATTTGTTCGTTTCATTTGTTCGCTTTTAGGTTAAAAATTCTTTTAAGTGCTTTAGAGATATGCTTCTGCCTGCTCCTCGATCCAAGCTGTATGGGAGTTGACGCTGGTGTAGACACCAGGGAATCCTTCTCTGCCGCATCCTACGCCCCAGGACACAATTCCCACCAGGACTCCGTCCACGGCCAAAGGACCACCGGAATCACCATTGCACGTATCTTTGCCACCCTCTAAATATCCGGCGCAAAGCATCTCGTCTGTAACTGTGTAGTCCTTAGTGAGGTATTGGGCTCCACAGGTAGATTTCTCCACGATCTCTAGTTCAACTGCACGGAGCATGGCGGGCAGAGCCTCATCCTCCTCAGTACGCTTGCCCCATCCACTCACTACAGCATGGGCTCCCGAAGGAGGTGCCTCCAAAGCCACGGCAATGGGTTGTACAAGTGCAGAGTACTCCAGGGGCTCTCGGGTGATAATCAAACCAATATCATTCACATATGTCTTCTTATTATATCCGGCATGGGGGATCAACTTGCTGACCTTTACGCCCTGCTCCTCCAGATCGGCAATGGAGTTCTGACCAGCAACAATCCGGATGTAGGAAGCATAACGTCCCTTGATGCAGTGGGCGGCAGTGATCACAATTTTTGGGGCATAGATACTGCCTCCGCAGATGTGGAGCAGCATATAGGTCTCTAGACGAACGGAAACCTGGTACGGATAGTCCGCAATGTCCACCTGATCGCCACCCACAATGTGAGGGCTTATAGAGGCGGATTCCGAAAGGATGACCAGGCCAAATAGACCCAATAGACACAATCCCAAGCACAGCGACATTTCAAATCATAAGAAGTGGTTCGATTTGGCCTTCTTATATAGGTTTAAAGTCACCTGCTTATCACTTATCACCAAACCGACGAATTTAGCGATCATCCCCGATAGGTAATTTGGATTTTCATAAAATTCTGCAACGATATCGTAAAGTTTATAGGACTACACAGCTCAATACGTTTTATATCCATTATAAACTGGGCGGTGGTCTTCTAAAGACCAACTGACCAAGAAAGCCACAAGAAAGTCAATTGGCTAGTAAAGGGGAAACCAATGGGGATTATCAGCAAATCGTTCCGTTGACTCACTGATCGGCCCTATTTCATTAACCATTGAACTTTACTCGTCAGCACTGACGAAGATGTCTAGCCTAAAGCTGTAATCTTAGTCGCGAAATCCATGGAATCGTGTCACCAGATAAGTGGCGTCCTAAAGCTAGGCAGAGATTTATTTTACTATATTAATCGATGGTGCACAAAAACCCATACAGTACAAACAGTAGAACGATAGTCTAATCACGTTGATAACCATAATAATAATTTAAGCGTTCATAACGATTTAAAATAAGGCAATTACTTAATGGGGTCTTTAAAGAAAGAAATAGGCGTGTATATGGAAAATTTGGAGATAAGGTAAGGGAATCGGGGTCGGCACTCCTGTAAAGCTGTGAGAATTATCTCTTAAAATATCTTTCACCTATCACCTATCCGCAAATCAAAATGTTTTTAGTGAATGAATAAAAAAGTTTGAACATCCGAGTTCCGCAAACAAATAAATATTGGAATAAGATGCTATTGTAAACAGAACTTTCGCGGAAATAATTCCCAAATATTTATAATTTTTAGGAATTTATGATGACGTTAAAAGCTTGAGTATGGTAATACGCAAAATCTGACGACAAAACTGTAAACATAAATTATTGATGTAATCAATATCTTGACGAAGCCCGTCTAGCGGATTGAAAAATTCTGAGCAAAGTTCAATCCACTGGGCACGCGTCTGGAGATCTCCACTCAAATTGTTGAGATTGTAGTGGCACTTTTAGAGTCGTAGGGCCAACTCTATAGGGTAGTTGGGTACATCAAACAAGCGGAGATCCAGAGAGGGCACAAAACGGATAATTAATTGCTATGCCACTTGGTCGGGGTATCCAGCATCATCACCTCTACTTCTAGCTACTTAGCACTTCGAGTGCCGACTAGTTGGCAATTACTACTTATACTCGATACTCTAGGGGGGTATCTGGACGTGGTGGCTACAGGGGGGAATTTGGGACGGAGGCAGAGCTTCAGGTCCGGCCTCACGTACGCTCGGAAGCATTTTGTGCCGCGCATCTTTTTTTCGGCGGGTTTAAGCCGAGCTCGATCGGTCCAAAACGGTTATAAATAGATGCCGCCCAACGGAGGTCCCGCATTTGCAGCTCATCAGTCGGCGGATGTGACTCTGGATAAAAAGACCAATACACGGATTTACCCTTCTATCGACTTGACCGTCTGTGTACGGCTCAGACAAGTGTTTGTGGCAAGGACTTTAGATGTGAATAAATATTTAGAAAAATATTTTTAAACGGATTTAAAAAAAGTGACTGAAAATGTTTGTGGAAAAAGTGGTGAGTGAGAAAAGATATACAAATAATTACTAAAGAAGAAAATTTTTGAAAAAACGAAAAGATTCGGAAATATCAAGGGATTGAAAATCTAATCTAATATTTAACTTATGAGCAAATGTTTGCCAAGGATTTAGATATATGAACATATGAAAAGGAAGTTACATAATGGCCAACCTATTAGAAGTCAAATAACGATCCTAGTAACCAGAACTTTATTATAGTTTGAGGATATTAGAACTAAAGATATAAATCCATTAATTTTTCAACTGAATTATCTCACCTGTTTTTGTGGTGCATCTTAAACGTGAAACATTTTTAACCGGAATTACTTTGGGGCGTTAGATTCAAGCAGGCCGTCTCAGCAAGTAGCATCTCGTTTCGGAAGACCATTATGATAATTTATGAAATTAGTGGGAAATAATCATGATGTGTATTTATTAGAGACCAAGTGCCAATTGACAAGCAAACACGCAGGTTCTGCACACCTCGCAGCCTGGATACGCCGTGCCCAAAAAATATAAATAAAATAATATTAAAGTAAAGAAATAGAAGTAACCGCAGAGTGGAGCGGAAGCCTTCTAGACGCTTGAATGGTTTTTGGTCAAACATTTAGCTGATTAAACAAAGATACGGGAGGTTGTTGGACCTTGTGTTGGATCCCCTTGAGAGTTCCTAATTGCAAACTATATTTCGAGCAGTAGGCGTGGGCGTTATGGATCAGATTTAAATTGGATTTCAGTCTACAGTATCTTGATTTGGTCCGTCAGGGCTGCCAAACCTGAACTAAGCCTATCGAAACTACTTCAGAATAAATTGTGATTTTCCTGATTCATGCCGAACTTGGATATTCGGCAATTGGGCAACATGCCCGCCAATACCGCTGGTTTGTGGAAGCGGGTGACCTTCCTGCTGGCCCTTCCGGCCATTGTCCTGTGCGCCGTAAACGCTTTTTCCGGACACAAACACGTCGAACGAGAGCCATTCGCTAAGTATGAGTATTTGAGGCGCAGGACCAAGCGATTTCCATGGGGTGACGGCAATAAGAGCTTCTTTCACAATGCCGAAGTGAATGCCTTGCCCGAGGGTTATGAGGATGAAGTTGCTGAAGGGGACTAGGATTATCATTTGTGATAACCTTTTTGTTTCGATTTTTCGACAAAACGAACGGTAAGAATGATAGAACTTATCGTTATCCTAATAACTGCATAGTAACTACTCCAGAATACCCTTCGGTTAATGGTTTTATTTTGGATTAATAACTATTATATCAACTGTAGCCCATGGTTTGCAGATTCTTCCGAAGTAATAAATTAATCATTGAGATCTGAGTCATTTGTGGTTTCATTTGGCCATGGAACCTGTCGCATTTGGCTAATGATCTGGGGCTTTTACTCTTCTCAAGAATGACAGAGAACAATGGGGTACATAGGGGGAAAAGGTGTGGGGTGCTGAAAGGCATGTCTGTGTGGGAACTGGACAACAAAAGCCTGTCCCTGGATTTTTGGCTGATGATCATCATTTGTCATGTTTTTGTGCTCATCGTAACCTGTTGCACCACTGACTCGAATGTGCCGAAAAACCAAAGCACCAAACACCAACACGTACGACCCGAGGTGCTTTAATCGATCTTTTAGACACACGTACGCGTTGTCATATCTACATCGATGCCAAAGATCGCATCGCATCGCACGGCATCGCCCATACGCCGTGTTGGCCCAAGCAATTCACACCGCAGTTAGATACATAACTTATACTTTCGTTGCGATTACGATAGCGTTTGTTTGCCGAAAACTTGCGACACGCGGCAAGGGCAAGTACTGGCATCCAAGTTCGAATATCTAAGTGCTCCGAGATCTTAGTTAATTAGACTCCAAATACGCCGAAAAGTGCGTAGCTGATGAAGTGCGTTCAAGAGCTTGAGTTCTCGATAGCAAACTAAATATTGACCCATGAGTATGTCTAATTATCCATTTGACTTGCCATTATGTATATCTTCTCCACAGTTAGAACGAGCTACCAAATCAGAGCTGTGCTCAATCCTGATCCTTCTGGTGATCAGTCTGAGTATATACACCTTCTATGCCACCCTGAATACGTATTTGAGATCGGTGCTCCTTTCGCTAAGACTCACGGGTCCACCATCGCTGCCATTCTTGGGCAACTGCATGCTGGTCACGGATAAGGACTGTAAGAGCTCACCTTCAAACTTTCTTTAGAAATAAATTTAAATTATATTTATTTAATAGTGATGCGCAAATGTGCAAGCAAGGCCTTTGATCTATATGGATCTCTAGTAAGGATTTGGGTTCTTCTCTTTCCCTTTTTTGCCGTACTGGAGCCAGAGGATCTGCAGGTGATACTTTCCTCTAAGAAGCACACCAATAAGGTTTTCTTCTACCGGCTGATGCACAATTTTCTGGGAGATGGTCTGATAACCAGTAGTGGTTCCAAGTGGAGCAATCATCGCCGGCTCATTCAGCCTGCCTTTCATCACAACCTGTTGGAGAAGTTTATAGACACTTTTGTGGATGCCTCGCAGTCCCTATATGAGAATCTAGATGCCTCCGCCGTAGGCACAGAGATAAACATTGCCAAATACGTGAACAACTGCGTTCTGGACATTCTAAATGGTGGGTCTCTAGGGGATTTACTAAATTATTTCCTTGTTAAATCTCTTAACCATTTACAGAAGCCGTTTTGGGTGTGCCAATAATAAAGAGGGGCAAGGATGCGGACATAATGGAGGACTCACCCTTCCGACAGGGCAAGATTATGATGCCTACGCGGTTTACCCATCCTTGGCTGCTGCTGGACGGAATCTACCACTGGACCAAGATGGCCAACGATGAGTTGAACCAGAAGAAGCGTCTAAACGATTTCACCCGCCAAATGATTCAGCGACGCCGTCAGATCCAAAACAATAATAATGGGAATGGCGAGAGAAAGTGCCTGCTGGACCATATGATCGAAATCTCCGAGAGCAATCCGGACTTTACGGAGGAGGATATCGTCAACGAAGCTTGCACGTTCATGCTAGCTGGCCAGGATTCAGTGGGCGCAGCTGTGGCCTTCACTCTCTTCCTGCTGACCCAGAATCCCGAGTGTCAAGATAGCTGTGTCCAAGAGCTGGAATCAATTTTTGATGGTAGTAATAGAGCACCCACGATGACTGACCTGCACGAGATGCGTTACATGGAGATGTGCATCAAAGAGGCACTGCGTCTTTATCCCAGTGTCCCATTGATTGCCCGCAAACTTGGTGAGGAAGTGCGTTTGGCAAAGCACACCTTGCCCGCTGGTAGCAATGTCTTTATCTGTGCTTATGCCACCCATCGTCTTGCCCACATTTATCCCGATCCGGAGAAGTTTGTACCGGAAAGATTTTCACCAGAAAATTCGGAGAACCGCCATCCCTACGCCTTCATTCCGTTTAGCGCTGGACCAAGATATTGCATTGGTAACCGTTTTGCCATTATGGAGATCAAGACTATAGTCTCCAGGTTGCTACGCAGTTTCCAGTTGCTCCCTGTTTCTGGGAAAACGACCGTTGAAGCCACTTTCCGTATCACACTGAGAGCATCCGGTGGTCTGTGGGTACGCCTAAAGCCCCGCGATCATTCACTAACCGATCATTGAGAACAATGTGATCCTGTTTCGTTATATTAACTTTAATTAGTACGGTAAATATGTATATAAATCGATACAATAATTTAAACACTTAGCTTCCTCTAGCCTAAGTACAATTCCTCTGACTGGAGGGAGTGCATCCGCTCGGATGCAGACATATCCTACTGTGAGTGGGTGTTTGTATGTGTGAGCGTGCGGGTCTGGATTATGGATCCTGGATGCTGGGTGGGTGCTTTGTGCTCCCCAATCGCTTCGCATTCGCTGTCGCGGTCGCTTCATATATTCGAGTGTTCGTAGAGTTTCATTTTTGGGGTTTTGTTTTTGCTTAAACAATGCTATATCTGCTATATCTGTAATAAAGTTATGCTGGTCGGCATTTAACCGACTTAATCTAGGACGTGATATGCTGCGTTTCGTTGTTGAATCGGTTGATGAGACGTCGCGCACGTGATTCGCGATTTGTCTCCGCCGTGTTCCCATTACCATTACCATTACTATTGCCATTACTTTTCCCATTGCTAAATTGCCGCTGAGCACTGGCCACCGTATGCTGTTGGGCAAGACGCTCGGCCGCCTCACGGACACGTTGGCTCATCAGCCGCGTCGGCGTGGCAGATCGCTGGGGCAGCGGTGAACTTGGCATGGATCTAGCCTGAGGCGGTTTGCCTTTAGAGGAGACACTGGCGATGCTGGATACGGTGACTTTTCCAGCTTTTCCTGACTCATCTGCTGAAAAGTAAATAAAATATAAGGGTTAGTGGTGCAGATGGATTTAAGGACTAGCCCAAAACGGTTCTCAAAGATATGATCATGATTGGTAAAGCGGCTCCTCAACATATTAAAAGATAAAGCCGTGAATGTAATAATGAGACTTTGTGTTAGGGATTTTATAAAAGTTAATATAATATTTATCAGTTAATTGTTTAATTTTCTTTCATATTAAAAGACATGATGTTATATTAAGCCTAATACGGTTAAAGATTAGAGCATCCCTATGCAAGTGGAAAAAAAGGAAGCAAAAACAAATTTAAGATGAGTTTCGTTCTCAATGTTACAGATTTTAGAGCTTTTGCAATACTTTGAAGATCCGTTTTGGGTCATGGGCAAAGATTACTTCTACTGATTCGTCCCACACTCGCCACCTTGGCTATTTTGATGGGCTCAAAGGCAAGCGGAGGTTTGTTAACAGCGGATGCAGAAGCAGGAGCAGGGAACCCCTGGAACCTGTCCTTTAGCTGGGACACCTTCAGCTTGGACTCACACAGAGGCTTGACTTGGGGCTTGGACTTCGGTTTCTCCCGAGCAGCGCTATCCTCCAGTGACTTCTTGCGCATCTTGACGGTATTGGTGAAGTCGGATCGCATGATGGCCTCACCCTTGGTGGGCAACTCCAGGGTGTCCGGATGCTCTGTATCCTGGACTACTGTAAGCGAGCTGCTCGCCTTGGCTATCGCCTCTAGCTTGGATTTGGCCAGTGAGAGAAGCAACGTCTCCTGGGCTCCACTGCAATTGGAGCACTCACTGTAACCCGAATCACTTCGTTCACTGCACTGTGATTTATCCCGCAGTTTGAGGACGGTACGCTTCTCCACTGGCGGCATTTCTACACTGAAGTCGTCCTCCTCCTCGTGCAAGGAAGACATCTGGGAGCTCATACCACTACCGATGGCAGTAGCGGTCAGCATACTTAAGCCCGATATCGATGGCCTTGGACTACTCAGTGCTCCCATGGCAATGGCGGAGTTCCTTCGTGAAACCGACAGATTGGCCATGCGGCCAAGAGCACGGATGGCATTACCAGTTTTCTGGATTAGCAGCAGCAGGAAGCAACAGCAGCAGCAGCAAGCAGCAGGAGGGAGCAGTGTTATAAAGGTAGCAGCACTGGGTTAGGATCCGGAGGAGCATTTAGTGTGAAGCATTTACTAACCTGCCATTTTCGCCTTATGATAAACTTCTTCAATTTGTCTGTGCAGATCTTGTTGTTGCTGAGATTGTCGTCATGGCGCTGGCACAACCACTTGGATTCCAAGCATTGCTGGGCGGTCAGACGCTCCTCCTTTCGGTGAACCAACAATTGCGAGATGAAATCCTTGGCCTCCTGGGAACTATTGCAAAAGTTTAAATATATACAGAAAAGGACTAGCTATATTTTGTAACTTACACGCAGTCGAAGGCCTCGTCATCGTAGTCGTAATCCGCTCTTGTGATGTTCGAGAAGGTTTCCACATCGGTATCGCCCATAAAAGGTGAAAGACCCGACAGTCTAGAAAATAAACCCATTAAAGGGAATCTGGAATGCAATAACCGAGGTTTTCCACTCACAGCACGTAGCAAATGACGCCCACACTCCACATATCGGATTTGAAACCTATGGGTTCGTAGCTAATGATCTCTGGTGGTATAAATTCTGGGGTTCCAAAGAGAACGCGGACGGGGGCTTTCGTATCCAGTCGTTGGGCCAGGCCAAAGTCAATGATCTTGATTTGGTGGCTCGTTCGGGTATGGCACATGATATTCTCGGGCTTTAAGTCCAGATGCACCACGCTTTGGCTGTGCATATAGGCTACTCCGTCACAAACCTGTCGAAGGAACAGGATGCAGTCCATTTCGGTTAAGGTGAAGTCATCAGCCACAACCCTTTCAAATAATTCGCCGCCAGTGATGCTAGGAAATCATTAAGGATTAGTATAGATCTTTAAGAGATTCTCGATTATTCTTACTACTCCATCACCATGACAATCTCCCTGGGACTTTCGAAGGAGGCAGCCAGCTGAAGTAGTTTAGGGTGTTGCAGGGAACGCATGATGGAGATCTCCTCGAGCACCTTCTGCCGATCTTGGGACTTAATGCACTTGATCACCTTAGCGGCCAGCAGTTGCTCTGGCTGTCCACGTTCCTGCACCTTGTAGACGATGCCAAAACGGCCTTTACCCAGCTCATCGATGATCTCAAATCGCGATTTGAAGTCTCCGCCGGATTGTACGCTCACCGACTGGCCAAAATGATCGGTGACCTCTGATATAGACCTCACTGGCTTGCTGGTTATCTGTACCAGTTCGCTGGCCTGACCAGGTTCACTGCGTCCATGAATATTCTCAGCACGAACCCTGAATCTATATTGCATCTGCGGCTGGAGGTTCTTGACGGTGTAGGCTAAGGTGTCCACCACTCGTGTCACCTGCTGCCAGTCCTTCTCACAATCCTCTCCAATGGTCTGCATCTCAATGCTGGAGATTTAAAACAATATGGATTATACTGTCTATATAGGAACGTTGTAATGTTTAGATACGCACATAAAGCCTGTGATCATACAACCACCGTCGTAGGGTGGACCACACCAGGCCACTGCTACGCGATCTGGTCCCAGAGATACGCTGGGTTGGCCACTGGGTGGCTCTGGAGGTCCTTCAACTGCAACTGAAGCAGCCGAAGCCTCCACACCGTAGTCGTTCATCACCTCCACTGTATATTTGCCACTGTCATCCGCTGAGATGTCCGTGATATAGAGCGTCGACTGTTGGCCCGTGGTTCGTATCGTCACATTGGAACTCTCAACAATGGGATGACACTGTGGGGGAAAAAGGGATTTGTTGAAGTTTAAAGAATCTTTAAAGATTCTAAGAAAATGTTCTTTTATAACACAAAATAACAAAAATGTAAGTAATATATTCCCAAAAAACGTTATTGTTTGTATATCCTCTAGTGTGAAAATTAGATAAATTTTTGTGGCTCTTCAAGATAAAGATATGACGAATTACTAAATTTTTGGGTGATTTATTTTGCCAATGCTTAGATGGTGTAGCTGAAGCTCTAACAGCCAACCTTCGTTGGTGCGGCTCGCCCAGCATTTGCGGTTTGCAACCATTACGTAGACAGTCTAGGCAATCAAAGCAACCCAAGCAGCCCAACTGGCCCAGCAAACCCAACCGAACAACACCGCAAACTGATCGTGACACAGTCACAATGGCAGTCAGAGACGGAGACCTAGGCTAAATATGCCCAAAGCGAGACAGTGAGCTATCGAGATAGGGTGCAGAGTGGGCTTATGGCAGATAAAGAATATGGATCCGTAATCCCTAAGTCTGCCTGCTTTGGCCAAATTAGGTCAAGATTGCACAACGCAACTCACTCTGGTTCGAAACCGGACCAATTACCATAAGCCTACTGCCTGATTACCATTATATTATATATTATAAATTCCTAAATATAACCACCACTTTCTGAGGACCACTTACCGCCTTGTACCAGATGACTTTGGTGCCCGGGAATGGCTCGTAGCGTACGCTCAGCCGAACATGTCCACCGATTAGGGCGGTGCAATCCTCGGGGCGTGTCAAAATGCAGCTTCTGGCCGCCAGCGAGGAACAGGAGCTGTTGCCCCTGATGGCGGGCAGTACCAGAAGGCTGGTGTAAGTACGGGTGGCGGGTATACGCCGGGATTCTGCCTGTGGATGCTTCACCTGCAGACAGATCTCTCCGCTCCTTGACGCGCTGACGTCACGCATGCGCAGTAGCCGAATGCCGTTCTCTGGATATGACTCCAACTGAAGGAGAGAGAAAACATAAGGAAGATTAGCTAAAAGTCTTCTATACACTGCGGGAAAAGACTTTATTTATTTTAATGATCAAAATCTTGATTAAAGAACTATTTGTTCTTTAAGTGAACCACATTATTGAGCGTTCTCAAAGCATTATTAATTGAAATTTTATTGAGCCATAAATGTCATTAGGCATGGTCATTGTTCGAAATTGTTTGGAATTATTTGTTTTACTGTCTTGATTGAGCCAATGTATTTTAAGCATCTTGAAAAGTGCTTAAAAACAACCATAAATATTGTTCAAAAAGTGAAATTAGTTCCATCAAATATTTACTTTGCGTTAATTGAATGCCAAGTGTGAAATGCAAACAGAATGGTGTTTTTAAAAAAAAAAGGTAGATTTCGAAACTGATGTCTCCAAAAATATATAATAAAATACATCAAGTTACAGCTTTATGGCGTGAAAGTGCGTACTGAAAGACACCTTTATAATCTTGAAAATGAGTGATTTTCAGTAGATTTATTATACAAAAATGTTCCTGAATAAATATGTTTAAAATCAACTTAATGTTGATTATTGACTCAATAACAACACAGCATATTCACAAAATTACTCCAAATCAGGTTAATAACTTTTTCTCTCGGTGTACCCCGTTCACATGGGTAAACAATTATATACTGTATGCACAAGTGTCTGGAGAGAGAGCGACCTAACCGTATCCGGAGCCGGGTAGCGATGACGCGACGCGTTCTGAGGTTGCTATAGAACTGAAAGGCACTCTCCGTGGCACGCACCAATTAAGCGAGAATCGGGAATGGAACTACGAGCGGACCTCGCCAAACGGAATTCCATGAGCGGACAACCCGACCACCGATCGTGACAATGACACTTTCATGCCCGCTCTCATTTTCATTGGAGCACAAACGACACGAGAAGTGCACCCAATCCGTATACCTTATCGAAAGGGAATAGTTACAGGGCTTAAAACCAAAATGCCATCGATATTGATACTCTCACTCGGATGCAATCCATTTGTTTCGCCTTTTGCCTACCTGTGACATCTTGTCACGCCCTTGTGCCGCCGTTTTTCAGGTTTCGATTGTGATGTCGATAGTGATTGGGACTTTGATTTGCCAAGCATCTGGATGGATGAATGGATGGGGGAGTAGGACTGTTTGTCGGGGTCTATATGAATAAAAAAACCGGGAACTTTGGCGACCGAGATGTGCGCCGCTTGAGCGCCGACGAGCGAATGTGTTCCCCTCAAGCAACATCGTTGGCATGCAGCTCGCATGCCGCCGTATTTCAATCTTTTGGGTCTCCTATATGTGGCTTATGCAAATGAGCATGCTCTCACACTTTCGGCCATTCGACCAGATATATATATTTATATGTACACAATTATTATTATTGTTTTCACCGCCAAAAGTGCGAGCAAGCAGCCTGGGGCAAGGCAAGAGTTGAAAATGAAGAGCTCTGTTATTTTTTTGGGCCAAAAAGCGAGCACGCGAATCACTGTGTTTGGGTTTTATTACGATAAATACGCATACGCACCGTCATGTTAAGTGAGTCATCTGTTTGGGCTACTAAAAGTTGTCCATTGAGATACCATTCGGCTTCCGCTTCGCAGGGGAAAACACGGGCATAGAATAGGGCCTCTTCGCCGGATCCGCAGACCACGGGAAGTGGTGACTTTAAAAGCTGGACACACTCTTCATCTTGCTTGTGGAGATCACGCTCCAAAACGCACAAGTCCCCGCTGCTGCAACAATCGCATTCGCTGGAGATGTTGATTGAATCGGAGATGGAATTGGAGTCGGAGGTGGAGTCATTGGTAAGGCAGGTAAACACCTGACAGCTGTAAATGCCCGAGTCAATGTCGAAGGCGTCGTTGATTCGCAGGCAGAGTCGACCATTGCCGTGATCAATGTAACTGCAATATGAATTAAACGTAAAATAAATAGTTATCATTGCGTATGGTGAACACAAAGGGAAAAAAGCGATGTTGTTATTCAATCGAAGCTAATCGTTCGAAAATGGGTACTTATAAAACACTCAATTGTGGTCAGCACATTAGCATTGTTCTCAGAATTTAATTGAAGTGAGAAATATTACAACATTTTATGTTTAAATGGTTCAGTGAATATGAAAAGTTGTGCGTTTTGAAACTTAAAAAGCTATTTATGTTAACCAAGCCATTAATGACAATTATTAATATCAGTTATCAATTTTGTACAGCATTTTACTTTAAATATGGCTTATTATTTAAGTTTGCTATTAAATAGAGTAAAATTATTATAACTTAAAGCAACTATTAACAATATAGACAACAAATTAGTGATTTCCCATCACCTATTATGTACTCACTTGAACTCATCGCTGTCCGGTAGAATTTCGCCATTTCGCAGCCATACGTAGCTGTAGGGCTCATCACAATCGATGGCGCAGCACAGATCGATCACCTCGCCCTCCAGCGCTTTAGTAATCTCAAGCAGTGGTTCCGTGATGACGGCGCGACGTCTCTGAATCTCGGCATTCGGTTCGTGGAAGGTGACTGTGGTCGAGCTGATCAGTGGGTCGTGGTCGCCGCTTATGATGCAGGTGTATACGCCCTCGTCCTCTCGCGTAACATTGTCTACAATTAGCAGTGCCATCGATTCCTCCTCCTGTAGTAGGATGTGAACTCGCTCAGAAGCCTCCATCTCCACGTTGTTGTGGTAGAATCTCACAGAGGGCACCGATGAGCCCCGATAGCCACTTGCCAAGGCCATGCGTCCGCCAATTGCTGTTGAATTTAAGAATGGGATTTTGGGAATACAAATACAAATTTACAAAGGGAAACCCATATTAAATTTTCACTCACCTGTGGATGGACCCATGATGCGTCTGTACAAATGAGCATTTCGGCGGGAGGACGATGCGCGCACACTGCGCACGGAAGGGGACTTGGAGTAGCGGGAGCTGCGGATGACATCTAAACGAGCGGTGGCCTCAATCCGACCGAAATCGTTTTCAAGCGTGACGCGATACAGTCCAGCATCGTCGAAGGACACCTCATCAATCTCAATGATGCGTAGATCATCGATTTCCTTGACGGCTATGCGGGGCGTGGGTGTGACAATTAAGCCATCCTTATCCCAGGTGGCCCATGGAGTGGGATGTCCGGAAATGGCGCACTGGAAACGTACACTGTCGCCCTCCTCGACGACTCGATTGTAGGGAATGGCAAGGAACTTGGGCGCCGTAATGGCATTCCGGGCGTCACTTCGTCTTCGTTCCGCCACTCCGGACAAATCAATGCTGCTGGTGCGGTAGGATAAACGCAGCGGGGAGAAGCTCCTTGCGGGCGTTGATCTTGGCGTGGAACGAGGCGTGGAGTGCGCTGAGAGCAGCCCAGTGGGACGTGTTAGCTGGCGACTCAACATATTCTCCTTCTCTTCGGGGACATCCACAATAATGCAGGCGGAGGAGAGGCTGCGACCAACCGAGTTCTTAGCCACGCATGTGTACTCTCCTTCGTCTTCCGGATACACACGCGGAATGCTCAGGGTTGCCTTCGTTCCATCGAATGACATCACGTAGTCCCGATCGCTGGGCAAAACATGGCCATCTTTCTCCCAGATAATGAATGGCTCCGGATCTGCTTCGACATGGCATTCCAACGATATCGCATCCCCATCGCAACAGCGCAGGTTTCGCAAGTTGCGAACGAATCGGGGAAGGGTCTCGATGTTGCTGCGATTAAAAAATATTGGCTTTGTTTCTTAATACTATTTATCTATAAAGCTGTTCTTACCCATGCCTTGTATGCACTTTATCCATGCGGCTTTTGTTGAGAATATCTGGTGAGATTGCAAAATTCATGAATATTAAAAAAAATGTTTTTAACAAAAAAAAATAATTTTTATTTGGCGACCGTTATAAACTGCTTCCTGTATATCAAGCAGTTTTTATTTAGGTACGAGTCTTTGCTAAGTAAGGCGCTAGTGAATTTTTTCTGTGACCATCAGCGTTGTATTTTCAAAGATCGATAATGATCTAATATTTTTCCATCTCTAACAATTATTTTTAGCGTAGCGCTTGTGCTTTTTCATTGTGAATTTTAATGTTACAAAATGAAGGGCATGGTTATAGTACCTATGGACCTGGAACCCGGTTTCCGCAAGGCAAGCTATCATAATATACCGGCGGTAAACAGCGGAATGGTGTATAATTTTTGCCTATCCACTGCCTCAGAGAAATCAAAACAAATGTAAGTGCCATCCCTTTCGCACCTACATAATATATTAAAAATATTCCAATTCTCCCCATAGAGCTACGGATAAAAATGATCTCTTAACGGATTATGTTCAAATGCGTCGATATGGAAATCATTGCGACCTAAAAGGACTTGTCTTCCCTGCCGCTGATTTCGCCAACACGGAAACCCATGCTAATGTGGCGCTAAAAGTCGTGGAAAATGAGCGGATAATCACGAATGGCCAGTGCAGCCTGTGCGGCACAGCTGGTAAGGGATCTAATTTTAAAGTAAGTAAGTAAGTATTAATATATTCTAATATATAACCCCAAGGTACTTGTGCCCACATTGTGGCCTTTACTTTCTGGCTACTTAACAAGAGCACAGAACGAAATCCCTGTGCTGTGTTGGAATTTTGGGGTCACGAACTGGAAAATCTGGTGAAATCAGGGCCTGCAACTGCCACTCGCATTTGCGATTTGATACCAAAGGACGATGTTCGAATTGAGAGCGTACATAATTCTCAGGAGCTAAGTGCTAGCGAGGGACAGGCTTTCCTGGAGACTGTTCTAGAGGAACTGGGGATTTGTGGCAGGGACTCGGCGCTCTATCGCCAATGTGTGGAAACCACCGATGAATTCGAGCCCCTATTTATTCACCATGTGCTGCTTCGAACCGCAGAATACAACGTCGTCGATCTGCCCAGCTTCATACAGCACATGGAACTGCAAGCTCAGATGGGAGTCATCGAGAGCCTTTACGACGCAACGCGAAGCCAGTACAAATCACGACTGTGGGTAGAGGCACAGTACATGCGAATCCGTTGCTCCATGATGCACTTGATTATTAATCGTAAAAGTGACCAAGACGATGATCGGATCTTTAATATGATGTTCTGCAAGGGACGGGACAAATACAACGAGGATCGTATGCAGCACAAAGAGCACAAGCGATTCATATTGAAACAGACCGAGAAACTGGAGAACAAGAAGTATACCGAATGTGGCCTTATTTTGCATGAATGCTACCCATATGTGTGCGCTGCTCCTGATGGCATTACTGACGATCACATTGTCGAAATCAAATCGCCAAGGACTGAAGAGGACTTCGAAAGGTACCTTGAGGCTCGCGAATCTATAGCACCCAAGTACATGGCCCAGATACAGATCCAGATGTTTGCAGCCAACGTGCAAAAAGCACTCTATTGTGTGCTGAGTCCGACGTTCGAAATTAACGGTGCTCTGCACTACGTTTGGGTACAGGCCGATCAGGAATTCGTGACTAGTTTGCTTGCCATGACCGAGGAGTTCTGGCGTGATGTTGTATTGCCCCGCCTAATCAACATGTACCCTTCGTTCGGTTAATAAAGAAAGAGCGAAAGAATTAACACTCACCTTTGGCGAATATTTGTAAGGATATTACAGCCTTGGCCTCGCCATGGCAATTGCTGGCTATTACGGAATAGGTGCCAGTGAAATCCAACTTGGCGCTGGGTATTTCCAATCTGTATTCGGGTCCGTCTCCGATTCGCCGGAAGTGTGGCGCGTCCTTGTAGTACTCCGGCTGCGGGAAAAATAAAATTTTGGCGATGAGTGGACTGGATGACTCAAGGTCACATCGAGTTGAGATTCGTCTATAAGGATTTGTGCGGCTGCCGCAGAGTATGAATCACGACTGTCTTTATACAAATGTCGGTGCAGTTGACGCTGGCTGTGTTGTTGTCGTTGTTATTATTGTGTTAAGCTTATGGCCATATAAGCACAAAATTCAGTTTCGAGACTGTCGAATAGGAAAACTGGTAATGGGTATACGTTGCCCACCCTGACCTCCTACTCCTCCTGCTTCTCCTGCCTGCCTGCTCGCTTCCTTGGTCGACAATGCACGACAGTGGCTAATAATATTTTTGTTTTTTTGCGCTTTTTTCCTTTTTGGCTAGCGTAATTGTTTGTTGTGAACAAGCCTGTTATTTGATATGGGTTGAACTTGAATTAGCGTTTGACAGCGAATCGGATTTGTAAGATCTGAGTGACTGTGGTCTTGTATAACGCGAACCGTTTCAGTATGACGCACTTGTCCGTAATCCGAGCCAGATGCCCCTGCACTCTATTCTTCACGTGCTTTTGTAGCCACTTTGTTACCGTATCGGGTTCTGGGCTAGTTACCTCTAGGAGGGATGCTTCGCTTGTTTGGACACTTTGTTCGCGCTCGCGGATCAATCAAAAAATACAAATTCTATCCGCGCGAGCAACTGCGGCAACTTAAAAAAACAGTCTACTAAAGTATGTGGCCCACTGGGAGTTGCCTTTTTATAGTTAACTTATAAGCGGAAATTATATCTAAACTTCCTAATGCCAGTAGGGCCCACGTTACTGTTTCACCTGAACTTGAGGCTTTGATAAAGCAACGGGTTTAAAACCGAGAGGAGGTAGTGATAAAACGACCCACATTGGCTAACGGCGCGAATGCAACTGACTGACTGACCGAGGGAGAACTGCGCATGTGCAACAAGCCGACTCTCGCGCTACGTCACATACTCACATTCAAAAAATCGCGTAGCCAAACGACTTCGGGCTTGGGATCGCCAACCACCTCGCAGAATATGATGACGTTGTCGCCCTCGTATGCTTCGCTGGAACGTGGCTTGACCACAAACAGGGGCTCCTTGGAATAACTATTAGAAGATGAATCATTAGATTTGCTTTTTGTATTTGAAATAGTTTCCTTTCTCTTAATTGTTATTGACTATTATTAGGGGTTATTAAATTATATAATTATTAAATTAAAATATTCAATGTAATAATATGAGAAAATTAAGTTTTTAAGTTATGTTTAATGTTTAAAATTGTTTCTAATAAATTAAGGAATACTCACGGCAGATCATCAGTCTTGATGCTAGGAATTTCAAGGGTTCGCTGCGAAACCACCGACTTGTTTTCTTCCTCCTCGATGGCTACCCGGCATATGGTCTCTACCTTTCCCACGACGTTGGATGCAACACACACATAAATTCCAGCATCTCGCACCGTAGCGTCCGCAATAATTAGCTCCACAAATCCATTGGAGTCCAAGGTAGCGGTTAGACGACGACTGGGACGCAGACGCATGCCGTTGCGATGCCAAGTGACGCCCACGGATGGATATGCCTCAACCTTTGTGGACAAACGGATTTCAGAGCCCTCACGGAATATATAGAACGGATCCAAAGGCACATAGAAATCTGGAGAGATGTATGCCCTGATGCCTTTGTCCACGACGAGGGTGCTGTGGCACGAAACGGAACCCAGTTCGTTCTTCGCCAGACAGGTGTAGGTACCACTGTCGTCTAGCGTGGTGGCGGCAATTTCTAGCGTGAAGAACTGTCCCTCGGCGCTGATGAGATGTTTCCTATCAGTATGAATGAGCTCATTGTCCTTGTACCATAGGATCTCCGGGACGGGATAGCCAACAACTTGGCAGGTAAGTCGAACTGGATATGTAACCTGGACGCGACGGTCCCTTAGACGCATAGTAAAGATGGGCAGCGAGTCGCCCACATCAGCCACATTGCGACCTTGGGTGATCTCCTTCAATCGCGAGTCCGCCTCATAGATCCTCGAATCAGAGACAACTTGGAGCCGGGCAAAGGTAGAAACTCTACCCTTCGAGTTCGTGGCCTCGCAGGTGTAACGACCCGAGTCCAGTTCGCTGACAGTGGAGATGGTAAGGGCACAGGTGGAACCGATCTGTCGGATCTTGACGCGTTCCGAACTGCTGCTCAATTGAATGCCATCTTTAAACCATGTGACCTGTGGCCTTGGAGCTCCACGCATATTGCATTGCAGGGTGAAAGAGGATCCCAAAAGAGCCTTGGCCTGTCCTGGCAGAATCTTTACGAATTCAGGCAAGCACTCAACACCGCCCACTTGAAGAGGACTGCTGGTCTGGACGGTAGGTCCCCAACCATATCGGTTCTTAGGTGTCACTCGGAAATGGTACTCAACATTGGGTTTTAGGTTAAAGGCGTCAAAGGAGTTTATGGGCGTCAGGCCCAATTCCCGCCAATATGCTCCGCCCTCGTGACCTACAATCCAGGCTTCCACCTTGTAAGCCATCACCGGAGCCGAGTTGGCACTAACCGGCTTGCCCCATGACAACGAGATGTGGGTGGGTCCGGAATCAACGACCAGTGGTTCGGTGGAAATGCAACCCGGTGGATCTGAGGGATGGTAGAAAAGATTCTTAAATGAATGAAGTCCAAATGGGAACTATGCTACTTAGTACGACCTCAATTAAAACGCTTTACGCCCCGGAGAAATATTTTTTATTTTCTTGTTTCCACTACGTAAATGTATAAGCTGGATTGCTGTGCTTTATATAATACATTATTTATATATGTAGGTACGTTAATAAAAGTAATTAAGTCAATCGTTCAGAAATACTAACAAAAGATAAATACAGGAATAGTTTTTTATGTGCTGGGTATCTACGATCTCACAGGAAATTTCTTTTATCGTTGGTGGTTTGTTGGGGCGATTAAACCGATCTGGAAGAGATGCAAATTGGGTCTTTGGTTTCGTTTCAAGTGGAACACAAACGGACACCAACGGACAACACGGAACGTAACGGACATGAAGGGACTTTCCACATGGTCTAGAGGTCCATTTATAATCAAATAACATAATATAACTCACCTCTGAAGTACGAAGTGTCACTATAACTGTCCAGGGGAAGGCCCCAGCGTGTTTGCGTTGGAGTAGCGGAGCGAGCGCGCGGGTTTACCTATAAGTTGTGTAGTCAGAACGATATATTATATTGCTTTGAATGAACACATAGAGTCAGGAAAGTAGACCAAGGGTTAAGTGTAATATAAATATAATTGTATTTGGTGTTTGTTGAGGGAGGCGTTTTGAAATTTGCAAAATAAATTGTATTAATAAGCTTTATTCTTCTTCTTTCTTTTTCGGTATTTTAATCTGGAATAAAATAAAAAGAGAAGCAGAGAAGAGAGAAAGAATTGCAGAGGTTAGTTAGCGAAAGCGATAGAGGGACAGCCACAAGCAATACAGCAAATGGAATCCTTTTTGGAATCCCAACAGGACACAGATATAGACACACAGCCTACCGTGACAGTGACGAATATCCTGTCAGTGCCAAAGTTGTTGCGGGCCACCACAAAGTAAGTGCCAGAATCGGAGATCTGGGCTTGCTGCACTGAGAATCTTGTGTAGTCATCGGACACCTCTTTGCTGACACGATCGGACGTGGTAATGTCCTTCGTGCCCTTCATGAAGGTAACTGCAAAATAAATAATACCATTTAAGAAGTAACTCCACATCAGAGGAAGTAACTCCCGCTTACGCTTTGGTTTCGGGTCGCCGGCAATACGGAAGGACAGCGAGAAGGGATCACCCACGGCGATCTTCATTTCGGTATCCGGTCGCGACAAGAACAGTGGTGGACGCTCATCCTTTTCAGCTCCTACGGCGACGTCCACATTGACGTTGGATTCAATGCGACCAAAGGCATTGGAGGCGCGGCAGGTATAGGTGCCCTCAACCTCGGGTCCGGCATTCATGATGGTCAACGTGTAGACACCACGATCGGACAGGGCCTTGACATTGGGTCCGTCCACCACCCGGCGGTCGCGGAGCCACTTAACCTCAATGGGTGTGCTGGTCTGCATGAACTCCGCCGAAATGGCCACGGTGCCACCATTGCAGACAGTTTGGTTACCCAAAGGTAGCAGGAAGTGCGGCTTGTTGGGGTCACGGTGGAAGAATCCGTGAGTCTGCTGCAGCGAGTAGTGCTGGCGACCCTTGAAGTCCACCTGGTGAGAGATTTTGTTCTCTGCTCCCTCGTTGCGGGCCACGCACCAATAGATGCCGGAGTCCTTCTCCGTGGGATTCACGATGACCAGTTTGGCATAGCCATCGGCCTGGTCACTCAGCTTATACTTTTCACTGCTTTCAATGGGCTCGGTTCCCTTGACCCATTGGATCTCAGGACGTGGCTGACCACGTACGCGACAATCCAGAACCAACTCATTCTCGTTAAGAGAATATGTGTCTGTAAAAGGGAGATATATGTTAGTGGATCTGATTTTCATAAAAATTGGGTTTACAGAAGCGGTTAGAACATCAAATATGTATAAAAGCGAAGGTGATTTCCATAGCTGGTTTTAGACGGGTAATACCTCGGATTGGCTGCGTAAAAGTACTTGGTAATGGGGCTTCCTTGAAGTTTTTATATACCCGAAGTTGGGCATGAGTTAAACTTTCGCCGAAGTCGTTGGTGGCACAGCAGGTATAGTTGCCACTATCATCGGCTACCGCAGCAAAGATTTCCAACGAAGCTTCACCATTAAGGAAGAGGGTCTGATAGCGATTGTCTCCCGTGGGCAAAGGTTTGTGATTCTTTAGCCACTCAATGTGAGTGTTCTCGTCACCAGATACGGCACACAACAGTCGAAGATTTGCTCCCTCCCAAACAGTGCGATCGTGAAGTAGGGTATGGAAAAGCGGTTTGGCCTTTCCAACGCTGCGTAGGACACGATCTCCAGCTCTATGGAGTTCTCCATTGCCATTTACTTGGCTTCCCGAACTCAAATACGACTGACTGCGAGACCAATGAGAGCTGTCTTGATCGGCTATACTTGGATTCTCCTCCTGACTGACGTTGATTAGACGCTTGAGATCGGCCGCTTTAATGGTGGTGCTGGTGGAGTCAATCCTATCCTCGTGCTCTGCATAGCAGGCAAAGATGCCGCAGTCGGAGGAAATGGGATTGCGAATAATCAGCTTCCTTATACCACCGGGTTCTTCGATTGTCCTGTAGCGGTTATTACAAATCGAATGGTCATCGCGCATCCAACTAACATTGGGACGACCATTGACCTGGCAGCTCAGTATAATCTCGTTTTTCTGGGCATCGTAGAATTCTGAAGGTAAAAGATTTCAATGGTCAGCTGGGTAAAATGATAAACGTGCCCAGATAATTACCTGTTATGCCACTGGAGAAGCTTTCCGGCAACTTCCCAGTCGACTGATCGAGCACACTTAGCTGACCAGCGCTTTCGACAGTCTGCCGGCTGTTCTTCACCACGCATCTGTAGTGGCCACTATCCTCCACACGGGCATCGTAAATTTCGAGACTGATAGCTCCGTTTATGTTGTAGATCTTATGGCGAGCATCTTTAGTTACACGCTCCTCGTTTCTTAGCCAGTGCACATCCTCGATGATGCCGGTCACGTAGCAGATGAGCTGAGCCTTGTTACCACTAGCAATGGTCATAGTCTTTAAGCTGGTCTCCAGATTCAGTTTCAATTTGGCCTCACGGGCCTTTGCCTTAGCTGCAGCATTGTCGTTAACGGAGGAAGTAGAGGATTCCTCCCGTTTCATTTCTTGGATGACCTTATCAATAGGTCTCTTGTCAGCAGTTCGCTCCCTTATATAATCGGAGGCCTGCACAAACTTGCTTATCTTCATTTGGCCATTCTCGCTCTCCGCATAGCAAGTGTACAAGCCGGAATCATTGCTGTCAAAGTTGGCTATGGTCAGGAGTTTCACTCCATCACTCTGCTCTGCATACTGGTACTTATTACCCTCAACGGGCAACAGAGTGTTATCCCTTTGCCAGTAAATGTTTGGCTTGGGACTGCCCGAAACCTTGCACTCCAAAGTGAGTTGATTGCCCTGGGAATGATATGCATCTGGAATATGGACGAAGATAAAGAGACAAGACACAAGACACGTAAGACAAAGTACTGAAGGAGAAGGTATAATAAGGTTGTTAGATTCTTAAAATATTTCTAGGACTACAAATAGAGATACACTTAACTCGTAAATACAAAGACATTCACCTGAACGCACTCAGTTAGACGACTCCCACCATTACACACAGAATCCTACCTTTGATACCCACTACAAAGGTAGGCGATATAACCTCCGGCTTGCCCGTGCTGTACACAAACAAATTGCAAGTGCTCACGATTTCATTTTCACTGCCCCTAACCCTCAAAGTGTATTCTCCGGCATCCTCTTCCGTAACTCCGACTAAGTTCAACCAGGCGATACCGTCTTGCATGGACATCTTGCTCTTCGGTCCGAAGGCGATCGGTTGCTCACCGAAGAACCACTTGGCAGTTGGCTCCGGGCCATCAATATTCACCATCCACTTGACATTGCTGCCCGATTTGACGGTACGGTTGGAGAGGAAGTTACGGAAGTACAGACGCTTTCTTAGATCAGGAGGTGGTGGCACTTCGCGCCTGGAGCTGGTTTGCTCCTCCTCATCTGGTTTTGGTTTCCTGCGGCGCCTTTCGCCACCTTCACCGCCTTCAGCTGCTCCCTCGGCACCTTCTTCTCCAGCTGGAGGAGCCTCCTCATCGCCTCCCGGACGTGGAGGCCTGCCCTCCCTTGGCGGCGAGATGCGTGGTGCCCTTACTCGCGGCTCCACAGTGATCATGTGGACAATCTCTGTCTTGCCCTCGCGATTCTCTGCTTGGCACACGTACTTGCCGCTGTCCGATGGCTTCGGATGGCTGATGAAGAGCTCGCATGTACCATCGTCATGGTCCACCTGCTGGTACTTGTCGCTATTCTCGACCTTGACGCCATCCTTCACCCACGTGACCGATGGAGTGGGCAGCCCGCGAACATGGACATCCAACTGCAGCTCATTGATCTTGCCGTGCATCGTGTCCTTGATGTTGCGCGTGAAGGTGGGTGGTACATCACCTGTGCCCGGATTCTCGTAGACTTCAAGTCGGCATGAGGTTGATGCCTCTCCAGTCTCGTCACGGCCCCAGCACTTGTACTCGCCATTGTCCTCTGCCGTGGCGCTCATGATTTCCAGCAGGCACAGACCCTCGCTGTACCTTCCCCTTAGCTTCGGTGAGTTCTGAATCTGCTCGCCGTCCTTGAACCACTTGACCTGTGGCTCCTTGGCCTCCAGGAAGCATGAAATCTTAACCTTGGATCCCTCGGCAACCACACGATCTCTCATCGAAGTGCTGAAGTGGATCGCAATGTTCTTTTCGCGACGCTTGCTCGACAAGCTAGCGGTATCGGAGGCGTAGTCAGTGGCGTAGGCGGAGGATGCGCCGTCATCCTCTTCTTTGCGGCCACGCCTCTTCGCCTTGCCGTCCTCAGCCTCGGATTCAGGCTCGGCAGCAGGAGCCGGTTTCTTCTCTACCGGTTTCTCCACCTCCTTTGGTCGCAGCAAGCTTTTATCTGCATGGAACACACCATGGATGTTGTCAGCAATGTGATGGGCCTGACCCTCGAAGAGCACGTAGTGCGAGATCTCCATCTTGCCGGCGCGACTTTCCGCCTTGACAACGTACTTGCCGGAGTCCTTGTTGTCCGGTCGATCGATGATGAGCTCACAGGTACCATCCTGATGCTCAATGATCTGGTAACGACCACCACTCTGGATTTCAATGCTGTCCTTGAACCACTGGACCTCGGGGGTGGGTTGACCTCTAACAGCTGTCTCCAGGATCAGCTCATTGGTGTTCAGGTGATAGGTCTCTAAGAGAGAAACACCGAGACTGGTTATATAAAAAGCAGTGCAAAAAAAATATTGCATAATGATTGCAATCAATGGCATTGCACAATCATACACATGTCGATTGCTAAATATAGATGATTCGATCGATCGAATACTCATCCGTTACCCAATATCTTACCTTTCAGAGAGCGAATAAAGACGGGTTGCACATCCGTGTTGACCTTGGTCTGGTACACATGCAGCATGGCCGAGGTGGTGATCTTGCACGACTCATTCTGGGCAATGATCGAGTAGGTGCCAGAGTCCTCCACTTGAGCATTGGTGAATTCCAGCACCGCCAAACTATCACGGTTCATGTTGCGAATGTTGGGACCGTAAGTGACATTTTGATCATCCTTCTGCCACTTGATCATGGGCTGCGGGCCACCGACAACGGCCTGCAACTTGACCTTGGAGCCCTCAGCAACATATCGGTTGGACAGGTTGACCGTGAAGTACAACATCTGCTTGGGCGAAGGATCAGGCATTCGGCTACGTCTCTCGTAGCCACCATCACCGCCGGCCTCAGGCTCGTCGTCCTTCTTCTTCTTCTTGCCCTTGGCCTTGGGGCCCTCGGCAGACTCTCCACCTCCTTCCTGCATGGCGATGGCGGACAGGATGCTTGATCGGCGCGAAGTGTGGGTGGTGTCGACGACAACCGTGTGGGTGGTCGACTGACTGCCCAGTTTGTTCTTGGCGGTGCAGACATAGATGCCGTTGTCATTGATCGTCGGCTTGTTGATAATCAGCTCGCAAATGCCGTCCAAGTGCTCAATCTGAACAACACGATCGTCGAGCACCACGGGTATCTGGTCCTTGGTCCACGAAATTTCAGGGCGGGGGTTGCCGCGCACCTTCGTATCGAGAATCAGATCGTTCTGCGAGGCATGATACACATCTGAGAACAAAGTCAATCAATCAATTTGGCTATTTTTGTACACGATCGACCTCAATTGCAAAAAACATCGAACGTCGGACACACAAGTACATGGGACTTTCTGAGGATCGTGTAATCGAGAACACTTGGCCACAGAGCACACACACATAGAATGGGAGATGGGTGGTAATACCTCTCAGGGGTAGGGCAAAAATGGGTTCCGACTCGTCGCCATCCGCCTGTGCCGCATACACCTTGAAGTAACAGGAGGTCTCGATCTCGCTGAGATCGTTTTTGGCCACGCACTTGTAGACACCGGAGTCGGCGTTAGTGACGTTGCTGACCTCAAGTATGGCCTTGCCCTCCTCAGAGAGATTTTTTATGTTTCCGCCCACTACCACCCATTTGTCATCCTTCATCCAACGGGTATTGGGATCAGGCCCAATCACAGTGGCAACGAACTTAATGGTGGAACCCTCAAGAGCCATGCGATCACGCAGCTGGGTGGCAAATGCCAGCTTCTGCTTGGCAGGCACCAGCTTTTCGGGAGTAGCCCTGACAGGATGCAGGCGCTGCTGCTCCTCTTCCGCTTCCGCCCTTCTTTGGTCGGAATCGGCCTTGGACTTGAGGGCCGCTTCCATGGCTTTCTTGGCCTGCTTCAAGCTGTCTAGCTGGATCTTGTCGCGGGCGTGGAAAATGCCGGGCACGTGGTAGTGCAGATTCCTGGCCACCTCGACCGTATGGTTGATCTGCACCTCGCCACTGGAGTTGATGGCTTTCAAGGTATAGATGCCTCCATCCTTATTGCTCGGCTTGTAGATCAGCAACTTGCACACACCGTGGGCCTCCTCAAGCATGGTGAATTTGTAGCTGGGCTTGACTTGGAAGCAACCGCGCCACCAAGTGATCACCGGTCGTGGATAGCCATGAACGTGGCACTCGATGGTCAGTTCATCGTCACGCAGATGGTAGTACTCTGAAATGGGCAAATAGAAGGTCTTAGGGACTCCGCGTTATCGAAATCGCCGACAAATACCTTTGATATACTGAATGGAAGGGGGTTTGGGTTCGTCCTTGAAAATTTCATAGACGGTCACAATGCAAGACGAAGACGTCTCGTCGTTTTGGTTCGAGATCACACACGAGTATTCTCCGGAGTCCAGAATGGTGGTGTTAAGCACCTCCAGAACAAGGATGTTGTTGTTATTGATGATTCGGTGGCATCCATCGCGTTCCAACTGCTTACGGTTATGGTACCATTTGGCTGACAACTCCGGACCGTCGACGGCGCAGGCCAGGCGGACACTTTGACCGGCTTCGACGGCTCGGTCGGACAGGAAGTTAATGAACTTGGGATTGCGGGCCTGTTCTCGGCGACGCTGCCAGTCGGCGTCGCGCTCCTTCTCACTGATCCGCTTGGCCTGGCTATATTTGCGCATCTGCTGCATGAATTCCTCTCCCTCAACGGCGGCAATGCGCTGCCAGCGCTCCTCCTCGTGTGGATCAGGGCGCACAAAGTCGTCAGAGGAGTCGCTGCCACGTCGCTTTTCTTTCTTCTTTGGATCAGCCACCTCTTCCTCCTCCTCTTCGGGCTCACGATCTTCAATTTCCTCATCAGGATATTCCTGTTCCTGGTCTTCGTCTCCATATCCGGCCTCGGTGCCATCATCACCCTCCTCACCCACGGCGGATGGATCCTCCTCCTCCTCCTCGGCCTCAGCTTCTTCCTGGGCACGCTGTTCGGCCTCCAGACGCTCCTGCTCCTCCTTTTCGGCTTGGAGTCGCTTTTGACGCTCCTCATAGGTTTCGCCCTTGGGCTTGGCACGGGCAGCCGCCTCCTCGGCAGCCTTAGCTGCTGCCTTTGCCTGCTCCTCCATCTGGAGCACCATTTTGCTCTTCTTCGGCGGTGGCTTGGCCTGCTGCTGCTGCTGTTCAAACATCTTTTTGCTAGCCTTCTGACCACCGCCGATCTCCAGTTTCAAGGTCAATTTCGGACTGGGCGATTTCTCTTTCTTCTCCTTCTTCTTGGGCGGTGCCTTCTTCTTGCCCTTTTTGACGGGCTCATCGCCTTCATCCAAATCGACACTGTCCTCTCTGTCCTCGCCGCCATAGTCACCCAAGTCCTCGCCATCCTCAGCCCCGGAAGGACTCATATCCTTGTCAATAGACTTTCGCTGGACACGGGGCTTTCTCGCCTTTTTCTCCTTCTTCTTCGGCTTAACCTCCTCAATAATCTCCTCTTCCTCGACCTCTTCATATTCCTCCACAACGTAGATAACCTCAACGTTGGACACATCCATTACGGCAGCGCGATCGATCACCGATAAATCGGACGTTATGTAACGTACGGGTTTTTGCACGTCCAACGGCTCGGAAATATCCATTACGAGGGCGCGATCGAAGACGGCGATATTGCAGGTGGTCTGGCTCTTAATATCCCTTCCCAGTTCGAAGGGAGTCTTCTCCTTTTCCTCGCGTTTCAGGAAAGGAGTAATGCTGCGCCATGTCGAAGGCGTTGCACTGCGTCGCGTCATATATAGGGTGAACGGGGTCTGACTACGGCCATGAATGGGCGTTGCACTGCGTCCACGTAGGCTTCCAGGAGTTGGGGACTTAAGCTTGCGCTTTTTTTGCGTTGGCACCTGCAGAGTATCCTGGGCAGATGCTCCCTCCGGTTCGGCCGAGGCCCGTGGCTCGATATCTCCGTTCTCCGTTTCTCCCATTTCGGATCGTTTTCGTACGGCCTCTTTAGGTTTTTAAAAGGATAAAACTCGTAAATGAAAACCGAAAATATTGATATCCGTCCGAGTCGTATATGTATGACTTTCTAAATCAATATATATAGCCCGCAACGGTTCGATCGAGATTTTAGGACGTGAGACGTCCGTTCGATGCAAAAGAAGATTCACGACTGTCACCGAACGTGGTGAAAATTTCGAAAACACATTCCTTCTCGAATCGAATCCCAATCGATCGATTTTTATGCTAAAAACAATTTTACGAATTCTGTTTTGTTCGCTGCCGACGTCCCACAAACACACGCATGCAACATTGATTGCCAAAATGCGATTCTATTTAAGTACTAGCCACTATTTTTTATTGAATGCAGGCAGTAAACGAAATTATATAAGTGAGAGTACGCGGCTGCCATTTGATTTTAATTAGCTATTTAAAGAGAGATCTATTTGGGTGCGATGATAAAGTGCATCGTTTACCTTTATCATTGAGCACTTGCCATTTTTTCGAACCGAAAGTGCGAATCGATTTGTTAGTCAAGAAGTAAATACGCCCGACATATCATAAAATTAACGCTTTACACTTACGAACTAGCTTCCTATATACTAACACTATACTAAATGCAAATACATACAAGCAAATGCAAGGTGCTTAATGCGAAATAAAAGAAATATATTCATTCGCAATTAAGAACTAATTAAGTTTGAAATTCGGGCATTAGATCACTAGGTACAATTGGCACTTACCTCGAATGTTGCGTGTAAATATTGGAGGGGTGCCAAATTTACTTGAAGGTGCTTCGTATATAGTCACAAGACAGCTAGTTTCGACTTCTCCATTTTGATTGGACGCTATGCAGCGGTAAATGCCAGAGTCACTAAGTTCGGCCGATTTAATTTCAAGGCACGACAGTCCGTCGTTCAATGTCCTCCTGTACTTGGCACCGTTCTCGATGAGACTCTTATCCTTGAACCATTGCACATTCATGTCGTGACCCGATAGTCCGCATGTTAATTTGAGGTCGCTGCCCGACGCCGTGTTTCGATTAGTCAATTGGATGTCAACAGTTGGCTTACGTTTGGCACTACGGGATTCCTTTCTATCCTTGTACTCTGAATCCATGGACTTGTACGTTTGCAGGCTAACAGAATCGGCAGTATCTTGTGCATCATAAGGCTTTCGCTTCACAAGAAGGGTTTCCTCGTCCAAAATCGCTGTTTCCTTGTTTTCAAGGCCATACACATTTCTAGTCAGATTTGAGTCTTCGGTCACGACCTTTTTCGATTCAGGAACCCCCTCAACCTGTTCAAGTTTCTTTTCACCCCGTTGTTCTTCTTCGATTGGTTTCTTCTCCAAGACCTTAGCTTTCTTAGACTTTGCCGCAGACTCCTTAACATCGGTGTCTCTACTTTCTTCAACCTTCTCCACGGAAATCTTTTCAGCAGTAACCTCGGTAACCTCAGCCTTTTGAACTTTCTTATCAGCAGTGATCTTAGCCTGTTTTTGCTTCTTTTCTTCCAGTTTTTCTTCTTCTACGGATTTCTTCTCCAAGTCCGTTTCTTCGGATTTCTTATCTTCGGCATTTTGGCTTTCTTCCACCTTCTCTTTGAAAATCTTTTCGGCAACAACCTCGGAAACCTCTGCCTTTTGAGCCTTCTTATCAGCAGTGACTTCAGCCTTCTTTTGTTTCTTTTCGTCAAGTTTTTCTTCTTCGACAGACTTCTTCTCCAGGACCTTAGCCTTCTTAGACTTTGATTCAGATTCCTTAACTTCGGACATTTGGCTTTCTTCCACCTTCTCCTCGGAAATCTTTTCGGCAACAACCTCGGAAACCTCTGCCTTTTGAGCCTTCTTATCAGCACTGACTTCAGCCTGCTTTTGTTTCTTTTCTTCCAGTTTTTCTTCTTCGGCGGATTTTTTCTCCAAGACCTTAGCCTTCTTAGACTTTTTCTCGGATTCCTCAACTTCGGCTTTTCGGCTTTCTTCCACCTTCTCTTCGGAAATCTTTTCAGCAACAGCCTCGGAAACCTCTGCCTGTTCAGATTTCTTATCAGCAGTGACCTCAGCCTTCTTTTGTTTCTTTTCGTCAATTTTTTCTTCTTCGACAGACTTCTTCTCCAGGACCTTAGCCTTCTTAAACTTGGTTTCAGAGTCCTTAACTTCGGACTTTTGGCTTTCTTCCACCTTTTCTTCGGAAATCTTTTCAGGAGCAACCTCGGAAACCTCTGCCTGTTGAGCCTTCTTATCAGCAGTGACTTCAGCCTGCTTTTGTTTCTTTTCGTCAATTTTTTCTTCTTCAACAGACTTCTTCTCCAGGACCTTAGCCTTCTTAGAATTTGCTTCAGAGTCCTTAACTTCGGACTTTCTGCTATCTTCCACCTTCTCTTCGGAAATCTTCTCGGCAACAACCTCGGAAACTTCTGCATTTTGAACCTTCTTAGACTTTTCCTTAGCTTCGGCTTTTTGGCTTTCTTCCACCTTCTCCTCGGAAACCTTTTCAGCAACAACCTCGGAAACCTCTACCTTTTGAGCCTTCTTATCAGCAGTGACTTCAGCCTGCCTTTGTTTCTTTTCGTCAAGTTTTTCTTCTTCGACAGACTTCTTCTCCAGGACCTTAGCCTTCTTAGACTTGGTTTTAGAGTCCTTAACTTCGGACTTTTGGCTTTCTTCCACCTTTTCTTCGGAAATCTTTTCGGCTACAACCTCGGAAGCCTCTGCCTTTTGAACTTTTTTATCAGCAGCGTCATCGACCTGTTTTAAATTCTTTTCTTCCAGTTTTTCCTCTTTGGCGGATTTCTTATCCAAGGCTTTAGCCTTCTTAGCCTTTTCCTCGGATTCCTTAACTTCGGCTTTTTGGCTTTCTTCCACCTTTTCTTCGGAAATCTTTTCGGCAACAACCTCGGAAACCTCTGCCTTTTGAGCCTTCTTATCAGCAGTGACTTCAGCCTGCTTTTGTTTCTTTTCGTCAATTTTTTCTTCTTCGACAGACTTCTTCTCCAGAACCTTAGCCTTCTTAAACTTGGTTTCAGAGTCCTTAACTTCGGACTTTTGGCTTTCTTCCACCTTTTCTTCGGAAATCTTTTCAGAAGCAACCTCGGAAACCTCTGCCTGTTGAGCTTTCTTATCAGCAATGACTTCAGCCTGCTTTTGTTTCTTTTCGTCAAGTTTTTCTTCTTCGACAGACTTATTCTCCAGGACCTTAGCCTTCTTAGACTTGGTTTCATAGTCCTTAACTTCGGACTTTTGGCTTTCTTCCACCTTTTCTTCGGAAATCTTTTCGGCAACAACCTCGGAAGCCTCTGCCTTTTGAACTTTTTTATCAGCAGCGACATCGACCTGTTTTTGATTCTTTTCTTCCAGTTTTTCCTCTTTATCGGATTTCTTATCCAAGGCTTTAGCCTTCTTAGCCTTTTCCTCGGATTCCTTAACTTCGGCTTTTTGGCTTTCTTCCACCTTTTCTTCGGAAATCTTTTCGGCAACAACCTCGGAAACCTCTGCCTTTTGAGCCTTCTTATCAGCAGTGACTTCAGCCTGCTTTTGTTTCTTTTCGTCAATTTTTTCTTCTTCGACAGACTTCTTCTCCAGGACCTTAGCCTTCTTAAACTTGGTTTCAGAGTCCTTAACTTCGGACTTTTGGCTTTCTTCCACCTTTTCTTCGGAAATCTTTTCAGGAGCAACCTCGGAAACCTCTGCCTGTTGAGCCTTCTTATCAGCAGTGACTTCAGCCTGCTTTTGTTTCTTTTCGTCAATTTTTTCTTCTTCAACAGACTTCTTCTCCAGGACCTTAGCCTTCTTAGAATTTGCTTCAGAGTCCTTAACTTCGGACTTTCTGCTATCTTCCACCTTCTCTTCGGAAATCTTCTCGGCAACAACCTCGGAAACCTCTGCATTTTGAACCTTCTTAGACTTTTCCTCAGATTCCTTAGCTTCGGCTTTTTGGCTTTCTTCCACCTTCTCCTCGGAAACCTTTTCAGCAACAACCTCGGAAACCTCTACCTTTTGAGCCTTCTTATCAGCAGTGACTTCAGCCTGCCTTTGTTTCTTTTCGTCAAGTTTTTCTTCTTCGACAGACTTCTTCTCCGGGACCTTAGCCTTCTTAGACTTGGCTTCAGAGTCCTTAACTTCGGACTTTTGGCTCTCTTCCACCTTCTCCTCGGAGACCTTTTCGACAACATCCTCGGAAACCTCTGCTTTTTGAGCCTTCTTATCAGCAGCGATCTCATCCTGTTTATGTAACTTTTCTTCCAGTTGTTCTTCTTCAACATACTTCTTCTCTAGGACTTTAGCCTTTGTAGACTTTTCTTCAGAGTCCTTAACTTCGGACTTTTGGCCTTCTTCCACCTTTTCTTCGGAAATCGTTCTGATGGTTGGTGATGGTTCTTCAGACACTTGCTTAAGATCTTCAATAATAGTTAAAATATTTTGCGTAATTATTTTAATCTTCCCATTAATAACAGCTGTATGAATCTCTCCATCTTTCTTTTCAATATAATCATAGTCGCTCAGTAGTATTGTTTTAATTTCTTCTATTTTTGGTTTCAATACATCAGTCTTTTCATCTAAGAGGTCATCAAGAATAACGAAAATATCCATTAAGCTCTGTTGCAAGCTAATCATTTTTTCCGATGACTTATCAACAAATGATTCCGATTGAATTTTTATCGATATTTTCTCCAAATTTAGTATTTTTGGTATCAATAAGGATGGCTTTGTGAACATATTGCTATCGTCAATAAGTTGAATTGCTGCTTTTGTAAGGATCACATTGGTTTTAATTTCTTTAAGATAATTGTGAATTACTTGATCAGCTGCTTCGGGACAGGCTTCGCACAGCGATTCAATAAAAGATTCAAAGAGTTCTTTATGATTTTGATCTTCGACTGCTTTTCCATCGTAGGTGTGAACTATTTGCTCTCTTAATTTAAATAGTAATTTGGCAACTGCTTCAACTTCGTTAAGGTTATTGATTATATTTTCACATTCTGTCAAAATTTCACTACAGCCCGCTGCCCTGCTTAATTTAGTGAAGTTGTCCTTTAAAGTCTTTAGAATATCCTCTTCGGTTTTCGTTCTCCTTGTCGCATCCTCTAAGGCTTTCTTGTCCAAAGGAACTCCCTTTCCTTCTTTAGTTTCTATGTCTTTTGATTCTTCAAGCTTTTCCTGAGATATCTTTTCAGCAATAACCTCAGATACTTCTGGTTTTTGGGACTTTCGATCGGCATCCTTGTCAACGGGCTTTTGTGCCTCAACTTCCAACTGCTTTTCCTCAAGAACTTGCTTATCGAACGCTTCACCCTTCTCTAACCTGCTTTCAGCGTCCTTTATTTCAGGCTTCTTGGGTTCTTCAATCTTTTCTTCGGAAATCTTCTCAGCGACGACCTCAGATACTTCTGCTTTCTGGGACTTTTTATCGATATTTTTATCAGCTGGCTTTTGTCCCTCAACTTCCAACTGCTTTTCCTCAAGAACTTGCTTATCGAAAGCTTCACCCTTCTCTGATTTCGTTTCAGCGTCCTGTATTTCATGCTTCTTGGGTTCTTCAATCTTTTCCTCGGAAATCTTCTCAGCGACGACCTCAGATACTTCTGGTTTCTGGGACTTTTGATCGATATTTTTATCAGCGGCCTTTTGTCCCTCAAGTTCCAACTGCCTTTCCTCAAGAACTTGCTTATCGAAAGCTTCACCCTTCTCTGCTTTCGTTTCAGCGTCCTTTATTTCAGGCTTCTTGGGTTCTTCAATCTTTTCCTCGGAAATCTTCTCAGCGACTACCTCAGATACTTCTGGTTGCTGGGACTTTTGATCGATATCTTTATCAGCTGGCTTTTTTCCCTCAACTTCCAACTGCTTTTCCTCAAGAACTTGCTTATCGAAAGCTTCACCCTTCTCTGATTTCGTTTCTGCGTCCTTTATTTCAGGCTTCTTGGGTTCTTCAATCTTTTCCTCAGAAATCTTCTCAGCGACGACCTCAGATACTTCTGGTTTCTGGGACTTTTGATCGATATTTTTATCAGCTGCCTTTTGTCCCTCAACTTCCAACTGCTTTTCCTCAAGAACTTGCTTATCGAAAGCTTCACCCTTCTCTGATTTCGTTTCTGCGTCCTTTATTTCATGCTTCTTGGGTTCTTCAATCTTTTCCTCGGAAATCTTCTCAGCGACGACCTCAGATACTTCTGGTTTCTGGGACTTTTGATCGATATTTTTATCAGCTGGCTTTTGTCCCTCAACTTCCAACTGCTTTTCCTCAAGAACTTGCTTATCGAAAGCTTCACCCTTCTCTGATTTCGTTTCTGCGTCCTTTATTTCAGGCTTCTTGGGTTCTTCAATCTTTTCCTCAGAAATCTTCTCAGCGACTACCTCAGATACTTCTGGTTTCTGGGACTTTTGATCGACATCCTTGTCAGCTTGCTTTTGTCCCTCAACTTCTAATTGCTTTACCTCAAGAACTTGCTTGTCGAATGCTTCACCCTTCTCTAACTTGCTTTCAGCGTCCTTTATTTCAGTCTTCTTTGGTTCTTCAATCCTTTCCTCGGAAATCTTCTCAGCAACAACTTCAGATACTTCTGGTTGCTTGGACTTTTGATCGACATCCGTGTCTGCCGGCTTTTGTGCTTCAACTTCCAACTGCTTTTCCTCAAGAACTTGCTTATCGAAAACTTCACCCTTCTCTGATTTCGTTTCAGTGTCCTTTATTTCAGGCTTCTTGGGTTCTTCAATCTTTTCTTCGGAAATCTTCTCAGCGACGACCTCAGATACTTCTGGTTTCTGGGACTTTTGATCGATATTTTTATCAGCTGGCTTTTGTCCCTCAACTTCCAACTGCTTTTCCTCAAGAACTTGCTTATCGAAAGCTTCACCCTTCTCTGATTTCGTTTCAGCGTCCTGTATTTCAGGCTTCTTGGGTTCTTCAATCTTTTCCTCGGAAATCTTCTCAGCGACGACCTCAGATACTTCTGGTTTCTGGGACTTTTGATCGATATTTTTATCAGCGGCCTTTTGTCCCTCAACTTCCAACTGCTTTTCCTCAAGAACTTGCTTATCGAAAGCTTCACCCTGCTCTGCTTTCGTTTCAGGCTTCTTGGGTTCTTCAATCTTTTCCTCGGAAATCTTCTCAGCGATTACCTCAGATACTTCTGGTTTCTTAGACTTTTGATCGATATCTTTATCAGCTGGCTTTTGTCCCTCAACTTCCAACAGCTTTTCCTCAAGAACTTGCTTATCGAACGCTTCACCCTTCTCTAACCTGCTTTCAGCGTCCTTTATTTCAGGCTTCTTGGGTTCTTCAATCTTTTCCTCGGAAATCTTCTCAGCGATGACCTCAGATACTTCTGGCTTCTGGGACTTTTGATCGACATCCTTGTCGGCCGGCTTTTGTGCTTCAACTTCCAACTGCTTTTCCTCAAGAACTTGCTTATCGAAAGCTTCACCCTTCTCTGATTTCGTTTCTGCGTCCTTTATTTCAGGCTTCTTGGGTACTTCAATCTTTTCCTCGGAAATCTTCTCAGCGACTACCTCAGATACTTCTGGTTTCTGGGACTTTTGATCGAAATCCTTGTCAGCTTGCTTTTGTCCCTCAACTTCTAATTGCTTTACCTCAAGAACTTGCTTGTCGAATGCTTCACCCTTCTCTAACTTGCTTTCAGCGTCTTTTATTTCAGGCTTCTTTGGTTCTTCAATCCTTTCCCCGGAAATCTTCTCAGCAACAACTTCAGATACTTCTGGTTGCTTGGATTTTTGATCGACATCCTTGTCAGCCGGCTTTTGTGCTTCAACTTCCAACTGCTTTTCCTCAAGAACTTGCTTATCGAAAGCTTCACCCTTCTCTGATTTCGTTTCAGCGTCCTTTATTTCAGGCTTCTTGGGTTCTTCAATCTTTTCCTCGGAAATCTTCTCAGCGATGACCTCAGATACTTCTGGCTTCTGGGATTTTTGATCGGCATCCTTGTCAGCTGGCTTTTGCGCCTCAACTTCCAACTGCTTTTCCTCAAGAACTTCCCTGTCGAACGCTTCACCCTTCTCTGATTTCGTTTCAGTGTCCTTTATTTCAGGCTTCTTGGGTTCTTCAATCTTTTCCTCGGAAATCTTCTCAGCGACTACCTCAGATACTTCTGGTTTCTGGGACTTTTGATCGATATCTCTATCAGCTGGCTTTTGTCCCTCAACTTCCAACTGCTTTTCCTCAAGAACTTGCTTATCGAAAGCTTCACCCTTCTCTGATTTCGTTTCAGCGTCCTTTATTTCAGGCTTCTTGGGTTCTTTAATCTTTTCCTCGGAAATCTTTTCAGCGACGACCTCAGATACTTCTGGTTTCTGGGACTTTTGATCGACATTCTTGTCAGCAGACTTTTGTGCCTCAACTTCCAACTGCTTTTCCTCAAGAACTTGCTTATCGAAAGCTTCACCCTTCTCTAACTTGCTTTGAGTGTCCTTTATTTCGGCTTTCTGTGGTTCTTCAATCTTTTCCTCTCTAATCTTCTCAACAACATCATCAGATCCTTCTGGTTTCTGGAACTTTTGTTCAACTTCTATGTCAGCTTGTTGCTGTGGTACATCTTCTGGCTTTAGCTCTACTAAAGAATCGGCAGCCTCTAATTTAGTTGCAGGCTCGATAATCTCCGACTTCTTGGGATCTTCTAAAACTGTGCATGCTTTTGAGTGGTCTACAACATCTTCGGTCTTTTCTTCAGGAAGATTTGTATCAGTTGCTTTTTCCTGCTGTTCGTTTTGTTTTTCAATACATTCCTTAAATTCTTCACAAATATTAAGAATCCTTTGAGTAATTACTTGTATTTTCCCTTGAAGCACAGCAGTATGGAGCTGACCCTGTTTTTTCTCAATATAATCATATTCGCTAAGCAATATGGTTTTCAATTCTTCTATCTTAGGATTTATTTTTTCCGTATTTTCGTCTAAGAGGTCATCAAATACAATGAAAATGTCCATTAAATTCTGCTGCAAGCTTATCATTTTTTCAGATGATTTATCAATATGTTTATCCGTCTGGGTTTTTTCTGCAATTTTTTCTAGATTAACCAATTTTGGAACCAGTAGGGACGGCTTCGTGAACAAGTTGCTATCATCGATAAGTTGAATCGCTGCCTTTGTTAAAATAATGTTGGTTTTAATTTCTTTAATGTAGTTTTGAATGACTTGTGCAGAGGCTTCTGGGCAGGCTTCCAAAAGTGATTCTATAAAGTCTTCGACAAGTTCTTTGTCTACCTGATCCTCAGGTGGCTTACCATCATAAGTATGAACTATATGTTCTCTCAATTTGAATATAGATTTTGAAACTTTGTCGACATCATTAATGTTATCAAGAATATCTTGTCCTTCTGTGATAATAGATTTAATGGATTCATTAAGTGTTTCATTATTAAGAGATTGGGATAACTTTTCCGTTAGAGCTTCCAGTACAATTTGTGGAGATGCCTTTTGAGGGACAATATCTGATGGTTTTTCCGACTCGACTATATTTTTTTCTACCAATTGTGGTTCCTTAATTTGCTCAACTTCTTGCTTAGATTCTTGTGCCTTTTGGTCAGCTGACTTTTCCTCTTCAGGTGATTTCTTTTCGCTTTGGAGTTGCGATTCAGTATCCTTCGTTTTCTTTGTAACATCTTTGGCCTCTTTAGTTAAATCCTGAGTAATATTTTGTGTTTCGGGTTGCTTGCTAGAATCTTGTTGTTGATCAGTCTCCAAGATTTTGGGTCTTTTGGCTTCTGGGCCAATATCCTCTGGGCTTTCTGAACTCTCTTTGATTTCTATGTCAGTATCAAAGGCTGATTCAGGCGAAGATACGTCCGATTGACTTTGAAGTTCGGAAAGGAATACGTTTAGCTTGTTCAGTTTTTCCTGTAAAACATTAATCTGCAACTGCAGTGTTTCTATTAGAGTATATTGCTTCTTAGTAATCTGAGTAAGTTGAGGCTGAGAAAGGATTTCTTTTTCAATTTGCACAAGAGTTGCCTCTAGCTGAGCAATATCATCCGTGTTCTCATCGAGCAAAAGGATACATTGCGGATTATTAGCTTTAAGTCCCTCCTCGATTTCGGTGAGGAATGCTTTGCCAGACGAAACATTTTCTATAATAATACTAATATCGATAGGCACCGTAGGCTCCACTGGAATTTCAGTTAATGCCTTCAATTCCGCGGTAATGGAATCAATTTCCTGTAAAAGTTCTATGACGCGAATTGTGTTTTCGTTATTCTCAATGAAATCGAAGACAGTCACTAGGCTACTTTGAGTCTTTAAAAGACCACCCAAGACCTCGTTAGTTACCTTCTCGCTGACTTCATTTAGACTTCGAAAAGCAGCCATTAGATTTGTCTGTAGCTGCACAACAACCGCAGATGATTTATCAACATCGACGGTGGGTTGAGCGGCCACAGCTCCAATGGAACGTACAAGATTTTCAATAGGACTCTTAAGAGTTTTTAGGTTTTGATAATCCGCACCTTCTAACTTCTCACAGTAGATAACGAAGTTTCCGAAAGACTTTTCGATTTTTCCAAACATTTCCTCTGCCAGCTGAGATTCTAAAATGGGCAACGAAAGCAATATGTCTTCGAAGGCACTCTCCACGTTCTCCAAAGAATCAACCAGACCAGATTCATAAGTATGTACCAAAGATTCCTTTAATTTAAACATGGTACGGGCTATTTCGGCTTGAGCCAGAACAGTTTCCTGCTGAACACTATCCGTTAGAAGAGCAGTCTGTATATTCTCTAAGTCGGACTTGAGTTGCTCCATTATTTTACCAACTTGCTGGAGTTCCTTGTTGGCATCAGCCTGGGTGACTTCTAAACAAGCTTCTAGTTGCTTAATGCCACTGGCGACACCTTGTTGTATATCAAAAACTTCCACAATTGGCTCTTCTTCTACAACAGCTACTTCCTGGATATGATCTGAAACAGTTTGCTGATTTCCACTGCTCTTTAACTCCGAGATATCACCCTGGGTGGATATATCAATGGCATTTTCCAAGAGTTGCACATCAATCTGTTCGCAGTACTGTCTTACATCACGTATTGGGTTGGCCAATGCCTTGAGCTTGGACAGTTCAAGATCACTCAAATTTTCAACGTCACTGTGGGCCATGTACTCCTCAACCTGAACAACACAGCGTTCCAAACTGCAGAGAGCTTCGGCGAAGGTACCCTGCTGACTTGCCTCTGACAGAGAATGGGCGGCTTCCACCACGTGTGTTTCCTGCACCAAAGCCAAACTATTTTGCAGTTCTTGCATCTTAACAAGGGCCGCCTGGACTTGCTGGGCAGCAGGACCCGATAAAGATACCACGTCAGGATCTTCGCAATGTGAAAGAACCGAAGTAATTCCTTGATTCAAATCAGTCAGTAAGACGGCAACAGATGAGGGTTTCTCGACACTTGAAGGTACTTCCGCCTCCGGATCAGTGGGCAAAGACTCTGCGGCTGACTTAAGCACTGACACATCATCCAAAGTGGATAAGTCCTCCATTGAAGCTTTCAAAGGCTTTAAATTTTCAAGCACATGAATCAGGCTGGAGAGGGGACTGGCAATAGACAGCTTCTCATCCATTGATTGCTTTTGTTGGCCAACAATATCACCAAACTGATTCAGGGCATTTAAAAATTCATTCTCAGTCAAAGATTCAGGACTGTCCAGGGCTTTAGCCAAGTCAGCAAAACTTTTGCCACACTCGAAAAGAATTCTGGTTGTGTTGGCCTCGTTGACATCGAGCGTTGTCTCTGCCTCGCTAAATGTTGCCAAACCCTTGGCAATTTGCAGGATACGTAGGAGATATACCTGTGCTTCATTTGAGGAGGTTTTCACCCTTTCCGAAGATTTAGGGCTCTCGCTGATTTTGTTCAATGCTTCCTGCAGTGTTTCGATGTTGCCCACTGCTTCCTCTAGGGAAACCTTGGTTTCTAGTACCTTCCGCAAGGCACTAAATGATTTGTCCTGCTGCTGCGCCGCGTATTCCTCATCCTGCTGAATCTCCTGCTGAAGGATCTTAAACTCATGCTCTTCTATGTCAATAACCACGTTACGAATTATGCTGCGTATATTGTCCAAAGTTTGAAGAGCTTGCTGATCGGGATCTCTAGCTGTTAGCAAGCGGCCGTGACTTTTTTGGGTGTTTTCTTGCAACATGCTGAGGGGTTCAATAAGGTCAGCTAGAGACCCAGTCATATTCTTAACCTCTGTCTGCCGGATGCAGTAGTTCAACTCGTCGACTGGTCGTTTTAGTCTATCCAGCAGCTCTACATGATGTCCGGTTATGTCTTTTTCCAAAATAGTGCTTATTAAAACTGACAATTCATCCTTTAGATTTAGTAAGCGAATCTTTACGTTGGAGGAGAGACGCGGAGAGATCCTCTCGATATTCGTCTCAAAATGCAAGACACCTTGAGCAAACGACTGCAACAATTTCTGGGTGTCAGCCACATCAAGTCCAGGCTCAGATCGGTGTTCCTCGTGAGGCATGGATGACTGACCGCTTTCCAGATCTTGTCCCAGCTGTGCCAAACCATTCTGAATCTCCTGCAATGGTGGTACCATCGATTCCACAGTGCTAACGGTCAGCATTCCTCCCTCCACACTGTCTGATTTTTCATTAAGGATAACTTCGAGACCCTTATTAAGCTCGAAAAGTGGAGGGGTCACAATATCAAGAATGGCCATGTTTATTTTCTGTTCCATTGACTCAGAACCCACAAGGGATTCGGTTTTATCTTCAATGGACTGCAGAGTGTTTTGAAGTTCCTTAATGGGTTCCACAATACTCTCAAGCACCTTCTGGTGCACTTTCTTATAAATCTGCTCCTCTGACTCTTCTAAAGACAGCTCCATTTCAACGCGTTCTAGGGCTTCCTGAATCTTAGCCACTGGCTTGCAAATCTCCTTCAGTGCACTAGCTTCGCTGGGAAGATTGGCTTCCGATATGGTGGCAAAGGATATGGAATCAGGCACTTCTTGCATTTTTTCAACAGTTTCCGAAAAGTGCTTAGCTGCCTCCAATTCCTGGGCCTCCTGGAGAAGGGCTTGCGACTTTATAGTGCCCTGCGTGATTTCTAGTCCCTGTTGGATGTCATCGGCAGTCAGTTCGATTTGGGCACGAAGACACTCTGACTCGAACTTTCTGCTCACAATTTTCAGCTCGTCCAGAGCTCTTTTCATTTGGTCAGCTACGCTGTCAATGATACAGACACTTGTGCGTTGGATGAGCGTTGCTCCCGTCTCGTCGATCTCCACACACTTTTCGATGACCTGCAGACCCATGTGCAACCGCCGAATATCTTCGTCCATTGATTGGATGAGGGCATCGATGTGAGTCTCACCAGAGTAGACCCGCAGTTTTGATTCGATTTGCTTGATGGGATCTATGATATTCCGAATGATGGCAATGCTCTGATCTGCTGCTGACGGGGTCATCATCATGGTGGACTGTTCCATCACCTCATTCTCCACTGCTGCCAAATGATTCTCAATAACCTTGAGCAACTTGGCCAGAGGAACGAGAGCAATTAAATTTTTATTGATCTCACTCTCGTCGGTGACCACCTTTGCTTGAGAAGATGGTGTGAACAAGAGTCCATCGCCAACTGCACCCGAAATATCCTGCAATCGAGCATCATCCTCAGTTGTCTTGGATGAATCACTGTCTGTCGGTTTCTTTGACTTCTTCCGTTTCGGCGGTGCCACAGAATCTTTGTCTTTTTCGGGACTGGTTTGAGCTTCAGACGCGGCCTTTTGGGATGCGGACATTTGTGCACTGGCAAAGGTTTGCAAATCGGACGCCTCCTCATCGCCTTGGCTGCCAGATGGTGATGCTTTGGATAGGCTGAAGAATTCATCTGTCTCTGTTGGCTTGGACTTCTTTCGCTTACGAATTGGAGCTGAAAGGGATAATTCCTCCTCCATTTTATCAAAGGACTCCTGGACATATTGCTCAGTCTCCTTGTCAATTATTCCTTCCCTTCCTGACGAGCCGTGTATTGTGATCTCGTTTATGGAAATGTCATCCATATCAGCCTCTGTACGCATATCCTCTTCGACTGTGAAATATTCGGGTGAAATATCGATGACCACGGCTTCCATCAGAAGTTTTCCCGATTGCGATGTCTCCTTGACAAAACGTAACGGTGGCAGTTCCACAATATTGTGTTCAGTGACATGCTCAGAGATTTGATCGGCATACATCTCCACAATTTTGAGAGCCTCTTCCTCCGTAAGGTCAGGAGTTTCGTAGAGGGAAACAGATACCTCCTTGCCATCGAAAGAGAACGACACATCACCCTTTTCATCGATGGTTATGTCACCGACAGGCGTCTCGTACAGCTGTGAGGTGCGCTCCTCCTGAATGGTGGACAAAGAGTAATTCCTCTGCAGCTCGTTCTCATGTAACTGTTCGCTCTTCTGCTGTTGACTCTTCTGGGCATCTTCAAAACCCAGAAGCGATGCAGAGCTGGCAACGACACCCATGCAATTTCTGGCCTCACAAGTGTAGGTGCCAAGGCAGCAGGTGCCATCCTGTCCAGAAATTATGCGGTGAATATCACCGGGTTTAAGTTCCACGCCATCCTTATACCACTTAAGGGCTGGCTGGGGAACTCCGATGACTTTGCACTCAAGATTGACGGCTCCCTCTTCTGTGAGCACCGCTCGCAGGCATTCCAGGAAGCGGGGTTTCTTGTAGTGCCGGGGGATCTGCAGCTTCAGAAAGCAGGATGTAATGCTAGTGCCGAAATCATTTACGGCCACACACTTCCACTCTGCTTGATCCACAAACTCCACCGAATTAATGTCCAGCAGCCAGTCCTCGTTTTCGCCCCGGTAATGGTTATATCGTTCGTTCGGATCAATAGGAAGCTCGTCACGGAACCAAGAAAGTATGGGATCCGGAGTGGCCTTTACCACCACCTTGAATTGGAAAGGTTCGTTGATCTTGGCATCCGTGCTCTTAAGTCCAGTGAGAAACTTTGGCGCTTGGTTCTGGCTTTGTTGGGAGAAGACAAGACGCTCCTCATCGGTCAGCTGGTTTTGGATGTCCTCTACGGTGAGAACGGCAGTGCTACTGGTTCCTCCCATGCAATTACTGGCAACGCAGCAATAGGTTCCCAAAGAGTTGGTGCCCGTGAGTTGGTAGACATCACCTGGCTTCAACTCGTGCCCATCCTTAAACCACTTAAGCAGTGGCGTGGGGAAGCCCACCACCTTGCATTCAAATGACACAAGTCCCTCCTCGGTGAGAACGGCGCGCAGACTCTCCATGAACCTGGGCTTGCGATAGTTCCTGGGAACTAAGAAATAATTGGATTGAAATCGATCATCCTTTAATGATATCAAATTCACTCACTGTCCATGGCAACGGTACACGATGAAATACCGACACTGCCGTCAAAGCTGGTCACCACGCATTTCCATTCGCCGGCATCACAGGATTCCGAGGGCTTTACTTCGATCATATAGACACCGAGACCGTCCTCGATCAGTTTGTACCGCTCAGCGGTATCCACCCGTCCGTTTGCATTGTACCAGCAGACGCTTTTTGGCCACGGCGGTACCACCACTGCGAAGGAATGGAGGAATGATCATGTAAACAATCTACTCAAATGCTGATCTCTGCCTTCGAAATTTTTGTTATTTTGTTTTCTTCTCTCTGGCGGGCAATTAGCGGTTTTGTTTTGCTCGCCACTTGCCGCAAATGTTGATGACCCACCTCAACATTCGAGACATTCCAACCGCGCGATCGAGTTCAAGTTTCTAGAGCACGATCTAAAAACAACAAGCGCCGGCGAGAATTGGACCAAATTTGCTAGCACGTCCGAGTGCCCGAGAGAAGATAAACAAAAATACGTTGGCCCGGTGCCAGCAGGAGATCTTCTCTAATCTACTACACTCTGAGTGCTCACCTTGACAACCGAGAATGATGGTCTCCCCGATGAGAATGCTCATATCTCGCAGTTCGTTCGTGAATATCGGAGGCGGCGCATTGCTCGCCACGCTGCGGAATGATAAGAACATTCGTAAAATAAGAGAACTCCACTAAATGGCCTTACAAATGATTAATTAACAAAAATATTTTCAATAGAAACAAAAATAGTTTAGCATTAGAACTATAAATAGTCCGAAAGATACAACTTACTAATTTTAAAAAGGAAAATAAAAATCCCTTACCTATCCGCCGGCTTGAGGGATCCTTCGCGACTTCCGCGTCCCACTACATGTACCTTGGAGCTGGAATAAGTAACGCCCATGCAGTTGCGAGCCTCACATGTGTACGTTCCAAGTGAGGTAGGATCATCTGCGTTGGCAGTCAAGGCGAAGATATCTCCAGCCTTGATCTCCTTGGAGTCCTTAAACCAGCGCAAATGCGGCGTTGGCACGCCCACGACCTTGCACTCCAGCGAAACGGTTCCCTGCTCAGTAAGCACCGCACGCAGCTCCTCCACAAACTCCGGAGTCTTGTAAGCCTTTGGCACTAAGACGTTCAGCGTTCCCAAACATGAGTTTCGACCACCAAAGTTCTCTGCCATTAGCATCCACTGACCGCCGTCATCGAGCGTCACAGGACTAATCTCCAAATAATGGAAGGTGCCCTCATTAATTTCTACGATGCGATCGTTGGCACACACCCTCCGGTCGTTTCTGTACCAGGTGAGCTATTTTTAAAAGAACATATTTATTCATTTAATTGACAACAATAAAAATAATCTTAATTTTTAAAGAGTTTAATCGCAAAGTATTTAAAAAATTAATATAACAATTTTTGAGTAAGGATATCCAAATGTACTAAATTTGTTTCCATGATTGACTTACCTTAAGATCTGTGGAACTTCGAATTTCGGTAAGAAGACGTGTCCGGGTGCCCACTTTGACGGAGAGGTCGAGCAGGCGGCGCAGGAACACCGGCGGATCATCGCCCGTGGATCTGTCCTCCACAATGAGCTCCACGTGCCTGCGCACCACATCGTGGCTCTTCGTCCTGGCGAACAGCGTGTAGTGGCCGGCGTCCTCCCGCTGCACATGCTCCACAGCCAGCTGGACTGCATTGCTGGTTGCCGTAATGCGGAAGCGGTCGGAGTTCTCGATGGGGACATCACCTCGGGTCCTGGGAGGAGCAAAGGATTAAGGACCAACATTTTGGCCATATATATAGAATAGCTTGATAAAAACGCTAAAATCATTATAAAAATAATTGTGGTCACTAGATCACCTTTTTCTATAAACCGATGAGGCCGAGGAGAGTGTGCCGTTGATTTGCTTGTGCTCATTGCACTGGCAGCATTTGGAACATCCGTTGCCCATAGCGATGAAATTGGTTTAGACCAAATTTACCAATAACCAAGATTCACTGTTCAATACTATTTCAATTTATGCCCCACGGAATGTTAAACTTATTTCATTATTTCCAAATATAGGCAAAGTTTGTAATGGTTTTGTCTGAATCAAATAATATTTCAAAGATACAAAATTAAATTTTGCGATTTACAGGAAAATAAAATTCAATTTCTCTGAATTAAATTTTCTTTTTAATCACCCAATTATTACATAGCCTTCAATATAGTGCCATTTGTTTATAGTTTATAAAAAATATATAAAATCACAATTAAAAATATGTTCTTTTATGAGCCGGTTATCTTAATTACTCGAGTTGCACGTGCAAACATTTAACAAACCATTTGAGGCGTAAGAGTCATTAATTTATGTGGCATAATTATTGCTCAATAAACGGAAACAAACAAAAGCCACAAGCACCATCGCACGAGAACCATAATAACAAATTTTGTGAAAGAGAAAATTGACCAAAATATTTGTGAATCGAAGCAAGAATGTTTATAAATAAATGCTTGAACTTGCTTAGCTTCGCTATTAATTGTATTTTGCGTTTTCAGTCACTTCACTAGGCAAAAGCCGCGGACTGCAATAATTTAAACGTTAGCTAGACAACAACGAGTTTGCCAATTTATTTTTGGGCTGTGTGTATTTTTTTTCTTTTTTGATGTTGAACGCTAATAACTTGTTGTTTCGCTGTCGTTTTCCTCGAGATCGAGAATTTTCAAATTGTTTCTTGTTTCCTTTGTGTGTCTGTTGTATTTTTTGGGGGCCCAGAATCAGTTTATTTATTTATCGTTTGCTCTCGCGGATATTGCCAAACATCTGACCGAACCGAACGCACTCTCTACATAGGTATTCCTCTTTGTATCTTCGCCAGGCACATTTGTATTATTATGTAATTTTCAATTTCGTTTGAGAAAAACTATTTTCAACACTTTTAGGGCATTAAATGGAAACGTTTTTGACGCACACCGCCGAAATTCCTTTCGCTGCCCCAAGTCAACCCCCAAAAACAAAAAGAAAATCCAAGGCAGACGAAAGTTCCGCGGACGCGACAGCCAGCGATTTGTTAATGTGGCTATATTTAGGCGTTCGTTACAGATCTCGGCCAGCGATCCCGCCACCCTCATCTAACGTTGATGTTCCTTTTTTTTTAAAACGTGTCCCGCAGGAACTATCGCGCAATTTGATTGATTTCGATATGCAGGTGATTTATTAAGTATACGCCGCATGGACACCCCCGGATTCCACGAACCAGTACGTATACGCAGTGGTGTATATATAGAACTCTCGTATAGCACTGCCGCTGCTACAATTCTTTATGTCCGCCCGCTGGGCAACGGATATGTTAATGCGCCGATCGTCAAAGTGGAACTGGCCGCTCAAGAGCTTTGGGTGCCCATAGCGAAAAAATCAGAGAAAGCTGGGAAACCTAAAGATGTACTGTTGCTCTTTGGCGGCGCAGACGCCGGTGGATCTCTCCTCTCGGTCTGCTCAATTGAGCAAATCCGTCGCCGTGAAGGAGAAGTCATATGTTAATGCGCAAATTTTAGCATTATGCACAGAGCAGACCGGGCGGAGCAAGGACGGTGATTCACGCGCCGAGTGCACAGGTAAGCGAAGGAAAATAGATACATATATTTGTTCGAATGATTTATGACTTACCACTCGAATTTGAAGGGCAGCAGTTCCGGCAAATCCTCTTCGACACAGTCGATCTTCACGAAGAACGTGGCACGTTCGTTGGGGATGCAGCGGATCAGGGAGCTGGAGTTTTCGCTAAACGTGATGCGAGGTGGTGGACGTTGGCCCGTTTCGAATCCTCCATCCTCGCCAGGAGGCTCTGCAAAATCAACAGTATAGTGCGTTAATTATAAGCATGACTAATCGCTTTATAAGTTTGGATGGCTGAGGATGCCGACGTAGAGCAAATTATCATAAATATTTGCGAAATGTCAAGAATTGCCCGTAGCCACGGGTAGACATAAACACACATAGTTATGCCGGCAACAAAGGCGAAGAGTCGTAGACTCTAACTGAATTCGCCTTCAGGATACCCTAATCGGAGTAATAATTGGATTATAAAAATAATTTCTACAAATTTCTTAATTTTTAATAATAAAAAAATAATATAGTATTATTACTATAAAATAGTAATAAAAAAATATTACAGTAATAATAATATAAAGTTTTATATTAAAATATGTATCTTCAAAAATTTAGTTGGTGTAAACAAGTTATAAATATGAGCTAAAGAATTGTAGTATATATTTTAATTAACTTCAGAAAAAAAAATCATAAATAATTTGTGATTCGAAAGTAAAGCATGTTTTCATATAAAATATCAGGAAAATGTCCAGAAATTAAAACTTTACAGAATAGAATTTGGAAAATATAATTTTTCAGTACTTTTAATTTTTGTTTATAAAATAATTGAACTACTAATGTAAGGAATTCTCCTTAAAAGAGCTAAAATAAATTTGTTTATTCCCAATTCAAATTCAATAAACACTCTAGTTCTTGGACTAATAATGTTTGTGTTTACACTATAAAGTTCGTTTGTCCCGTGCTCATCGGCATACCCTGCACAAACATCGAGTATTCAGAATATTCACTAAAAATAGTTCCAAATATTATTCATACGCGTCAACAAGCACTATTGGCTAGCATGTCGAATCTTTCTGCATGGGAGCCGTAATCAAATGTGATTCGTAAGTAGTATTTCGGCATTTGGGAACGGTTCGGTCCTCGCCGGGATACGGACACAATGATGACACTCGACCAGCGCATATTCCAACGTACAATTATGAAAATTTTTCATACTCAATTCACAATTACGTAACCGCACTGTGGCCGTACAAATGGCAAAGAAGAGAAAAACGGAGACGGAGCCCGTGGCAGGCCTTAAAAATACATTAATAGACCCACAAATAGCCATATAGTACTCTGTTTTGGGACCGGGAACGGGAACAGTAGCAAGAAAAAACAGGAGAATCTCTCACTTTCCCAGCGCCGGGCATTTCGAGCTGGGCACTTGGATGATGCTTACCCGCGGCATTGGCTGCTGGCGATCTTTCCATGCTCAGGTCTCACTATATAATTAGACGAAACAGGGCCACTTTGGCATGGGACTTTCAGGACTTGCTGTGTAGGATTAGGGGGCAGTATTGTCGGATGGGTATTTTCAATGCGGCATTAACCGAAAGCTATTTCTTTTTATTTATATTTAGAATGCGCCGCACACAAACGATGGTAAAAATTTGAATTTTTCCGTTTCCGATTCACTGAAATGAAATTTTCCGCTGGTAATTACGCGTATTCGTCGGGCACAATGGATCGGAAAATGTGTAATTAGGATATATTCACATTTTCGGCCTGTGGCTTTATTTAAAACTGTGCTGGTGCAGCGGATATACACGTATTCCTCTTTCAATTCCAATTTGAAATCCACCAGACACTCGCACACTCACACTCACGTTTGGGAACACAAAGATGTTCTATCTTTCTATATATAAACAATATGTACAACACAGCATCGACAGTCGAATAGCGCACACCACGTCCAGCAGACACCTCCTGGATCTCCGATCGTTTTTCTCAGACTAAACTGAACCTCACTGAACAGACAGATCAGCAGCAGCAGCGTCGTCTGTCCATGTTGAATGTCGGATAATTTTGGCTGCTCCGAGAACAAGCGAACTCTCCTGAAGATGATCAGAGATGCCGCGCATGTCTTCTGGTTCGACGACTCTCTTCCGATGGTAAATAAAAAATATACACAACACATTTTGTAGGGCTCTCAGGTAAGTACATATCTCAACCTGGCTAAGGCAATGAATATTTAATCCTTTGGCTTAGGCCTAAACACACATACATACAATTTATAGTAAATATAGTTGACAATTGATCGAAAAATAGCAATTGCAAAATACAAAATTGCACTCAGCGGTGCAACAAGTGGCGGCAACTTGTTACCTTGTACGTTAGTTTGTTAGTATTGTTCGATTAAGCTAATCCGAATTCCAAATGCTTCCCTCAGACCGAGTAGAAGTGCGAGTTAAATCTTGTGCGACACGAGGGTTCCGTGAATGGCGAAAACCAGGCTAGTGAGAAACGTCCGAACACCGACTGGATGCTCTTGAGGCGAGATTTCTTGGCCCACCGGGCCTCCTCTTTCTTTAATTGCTCAATGCCCTATTGGTAAGAGAGATGGGAGAATATTATCCGGATAATCCAATGCAGAGAGTCAGCGAAACACCCACCGTCTGATCGTTGAGGATAGCCGAAAGCTGAGTGGCCAGCATGATAATGGTGAATATGCCGAACATAAGGCCCTCGAAGGTGAGAAAGAGCAGCAGGAATATAGTAGCCGGCGGAGAATACGGCGAACAGGTGCGCCAGTCGTTTTTTACGCACTCCGCGAACTGGGTGAGCACCAGAAAGAGCGTGTGCACGGAGATCGAAGCTATATAGAACTACGGATCAAAAGGGGAAAGGAAGGAAAGAGCAATTAACTGCGAGACTAATATGCTATGAGTTATGCACTTACGGTAAAGAGCACAAAGTACTTCTGGTTGTTCTCGCCCACACAATTATTGACCCACGGACAGTGGTGGTCCATCTTTCGGATGCACCGCTGACAAACGGAGCAGTGATGGGCCCGCTCTGGCTTTATGCTACAACACTTAGGGCATTTGTAAAACATCTGACCCTCACGGTAGCCCATCTGCTCGATCATCTCCTTAGTGGCGTTCCCTCGTGGTACAGCGCCCTGAAATATATATAGGAGAATCAGATTTATTATTATTCAGTAACTTGGCTAAATATTATAAAAATAAAATAAAATAAAATAAAATATAAAATATTGTCTCTTTAATTTATTTATGTTCAACATAATAATAATGGAATTCACACATACACACATATTATGTGAAGTAAAAATAATATTAGAATACTTTAAATATTATAACATAGAATTATTATACTGCGGTTAGAATAATAGGGCACATATTTTTAAAACTCATGCTCATTTGGCATTTTTGCTACCTACATAGATAAACCGAAATGAAATGAAAGTACAACGACCTAGGTGAAAACTCCATCATCACTAGCCGTAACCCACTTACCGGATCCGAGAGCATTGTGCGTATGTGGGAGGCAAAGGCGAGGAAGGCAAGAGCCTGGAATACGATCATGTTGATGGTGCTAAAGACCGTATAGTTACTAGGCAGAAGGATTAGCCGCATGACCACGAACTCGGCAAACAGGATGAGCAGCCATGTCATGACCACACAGACAATCCCGCAGATATCCTTAACGCACCAAGCCTTGTTCCCACAACATCGGTTGTGCTGGTCAACGCCACCGAATCCACCGCTTCCACTGGGAGAGAGAGCTGAGTACGAGTAGTTCATGGTGTCCGGATGCAGAACACGCACAGGTGACGCATCGGACTCGTCAATTTCCTGATAACGCGACCGGACTGCGTACCATTAGCCAAAAGGCGTTTGATAAAAGGGAAACACGGAACACAAAACACAATCGTAGAGAAATATGGCATTCGCGATGGGGGAGGTGGCGTCAGCTGCTAGCCATTCGCCACGAGCCGCTGCCAGTGGGAGGATAAGTAAGGTGGCGTTTCATAAAATTGTTCGTTTATCTTTCAACTTAATCCGAATACAAATACATTTACAATACAACAATTAAAATAGATACAAGGAAATACGGGCTCCTATCTACAAGGTTTCCAGTATCAGGTGTTATGCAGGCGTTAACTTGGCCTTAGGCTCTAATAAAGCCCAGAGTCCAGCTAGTGATGAAATCGCTCCTAGTAGTCCTATTGTACGAGGAGTGAGACTTGTGTAGCCCAATGCCGTCAGCGGAATGAAGAAGTCGCATAAGTTCTTCACCGTGTCTACCAGTATATCCTTATGTCCCTGCATCAGAACGTATGATTGTAGTGCAAGGCGTTTTAAATCCTCTGGAGAGTTAATGCTCGTGGGGATGCGGCAGTGCGAAATTCCGGCTTTACAGCCAGATCTATGAAGGTCAAGTACCCTCATGATCTCGTAGAAATCTCTGCACAGGTTCATGATGATTGAAAAGAGCCAGTATTTGTTGGCGATGCTGGACCAACGCTTGGCGTTCACTGCCGTCAGTCCCGTCCTGGCCAGCCAGAGAAAATGATCGGCGAAGAGAAACAGTGATTGTGACAGTTTGCTCAATGTGAGCGTCACCCGGATGGTGAGATCCGGATAGTGAATTGTCTTTAGGGTGCCGTAGAACACATCGACGCATTTGCCAAATCGGAGCACTGGAATTAAAAGAGATTAGCTTGTCATTAAGGAGGTGTACACGGATACCCACACTTCCGAAAGGTGCTCAGAATGTATTCGATCGTCTTGAAGTTGTCCACAAGCGATGGGCTGGAATTGGCGGACTCTAAAGAGTCCCACATCGCTCGCGAGGCATATTGGATAAGGCGGGCGATTTTGTCCCGACCGCCAGCCTGGTTGTTCAACTGCACTAGCCGATCCATACTCATGTTGTGACCGTTTAGCTAGTTGTGGAGCAGATTCAAATTTAAGCTAGATCCAAAATCCAAAGGTCAAATGTTTTGCTGGGGAGCCATCAGCTGTTCCTTCGATTTCATGTGAATGGCAAGGCCTTCTTTTTAAAAGAGCGGCAGACATGGTCGCCGGTTGAATGATTGGTAGGGGTCAAACAAATTAATTCAACTACATTATTAAATAAAATAGCTTTTTAGGTAAGACTGAAAGAATTCCAAAATAGAAGTACTAAAAATAAAATGATTTCTTATTCACGATTTAAATATGAGTAGCCAGTGATAATCGTACGCCTATGCTCATAAAAGAGACGTCGTTTTTCAACACTGTTGTTTCAACACTTTTATTGTTGTATTTTCGCCACGTAAAAAGTGGCACGATTTTATTTTTCAAAATACCTGACACACAACTAACAAATTAACCATGGCTGTAAGTGTAACCAGCAGGATGACATAGCTCTCGAGGATTACATAAAATACTTTCCCTATTTGCAGCCCCAACAGAAGGGCAAACAGGGTACGAAAGGCGCCAAGCAAATCGTAGAGGAAAACAAGACGACACTGGCTTTCTACCGGAACATGGCTATTGGATGCGCTGCACCCGCCCTGCTTCTAAGCTTCCTGGTCTTTGAAGTCACCAAAACCTCAGTAGTAAGTCGTTATGAGTTCCATTTAATAATAATATAATAATCTTGTTTTCCTCCTTCGTTAGTTTATGCACATCTTGGCATTGCTGATCCTAGGCAGTTCGTACCAGTTTATGGCCTTCATGTCGAAGGCAAAGTACTCTGAGAGCGGTGCCCTAGTTGACTCCGGCAACGATTTAAATATGGAGGGAGGCATAGCGGAGTAAGTGTAACCAATGAAGCCTACAACATATTTGCTTATGTGATTTCCCTTGCAGAAACGTAAAGGATCTTATCATCCTCACATCCGGTACTTTGCTGCTGGCCCTCATCTCCAACTACTTCTGGCTAGTGCTGCTTCTGGCGCCCATTCGTGCTGGTTGGATGCTCTGGGGCACTGTCATCCAGCCATGGCTGTCGCAGCGCAACAGCCAGGACGATAATCCTGAAGTTGACGAGAAAAAGCAGAAGAAGATGGAGCGCAAGATGCGACGCATGAGATAGGAGCCACCTCTCGAAGTGCTCTAGCGGTTGAGGAATTCCTGGTTTTAATGAGATTCTATGCTTAGTTGTGTGTGCGTTTCCGTATTGTTAGATATTCAGCAAATTAAACTGACCGAGACAAAAGACAATTCACGGATTTAGTTAGTCAAAGCATTTGTGCGATTTAATTACGGTGAATTTTCGAAGATGACTGGCTCCGCGAGGAAAATGGATTTCCTCAAGGTTGCCGCCAATTTTTGGTGCATTGTAAATATATTCGTGTTATTGTTTATAAATAAATGTGCTTCAGTGCAGCAGGAACTAGTGCAGTGTCCGTTTCTCTTTGAGATGCTGGCGAAAGGAGTGTGGGATTCAAATAATAAGCAGTAAAAGAGCGGTAAAAATAAAATTAAGCTTTTGCAACAATTTATTCTCTTGTTGGCTAGACAAATGTGAGCATCCAAACTAAAGTATAAAAGTATCAAATAGTGTTATGTTTTGGGTACTGTTGTGTTGTGCGACTCAGAGCACTAGATTTCACTAGGTCTAGATTCCAAAACCCCTACGGGCTCTGAGACACGCACCGCTTACAAAAACAACGAGGGCAATGATGGTAACTTAAGAACTTTAAATGCAGGTTAAGTGAGAGGGGAAGGGAACTGGGGAGAGGCACATGCGCGGATAGACCGGGATGGATCCTTCCAACCAGTGGAGCGGTGACCTCCTTGCCTAACATCATACATCTGTGCTTAACTACAACAACTTCCGAATAATATATATGCTGTATATACGTAAATATATAACATCGACGCGACTCGTTCTGCACGCCTTAGTTGTACTGCTCGGGAATGACGTATGAGATGTCGTCCCACGGGTGACGGTACAGGCCCTGTTTGAGACGTTTCTGATCCATGTAGTGACCAATAAATCCTATGCTGCGACCCAGAACGAATAGAGAGTTGATGGCGCCAACATTGATGTACTCTTGCGCTTCCTCACTGAAATTAAAATGGAGTGTGTAAGTTTTTGGATTTTTATGTCACCTCCAGAGTCATCTGCTCACCTGGTAAATGAGCCGCTGTTGCGCAGCATGTCCACGAATGCGGTGGCTATCACGCCATCAACATTGAGGATAAGATTCGGTTTCTTGTTAGTAGTGATCTTTTCTACCTCCAGGGCGTATTTAAGAAGGGGACACGCTGGGAAATTCTCCAGCACGAATTCCTTAATGATTTTTACTCGCACATCTGGGTTGTTAATGGACTTTACTCGGTGGCCAATACCCAAGATAAGTTTGCCCTCCTTGCGCATCTTATTCACGAACTCCATGGGGTGCAGGTTGGTATCGTACGCCTCAGAGAACTGTCGGGCCGACCCATCCAGAGCACCTCCAAATCGATCGCCCTGTAAGGAAATTTCATATAAAGTTGCGGACAGGAATGTTTAAGCTAATCAGGTTATCTTACGATAGTTAGCAGACCGCTGACGACTGAAGACACCAGGTCCTTGCCAGCACGAGCACACACAATGGTGTTGTGAGCTCCCGAAACGGCGGGTCCATGATCGGCAGTGACCATCAGACACATCTCGAAGAACTTGCACACGTAGGAAGGCAGGCAACGCTGGAACCACAGCAGCGAGATGACACCGCCAATACCGACATCCTTGCTGAGCACTTCGCTGATTGGCATTCCAGCATAGATCAGCTCTTGGCCTCGCTCGTCGCAGATTGACGTCATGAAGGAAGCAGGCTTGCGGATAAGACCCAGCTCACGAGCCCAAGAGTAATCCATAGGTACGGTTGGCGGCGGCACCTCCTCCTTGGGCACCACACGACCAGTCTTCACCAGCTCGCTATATACGTGATGGATGAGCTCGCCCAATGTATCGAACGAATCTGGAACGTAGGCGCCGGCATCCCGCAGACCCTTGTTCTTAGCTGTAGCTGTCTCACGATCGGAATTCGCGCAGGATCCGGCATGGCCAAACTGCACTTCGGAAGTAAACATACTAGCGCAGGTTCCAATACACCATGCCACCAGCGGCTTGGTAATGCGCCCGTCCTTTAGAGCGGCGCACACTTCGTACTCTTCGGTGCCACCAACTTCTCCAAGCAGAACGATCAGCTTGGTCTCTGGATCAGCTTGATACCGCAGAATATGGTCCATAAAAGTGGAGCCTGGATAGCGATCGCCTCCAATGGCAATGCCCTCGATAACGCCGTCGGTTGCCTTAGAAATTATGTTATTCAGTTCGTTAGACATTCCTCCGGAACGGGAAACATACGCCACACTGCCTGGACGGTACAATTTCGAGTGCAGGATGTTGTCCAGCATACCGCCAGTGTTGCCAATCTTGAAGCAACCGGGCTTTACACCTCCAACGGTAGCAGGTCCAATGATGGCAACTCCTTTCTTGTCCGCTTCAATGATCAGCTTACGGGTCATGTTCTCAGGAATTCCCTCGGCGATAATAGCTACGGTCCGGATTTGGGGAAAGTCAAGCACCTCAAGCGTAGACTCGTAAGCGCTGCGCATGGAAGCGAAGTTGACCATAACGTCGACATCCTTGTGCTTATGGATGGCATCGGACATTTTCTTGTAGACGGGAATGAGGATTTCCTTGTGTCCCCAGTAGTACTTCTGCTTGTGATCGCCGGTGAAGGGGTATACCATTGCCACCACAGAAGGCTCGTCGCGTCTAAAAAATGAAAAGATAAGTATTTTACAGGATTTATTCCTTCCACTATTTGGACAAAACTATGATTTACCTGCAGATGAAGTCAAAGTCGAGCATCGACTGCACTGCCCGCTGCTGCATGCCCCATACAATCGCTTTGGTGGTGTTGGAAAAGAACTTTCGGTTCACGCTCGATCCATTACGCTGAGCACCGGCGATGCTTGCGCTGTCGCCCTCATCTGCTGAGATAGGTGGTAGTTTAATCGGTTTAGCTGCGGTCGGGCTCAGGGCTATCCCAAATGGAACGAGTCGAGAGACGAGATCGATGTCGGGAATCGATTGTATGATGATGGAGGAGCAGAGAGCGAGATCAGGACGTGTAGAAGATTGACAAACCAGTACGAAACACAAACATAAACATTACACGAACACGGGGTTATGAGGGATCAGTTCGGGTGCAGATCGGTTGGCCAAACGAGCATTTCAAATTGGTATTTGATTTCGATTAGTTAATAATTTGGTGAAGGATTATGTGGATATATATATTTTTGTTTTTTGGTGAGTGTGGCGACAAGATTCGTTGTCATTGTAGTCGAGGGCGAGCAATGCAAACATACAAAATACAGAGAGAGAAAAGAGAAAGATCAGATAAGTGAGGTCGGTCGATGCGTTGCAATCCTTAGCGGGGATACAAACATTTAACTAAATTACAACTTAAATGGATTAGTGAGATCCCTGGTTATCCATAAATAAACTCATAAAACACCCATCTACATCACAATCCATTCTACACTACTTACCGGAACCGGAGGTCAAAGCCTCGGTGGCATCGCTGGCTGACTTGAGATCCGCTTGGGCCTGCTGTCCACCGGGCAGCAGGAAGTTGGCCGTCGAGAACTCAACGCTGGCCACTTGGGGAATGGGCCGCTTGCCCAGTGCCATTCCACAAATAGCGGTCATGTGGGTCTCGGGTCCAAAGACGTGGAGTGGGATACCCAGGGTGCTGCCAAAGTCGCGCATCCTCCGGAGACCCTCCTGATAGTTGGGCCCAGCGCGTCGAACAAAGATAGATACATTGTGCTCCACCAGCTTTGGCTGGAATTCGCGCAGGGCGGTGATGATACCTGTACAGACAATAAATTTTAGATTGATTGTTGATAAGATAAGAAAACTTTGTCTCACCTTGGAAGGTCGACGCCACATTGGTAAAGTTGGCAATGCCACCTCCTGTAATCAGCACCTTGCCATCTGGATGCTTTGGCGAGGAGGTCATTAGGTTGAGAATCGTCTTGGCGTACTCGTAAGTCTGCTGCTCCGAAGGAGCTCCACTGTATTCTCCATAGTTGGCCAGCTCAGAGGCTCCACCCAAATCGCAAATGGTGTCCGAGTATATGACACTGGCACCACCGCCAGCAACCATTGTCCATATGCGTCCGTTACGATTAAGGATGGTCAGCTTGAGCGAAGCTCCGCTCTTGGCGTCTAGATCGGCGATGTACGCCTCCTCGGGGTAGGCATCACGTCCGAATGGAGGTGGGTAGTCAATTTCACCCCACTTGGGACGACATATAAAGTCAGCGGTCGAGTCCAGCTTGGCCGCTAAATCCAAGATGTACAGATTGTCGGCTGTCACCACCAGAGGGTTGATCTCGAGATATGTGAAGTATAGGTCAACATAAGTCGTGTACAAAGCGCTAATAAACTTGGCAATGCGATCCTTGGTGCTAGCGTCCTTGACTTCCTTTAAAAGTTTGCTCTTGACATCAGCTAGCGACAGAGCTGAATTCACAGGGACATCTAATTTCACGGCCTTAGAATCCACATCACCAATATCCACGCCACCTTGGTGGTAAAACAGGATGGTGTCAGCTGCGCGATGTGAGTAAATGCACACATACATCTCCTCAGCCTAATATATTACATATTAAAATTACATATATATTTTTACAAAGAAACCATTGATAACTCACATCAGTATGCGGCACGAAAGGCTCAATGATAAAGTTCCGCAGCTTGCCGACGGCATTTCCTATCTTCTGGTCCTTGTTGAGACGTTCACCAATCCACTGCTTCACCTGCTCGAAGTTCTTCTTAACACCAATCAATCCAAGCTTTCCACGGCGCTTGATGAGTTGATCGGGCTTGACCACCAGAGGCTGCAACAAAGGAAAGGACAGTGCTAATTAAATGTTTTTTAAATATACATATAATAGTATAAGCGACAAATCGTTGAACTAAAGCCTTCTGAGCTGGGCGTCAGCAAAAAGCCGGTTCCAACGATCAGCATCTGTCAGCAAGATCAGCCGATAACACCAGGGGTCGTTCCCGCGTCATTGGCAATGACAATGCCAGCGCTCGTACCCTTACCCGAACTTGTACTTGTGCCCACACAAAAACACATCTCATATGCTTATTAGAAGATCGTACGAGTGTAAATTGAGCAAACAGTCCGAGTACAAAATGTCATTCGAGTTGCCAGGCGATCTTTGTAGTGTAATTATAGCCGAAAAAGATCTCTTCAGCGAAGTTTTTTTAACTTATTTAATAAATTATAAATTTGTACCTTTAAAGTTTTAATTTATAAAATAAAAAAACTCCTAAAATTTCCGGTTTTTCCAAGAGCAAACATTAAAATAGTATAATTTAATTATACAAATGAGAGTAAATTAATTTTTGTATGTCAATAATAAAAGAAAAAAACATCTGAATTAAAGCGTATATACCTTAAATATACTACCGTGCATTGTTATTGTTTGCTTTTTATTGTGAATTAAGACTAGAAGTGAGTGTTTACCCATCGCTCTTCAGAGAGGTAAACAATGGGGATTCTTTAGAAAATACAATCACTAAGTTATTATTATTATTTGGCAGCTTTTAACGAAAAGAATTTGCCCTGACATTTAGTTCACACATTTAAGATAAGAATCGAAGTATTTTTAAAATATGAAATACTTTTTTCTTAAGTGATAGTGAACCCAAAGTCTGAGATAAGATTATAATTTTTTGATCATAATATTGGTTTATTCCCCAAAAAAGTAAAACCCCAATACTCCAATGGGATTTTAACAATTTCCCACTTATTGGATTTCCACCTAACAAATTCCCCTTTAGGTTGGGTAAACAATTGGGACGCTCCCTCTATAATCAACAAATAATTCAAAGATAAGATTTCAACATCTTTGGTTTCCATGGTATACTATCTTCTTCTAGCCACTGTAGCTAGTTGGATTTATAAAAAAAAAACATTTCACTTCGCAAAACTGCAAGATAAGACCAATAAATTAAAACGCGCCAAAATCAACAAATATTTTAACGATAAGATTTTGAATACTTGGATTTCAGTGATAGAGGTTTTTCTGCAAAAACATGACATATTAGCTTTCCCGAATTGCCCACTCAACCTCAACAATAAACCGTCACCCTCTAGATAAGTACATGGCTACAGTCAAATTTTCCACTATCGATCGGAAGGTCAATCAGAGATAGGTGCGTGATCGAGAATCCCAATCTCCACGCACGCTTATCGTGTTCACAAATGAGGTGAGCCTGATCCACTAGCGGATAACCAATCGGGCCAAGACCACGCCATGCCACGCGACCTGCGACTGGGAGACCGGCTGTCTGATAAAAGAAAAACTAGAGTGCACCATCGGGTGAGCTGTTCGACTTAGCCTGCGTCCGTCTGTCTACGCCGCAGATTCCGACGAATAACTCGCACGACTGGCGCCCAAATAGCTCTTATCAAGAGTCGCGCTTAGTCATCCGCCGGCGGCGTGGTAGAGCGTCCACCACGAGGTCAAGTTCAATGACAATCCCGCCAAGCGTTTGTTGTCGCTGGCCCAATTGTTGTTTTTGCATATCGGCTGATTCGCAATCGGCGAGTTGCGTAGCTATTTTTAACTGGCACTCACCGTGGTCAGCAGCCAGGGCTGGTCGACTGCGAGCTTGGACCAATCTGTCGTAGAGTTCACTGTGGCAAAACGGCAGGTGGCCGCGCCTGCGCCGTGGGTGTTGAGATGACGGTTCAGGATGTCCTTGCCGGAGGCCTCCGTGATTGCTTTCGCCGACATGATGGAGCTGCAATTATAAAAGATTGAAGGAATATAGATTTTTATAGCATTCTTCAAAGACGAATAAAGGAGGTCTTGTGTTCGCGCGTACCGTTTGACTTTGCCTGTACTTTCAAACTTTGATTTTATTTACTTAGAATTGATTAGAGCGCGACTGTGTGCAGGTGCAATAGGTTTTGAGTTCGTTTCTAAGTGTGCGTGCTGGGCCTTAGCTTTGGGGAACCAAGCAATTAGTCAACCTGCACGTCGTCGGGTCTGGGAGTAAACTGAAATCGAATATGCGACAGCACCAGCCATGAAAATGAGCCAGCAACAGGCGTATTCTGATTTCGATTTCGTGGCGCTGCCTCGGCTTTAGCTTCGGCTTCGGGTTTTTAGAATTTCGGGTGATATGCATAGCTTTCGCTCTCTTCCAGTTACCCAGAGATTAGGGCTACAACGGGATCTCTATCTTACCCTGGACCATTAAGTGGGGGGAACTTATTTTGTTGGAACCGGTTATCATCATATCATTGCAACGAAACCCAAGCCCAGTTAGTCAGTGGGTCACATTAACTGAGGGCTCAACTTTCTCCAAAATACCTATAGAGCTAAGGCTACGTATAGTGCTCGCAAAACGGAAAAAACTTGGAATCTAATTCACAAAAAAGAGCACATTTTAAGGGGGCTGATGACTTTGCAAGTACCTACACACTCGATCTAATTTACATCTGGAAACGAAGTTCACGCCTTTCTGATGCGTATGGAAATTGGCTGGTGTGCTGGTGAAACTAAAAACTAAAACCGAAACCGAAAACTGGCGCTGCTCGAATGTTGTAAGCGGTGAAAGTGGGCAAAATCAATAAGGTTGTTGCATCACTGTTCGTGGGTCAAATAGCCATCAGTCTTCTCCACTATTTATTGAAAAACGTTTGCAGATTTTCGCATTAATAATTCTGCAAGACTGCGAAAATGTGTTGATATGTATGCGTGTGTTTGTATAGCAAGCGGAGCGATCTGTGCGAAATCTCTTCTGGTCATGTTTTCTGCTGCCCCAACTCTTCTTTTTTTAAATTCACACGACGGATATAGCCACGGAGGACTACCTAAGTCGGGGACACTCACTTTAATTAAATCAGCTTCACGACCTGCGATTAATTTTAACACGTAAACTAAACTGCAACTTTCTTTTGGTTTGTCGTTTCTTATAAACCTAGAGATGGTAAAATGCGCGATGGTCGAAACTCGATAACTGTTTCACTGTTTTCTCCTGGATACATGTCGATATGTGTTGTAAATAAAGCTTCAACAGCATACTTTTCGGCGCAATCATAAAAGGCATGGTGGTATACAGCAATATTAATATTTGGGAAGTTCATATACAGTACTTAAGCAATGCAGAGAGAATAAGAACTTTGAATAAAAGAATATGCTACGTGTAATATACTTTCTTATAGCTGGCAATTCATATAAGACTTTGTAATGATTAATGGGTAAACGATTTGGTTTATTAACATCAAAAATAATATATTTTCTTCCTAAAGTTCATCGATCTATGTAACCAAACAGTTACAGTATGATAGCAACATTGAGATTTCTAGTAGTTTAAAAAAAAATACTTTTAACATATCCGTTCTGAAAACATATAATAAATAATCAAATAACTATTACTGCACTCCCACCTGATGCTTCTTGATCTAGACTTATTTGATCTAATGGTATTTTTGTGGTATTTAAAAATAAACAGTTACTCAGTATTATCTTGAGCCGGATGGTTTGTTTTATCTGTTACTCGACGGTCACACCGAAAAGCGATAATAATTTTTGGCCAGCGATATTGGATAATATAAATAAAGCGCATCGCCAAGGAAACCTCGATCGAAATTAGCAGCTGGACAGAAAGTGGGCCAGCAGGAGCAGCGAACAGCCGCCCAAACACATACATAGAAACACACGCCATGCCCACACAAACCCAGCTGGGGCCGCTCCAGCGGCTATTCGCAGAACCCTTCCTGCTCATTCTGATCTTCCTGCTTACCCTGGGCGCCAGCGGCGAAAAGGTTCTGCAAGAGGGTTTTCTAGGGCTCCAGGAGCCACCAGTCCAAGACTTGGGCGAACTGCTGCGCGACCTTCGGCTCGTGCCGTCCCGCCTAGACTTTGGAACGTGGTCCGTCGGCCAGGCGCGTTCTCAAACGGTAACGCTGTTCAATCAGCACGCCAATCGAACGCTCCAGCTGAATGCGGTGGCAGGGCCAAGCCCGGCGTTCTACAGCAGCTTTCTGGGCACTAGGGAGGTGCCGCCACAGGGTAATACCACTTTCAGCGTGGTATTTCTGCCACGGCAACTGGGCGCCATTGCCGCCGACTTGCTCATCCATACCTCTTTCGGCCAGGCCGAATTGGCAGTACAAGGTGAGGGCAGCGAGTGTCCGTACCGCCTAAAGCCGTTGGTGGGTATCAAGGCGCCCATGAATGCGACGCTTACGCCGGAGATACATATGTACAATCCGCACGAACGGCCGTTGCAGATACTCGAGGTTAGCTGGTTTAAAAACTTGTAGTTCCAGAAATCATTATCACTCTTTCCCTCAGATATACAGCAGCGGTGGCGAATTCCAGTTGGAACTGCCTACCGGTGGTTCGGAAGGTCCACAAAATCTGTGGGAGATTCCGCCACACACTTTGAAGCCGGTCATAAGGATCTCTTTCCACGGCCGCACCGCTGGCAACCACAGCGCATACATACGGATCAAGATCGCCGAGCAGGAAATGGATCTTGGCCTGGAGAATGTCCTAGTTATTCCAGTCGAGTTCGAAATCTTGCCACGGCATTTTCCGTACGCCCGCAATCCGCTGGCGGACTTCGGCCGTGTGGCCACTTCAAATGTCCCTGATGCCCTGCAGTTCAAGTTGGATGTTCGGAACGATGATAGCCGCCTACTCTTCGGCACCTACCTTCGTCCGATTCCGGGTCTTTCATTTGACGCCAACAACACGAGTATCGTGTTGGATCCTAGAATGCTTGAAGGCAGCGAAATCATAAATGATCTACTGGTGATCAAAAGTAACCAGTCTAGTTCCAGTCCTGAGACAGATGAGTCATTCACAGTGCTGGTGAGAGCAGAGATCTTCCACGGAGGGCTTATTTTTGATGGAAACGTCACAAAGTTTGTAACCACCTCACCAGAAGGCGGAGAGGGTGCACCGCTGGAGATGAAGCGATCCCTAGTGGTGCGGAACAACTTCGCCATGCCTCTCCTTCTGTTCAACGTAAGCCTCACCGAGCCCGTTGACGAATCCATTTTAGAAGTAACCTTATTGGGCGATACCAGAATACAGCTTCAGCCAGGCGAATCCGTGGAACTGCTTCATCTGAACCTACTAAACGACCAGGTGCCGTTCAATTCCTTTTTGAAGATCGAAACGAACGTCACTGTCTTTAAGCTTCCGTTGGTCTCATGCAGTGGACGCCTACATGTGTCCACGCAGCCATTTGTGCTTAATTTTCGCCAGGAACCGCTGGAGGAAAAATCAAATAACCTGGAGCTAGATCTAGGCACTGTGCCATTTGCTGAGATGTCGCGCGACGGCTTCGTGATTTTACGCAACGATAACCCGGTGCCCGTAAAGATCACTAATTGGTTTTTCAAGCACCCAAAAACAGTTTACTCTCAGAGCACCTTTTTGGGATGTCGGGCCACGGGAAGCAGAGATCTTGTGAATGTCGATAACGAGACTAAGGGTTGGCATTTATGCACAGAACTTCGTGCCGGCGAAATCGCCGTATTTAAGGTGGCCATACAAACGTACGAAGCGGATGCCACGTCTGGAACCCTTAAGGTGTGGACACCGCACGAGGTAATTCGCGTGCGCGTCAAGTTTGAGGCCTCTGTTGGCCACTTGGAGATTGAACAGGAGCAGCTTAACTTTAAAAACTGTTTTCCCGGTAAAATGTGCACCGCAGTGCTAAGCATACGATCGAGTTTCACACATCCTGTGCACGTCAAAGGCATATCCTTTGCCCTTTCGGTAGGCCTGCGTTTCAAAGACTTTAACGCCAAGGGCACTACGATTGCCCCCCAAACTCTGACGAAGGTTGGGCGCATTTATTTCGAGCCGGCAGCTGTGTGTCGGAATCAGTGCTACATCAAGGAGTCCACGGATAATCTAGCCATCTTTCCCAATGTTCCAGGTGGAGGCGATGGAAACGGTGGCGTAATCAACAATAATCTCCTCTATGATGGAGTGGAGTTGAGACAACGCACTGAACTCTTTAGGCAATTGCGGCGCCAACTGTCATCCATGTCTTTAACGCTACATAGCGGGGAATTACCGCCTTTGGAGCTGGACTTTTCCATAACCATTGAGTGGCCAAAGCTGGTGCAGTTTCAACCAATTCCACCAACGCCGGCTATAGAAGTTGGCCAAGTGCAGCGCCAGTGGATCACGCTGACAAATCCATCCCAAAACCCGCTTCTGATCGATTACTTCCTTTCGGATCCGGCTTTTGCACGTCGCACACAATTATCCCTTCCACACGAGGTTATTGACGTGAGCTCTACGAGTTGCTATCTCACCGACAAGGAAGTTTTTTCCCTGCCAGATGCTGGAGATCCCATTTTGCTTCCAGGAGGTGCTAGTCTAAATATCCCCATCACCTTCAGCGCTCAGCTGCCAGAGAAGTACTGTACCCTGCTGCACGTGAGAAGCAATCTTACACTATATGAGGCAGTTTGGCTGCAGGCCCGTGCGGTACAGTCGCAGTTCCGGTTTGGAAATCGTCGACCGGGATCAGCATCGCCCTTACTGTTTGAAATGGCTACCGACCAATTTCTGGGCTGTAAGTCTGGGAACGGAGCAGTGGTAGCAACTCGTAGCTTTACGGCTCGAAATTCTGGTGTAATTCCCATGAGGATCGAAGGCTTCCTAATTGGCTCATTGCCATGTGAGGATTTTGGCTTCAAAGTGATGGACTGCGAAGGATTCGATCTTGGCGAAAACGAAACCAAAAAAGTGGAAATAGCTTTCAGCGCGGACTTTACTTCTTCGAGGGTAAAACGCTCCCTGACGTTGTTAACGAACCTCACTTACGACATAAGCTATCTTCTCCTTGCACAAATGCCTGCGGAAAGTGTGGAACTATGCGCCTCTCTTCTGGTAAGGCCTGCGTGGGAGTCCTCCTTAAAAAACGCCGCTCTTTTAGTGCTGATGGTCAGTTTTGGACTTGTTTTGGTAGCGGCAGTTTTTGATGCGAAAGCGATTATGGCTCAACAAAGTGCATATGATGCGGCCAGGAACAAAGGACCCTTGCAACCCACTTTTAATCTACGGAATATAGTGAAACTGCAGGCGGAAGAAACAGCAGCTAAGGCGGAGGCTATGCAGCAACAACAAAAGGCCAGAAATGGCCAACTTAAAGAACTACGCAAACGAAGTGTAGTTAACTCAACAACTAAGTCAAAGTCAAAGTCCTCCTGGTCACCATGGAGCATGGACATGAATGCGCTAAGTAAGCACCTTCAAAAATCAAAACCAAAGACAGTAGTAAACACTCCAGTTTTACCACCAGCTGCCGCGCCTCTACCAGAAGCAAAACCCGTAAAAAAACCGTCTACTCCATCGCCCCAGGCTGTCAGTTCAGTTCAAGTTCGACCCCAGAAAAAAGCAAAACCGACTGTAGTGCCCCTTGGGCTACCTAAACCAAAGCCGGAATCCGGAACTCCTATTGTAGAACAACTTGAAAAACCCTCGGCCAAATCGAGTCCCCCACAGCAGGAGAACATATCCCCCAAGCCCAATAAGACTCCTGAAGCACGCGTGCTTAAGGAACAGAACGGGTCGGTCAAGAAAATTGGTAAGACTCCAGGAAGAGAGCGGGAAAGAGAGCGCCGCAAGGACCAAAAGATGACAAACGGTTCAGGGACGGGAGTGGGATACAAAAAACCAGAACGGAAGCAGCGCCAAAAGCTAAACTTTGGGCTTACAACAAACAGCGCATCGCCACCAGCATCGCCAGATGCTCTCAAGAGCATAAGTACTTGGGAGACAAGCAGTGGGGTGTCCTTCAGGGATATGGTGACCTCACCATTTGCACTGCAGGCAACGCAATTTGCACCATCGGACCATGGCTTCGGTTGGAGTCATGGATCGACTTCGAGTGACCTCGGTCCAATTGGGGACAGCCGCAAGAACTCCACGCCACCAACGTTGCCATCGCCTTGGAAACCGCTTTCAGCTACGGACAGCAGTTCGTTGTTTGCCAACAGAATGACTCCAGTAGATGGTATGTAACACTAGAAATTTAAAGTTAAATTCCTAATATTCCCCTCCACAAACAGTTAACTACGAGCATAGGGAACGCGATGAGAATCAGTGGGAGCAGCGAAGCGACTTGGTCTTGCAGCAGCAGATAGTTCTTCAACAGTCCCAGCAACTGGAGATTCAGCCAAGGCAGCAGGAAAAGCTTTCGTATATGGGGGCTATGGACCCAAGCAACTGGTCCACTAACTGGTCACCTTTGGGATACTCTTCTTGGCCGGACACAACATCTAGCATGGGTGTTATTCGTCCTCCACCAGGCCTGGAGCAGAACGCACGGCAGACGCACAATAACCTTGCACAAGTTTCGGCCTCGGCGGGAGCGGCATCTGGAATTGGGCCTGCCGTTCCCGGTGAAAGCCTGCCTACGCAGTACGATCCATTCACCTCGCCCAGCTCAATCTGGTCCGATACATGGCGCCAGTCCTCGCAACGCAACAACCATAACCACATGAACTGAAGAAATAAGGAGCAAGCTCACTGATCAAACTGAATCAACCAAATGAAATTCTTACCACTTAGGAACTTAGGATACGCGACGATGGAGGAACGCTGAATGATCTTTTCCAATTTGACTTTTGACTAATAAACGCAAAGATAAATAACTTTCATATCAAACTTTGTTCATTTTTTTGTTGCCAGTAATTCCATATAATTAGGTTAGTTACTTTTCCTTGTATGTGATGATACCCTTCTCGATGAGGTCCGGAATCTCCACAGCCAGCCAAGGAGCAAGCTGTTAAAAAAGATAATTCATTGAGACATTTTTAAACTTGATTATTAAATGGAGAATACTTACACCTAGAGCCATAGCATGGGCAATTCCAAACTTAGGAACATTGCGTGCCCACAGGGGTTTAAAATGATCCGTCAGGCAAATCTTGCCACCACGGTACATCTTCGCTGTCTTGCCATCAAGCTCCGGAAGGGCGATTTCCGGCGCAGTTGTTGGGTACGTCACTGGAATGTCGAACTCCACGTCGAATTCGTATTTTAACAGGTTGTGCATGTACCAGCACTTTCCGAACCACTTGGTGCCCTCCTTGTTAGATTCTAGTCGGAACCAATCGCTGCCGGACTGTTTGTTATTCTCAACATACTGCAAATAAAAAAGGGCTACTGATATCTGTAGGGACCACTGGTTTATCTGTATTTGGGATACCTTAATCAACGCCTGGTACTCCTCCTTAAGTCTCTGCACCCAGACATCCTTTTCACGTGGCCCAGCGCGAGTCTGCAGCAAGGGAATGTTGCTCAGAGTTTTCCGAGTGCTGTCGTCCACCATTTTGTATGAAATATGGTCAAAATTAAGGAAAACGCAAAGGAAAACAAATGCGTTGAGTTGACACGTTCACGTTTGTGCTGGTGAAAGAGACAACTGCAACAGCTGAGCGAGGTGGGTGCAGACATAGGCGTAGTCGTATACTGCTTAAAGGGTTTGGTTTGTTGGCAAACACCTTATTCTAGGAGAAATCCCGAATTTCCATCATAATTGATTAAAGGATTACAATTTATTTATGGAAAAAAACATTATATTATAACCAAGCGTACTCTTCACCCCTATTATTACATGTATTTCAAACAAACTATTGAGTGTAGCAACTGCTGCTTGAATAATGTTCAAGAAAAATATATATGGTCATTAGTATTGTAATTTGAAGCTTACAATTGGCTGCAGTAAAATTACCTGCAAATTATTAACAAAAATGTAGTAATTTAATAAATCTGTAATCGATAGTCATCGATTCCTTGGCGCCAAACTACGTTGCGAAATAAAATCCCGCCATATAAACAGGAAATAGCCGATTTTGCATTGTTTTTGAGATCCCATTCACGAATATAAAGGCTGCTTGGACTGGCATACTGTTTAAACAATATTTGCTCGTCGCGCGATAAGCATCAAATCTAGAAGAGCCAAACCGGCACAGTGATAGTGTGAAATTAAACAAACAAAATCTTGAAAAGTAAACAGATTTGGCTCCAGTGACTCTTCAAATATTTAAAATACCTAATTACGACAAGTAAGTGTCAATCTTGATTCTTTCTTAATTTAGAAGATTAAGAACATGTGCAATAAAACCTTGCGAAATACAAAGAGTATAACATATATTTCTCTAGAAGTTAAAATAATTTCCACCAAGTTATTGCAAAATAAACGGTTACCTATTTTGACGCTTAATTACATCAATATTACGATTTTAAATATTATTATTAGATTCTAGCTTTTGATTTATTAAGATTACGATTGATTAGGAATTAAGATTATAAAATATTATCATTTAGAGAATAATTAAGGGTTGTTTTCGTTAAGCTCTGCGATTCGTTTTTCCAAGATTACATATAATAGTTTCCCATTTAAATATGAAAAAAATAGACTGGAAATCACTTAAAACCATAGGAACCACAATTAACGTAGGGAAGGTACAAAAAAGGTTAGAGATAGGGGCAGTGGTTGTCGACGAATTTTGTGGAGTGCAAAAAATTCCATTGGTAAATAAGATGTTACCAAAGAATGAAAAACAAACCACCAGAATTTGCTCGTCATTTCTATGGCACAGATTGAAGTCTTCTCAGAAGACTAGAATATGTACACACACGTCGATTGATGGTACCTTTGAACTGAGCATGATAATACCAATTCACTGATAAGGAAAAAATCCACTTTTTCTAACCGACTCAAACCAGTTTGCCCGTCTGCCTGAGCCTGGCATCGTGTCTTGATCGTCGTCAAAATAAGAGTATTAAAACTGAACCATGTGCTATATGCGTCTATATAAATTACCAGATTCGACCTTAATCGCTGATAACGCCGGCTCCGATGTCCGTTATACCAGTTCGCGATGATCAGGGTGCAGATGGACAAACCGGTTTTAGCTGGTTTATCCCATTAAAGCAGGGTTTTCAATTAAAGATCTTACAAATTGTTTACCCGGCTCATCCTTCTGATCACAACAATTGCCATACAGTGTCTCATTTGGTTTTTATTGGGTCAAAGGGTCGCCTAGAGCTAGCACTCTGCTCCAGGACTATTGGGTGTATCTATCGCCTTTGCTTCTACTAACGGGACTGTAGTAGGACAGTCCTGTCTTGTCTCAGTGGTTTTACGTACGCTAGCGGCTATGATTGTGTCCGATTTCCGAGAACGATTTATCCGTTGGTTGCGGATCTCCTCCCACTCCTTGCGGTGAACCTTTTTTCGGTGGGCATGCATGTTGGCATTTGAATTAAAAGTCTGTGGGCAGTGAGGACATGTGTATAAAACCTCACCCGTGTGAGTGGTCATGTGTTCCTGCAAAGAGGGTTATGAATAGCAGATAAAGTATATTATTAATATTCCTAAGGTTACCCTCAGCTCGTTCGGTCGCTTGAAGGCCTTCTCGCACATAGGACATTGATGACTACGCGCCGTATTGTGGGTGTACTTAATGTGGTGCTGGTGCGCCTGCAGACTCGGCGAGATCTTTAGGCAGAACTCACACTGCATCGGCTGCAGGTTTTCGGCAGTGTGCATCATTTTTATGTGGCGGGCCAGTCCGTACTTAGTAGTTAGCATAGAATCACACAAGTGGCACTTAATAGCAGCTTGTGGCGTTCCCGTGTGCTCTTCCATGTGCCTGACTAAAGCTGCGCGACCTCTAATGGATTTTCCACAGACATCACAGATCTTGGCATATAAATTCAAATGGACCAACTTCACGTGCTGCTGCATCGTATACTCAGTTGGAAATCTGAAGAATATAAATTTAGAAATTTGGGGACTTTAATATATTTTGGGCACTCACGTCTTTTCGCAGTGGGTGCACTTCACTTGACACTGCTCCCGAGGAATGTGCGTCAGCTTGTGGCGATCGCAGACGACGGAGCTGAAGAAGCTCTTAGAACAGTGTTCGCAACGGTAGAGGCGTCCTCGCGACTTAATTTCGTGCATCCGCATGTGTAGTTCTAGACTCCGGCGATGACCCATTACGCGTGCACATATGGAGCACTTAAAGAACTCAGGATCCTGATGGCGGCGCAAGTGATCGACAAGGATACCACGCTTAAAAAACTTGCGATTACAACACATAGAGTAACCGCGCTGCTTGTGTTCTTGTCTTACATGGATCAACATCTCAGAGAAACCTTCCATGGGCGAACTACAAATGTGGCACTGGACCTTATAATGTTCACGGATATATTCGTTAAACTCTTGTGACTTTTTAATGTTGGGAAGGCCGGTTTTTTTTGGTCGTTCCGGCAGTCGAACACGCCCACGACCCCTTGGTCTGCCGCGTGTTTTTTTTTTTCTAATCTTGAGCTGGGCTTTTTTGTTTTGCTTGTCATCTACCTCTTGGTCTCCGCTGATACATTCGTCCTCGAGGAAATCATGTTCTTCCTGATCCTCCAGCACATCAGCAATTGTTAAATCTGCCTCCGGGTACTCGATTTTTATTTCATTTAGGTTAATTTGCTCCAGCACATGCTTTAATTCCTCGTTGTCATTCTGTGGAACGGCCTTGCGGGGACGTCCTCTTCGACGCTTTACGGCAGCGGCAACGCTCTCAACTTGCTCGCTCTTTACCAAGTGTCCTTCAATTGCGGAAGTATCCACTTCTGGGAAGGGTGCATTCTCCACAACCTTTTGCTCCAGAGTCTTGTGGGCCTGCTCCACACTCAAGTAAAAGTTGTGAAAGAGCAACAGCTGACCCCAGCAACTACCGCACACATATCCACTGCATGAGCCAGGAATCTGTGGGGAGTTCTTGGTAATACAATCCAAATTAAAATATATCAGTGGTTTGTTTACCTGAAGCCAGAAATGTTTCTCGATCATGCAACGCAGTCCCAATGAATCAGCCTCCTCCGACGCGAATTCTATGTTTCCGTCTGCGCCATCCGTGCACTGGGTGCACAGAAAGCAAGGCATAATGTCGCCTGTAAATACACGAAATGCTTTAAAATGCGCTTTATTTTAGAAATAAAAGCTGATGGATTCACAGCTGATTGGTACCATCACTAGCGGCTATCGATAGACCAACCGCGGATAATGAGACCGTTATGCGTTTGTTTAAATGCCCACAGCGTAATTGGTTGTTTTGGTTATAGATTTTTTTTTTAAATTTATTTTTATTCGCTTTAAATCGCTGTTAAACATTGTGAGTAAAAGATGAAATAGTCAAAACAATTCAAAATACAAATGTTTCACATCCTATTGGTAGTTTGATTTACAATTGTATTAATGCGCAGTTTTGGAGAGAAACATTTTATTTCATTCACACTCAGGTCATACTGTCACAAAGTTTTGCGACTTTGGGATTAATTTATTTTAATTTAGTCTCTAATTCGGCTTAATTTGTTAATTTGTTTACGAAATGGCCACGCAGTTTGAAAAAAACATTGAGACGAGCCGTTCACATCGTCTCCTATGTGTAAGTCAAATCTACTTGCTTATCGGGACGCACATGTCGACACCTGACTTTAGAAACCATAAACAAAAACAAATGTACTAACGGCTCACTTATCTTTGCTCGCTTATTTCCAGCCAGCTTAATCTCTTTGAGAAGTCCGAAGAGCACGGAGATGGAGGTACAGACAAGTCGCGTTGTCCCCGATGGCGGCTACGGATGGATTGTTGTGGCCGCCGTGGCCTTGATCAATGTATGTGGTGATTACTACTTATAGGAATCACATATTAATATATTTTTGTATTATACCCTATTCACAGATGACCAATCAGTCCATTCTGTCTGTATTCGGCCAACTATTTGTGGGGGAACTCCAGAAGCTGCAGGAGGACACCTTTACGGCGGCTTTGATCACCAATTTAAACAGCCTGGCTCTAAACTTTTCAGGCCTCTTTATTGGACCCGCCATCAAAAGCTTCAAGGCAAGAAATGTGGCCGCCTCAGGCTGTGTCCTAGTCTCCTTAGGTTTAGCTCTTTGCGCATTTGCTACTGAGAGCTGGCACTTTATTGTGGGCTACAGTTTTTTCGTGGGCTTCGGATTGGGCCTCATCTCACCCTCTACATTCATGGCAATCAACTCGTACTTTACCAGCAAGCGAGGAAGGGCGGTGGGTGTGTCCCTAGCTGGTGCTGGTCTTGGCCAGGTGCTTATACCTCATTTAGTGCGTTACCTATTGGAAAACTACGGTTTTCGATATGCAGTTCTAGCCATGTCCTCTCTGTCACTACTTGGAGTAAGTTTAGAATAGACTATTCTTTAACCAATACTTATTGCTATTAAATTTCCAGCTTTTCGGTGCTGCTTTCCTAAAACCACTAAATCCGCCTGCTAAGCACAACAATCGCAAACACATTCGGCTTCTGGCGGAAACGGATGGCGAGAAAAGGCAATCTAGTCCCCTCCAAGTGGTGATTGTTCCTTCTAGCCAAAGCAAGTACGACGCTAGTCTACCAAAGACAAATACTCTGTGTAGCCGAATGGGAGAACGTCTAGTTCAGGCCATGGATCTGGAACTGCTAAAGGATCTGGTTTTCTGGAGCATCATAGTGGGCATGGCCCTAGTCTACACGGCCACAATTAACTTTACGATGATCTTTCCTGGATTTCTTGCACAGACAGCGAAACTGAACAGCCAGCTGGTGGCCTTCTGCATGTCTGTTGTAGCAGGAGCCGATATCGTGTGCCGGCTTCTTTTACCCATCATAACCGATTATTTGAGAATACCCTATCGCGTTGTATTCCTCATCGGCATCGCAGGACTCTTTGTCGCTCGTTGTGTGCTAGCCGAGAACCCAGAGCTACCCATCATCATTACAATGTCTGTGCTGACGGGTATAATGAAGTCAGCCACTGTGATTAACAACAATCTCACTATATCAGCGCATTGTCGTTCTGAAAAACTGGCAGGCGGTTTGGGACTAAGCATGATGTCTAAAGGAGTGATTGTAATCACAGTGGGCCAGGTGCTGGGATGGGTGCGGGATTTCGCTGACTCCTACTTGATCTGTCTGTACGTTCAGGGAGCGATTCTGCTGCTGGTTGTTTTGGTTTGGACCCCGGAGATCTTGTACCGCCACCGCAGGCAAAGACGTTCTACCACCAAGTCCATGGAGACACAGACTGTTGACGCAGCCGAAGAGGTGACCAAACTCCATTCTTAAAACGCTGTTAACTGGTCTGGTCTGGATTAGTGTTTAAGCGAGGGAGTTTTGTATTGACTGTCATGTGATAGGCGGCAGAATGGGTTCCCTGGAGGGAACCTTAGAACCCGCCGCAGTAGTTATCTGGGTTGTGAGAAAGGACCAGTGCCAGGAACAACACTATTTGTATAACTATGCATCTTAGGATAAGGTTTTCGATTATTTATTGCCATTTAACTCTTAGAGACTTATCTTTTGTACCGCCTGAAGAGCCAAAATACACATTAACCAAGTATCCGTATTACAAAAACCAAGTTTATTACCATGAAGCGAGTTTGTAACTCTGCCTCTAATCGATCTTATTTGGGTATGCCTACTATTTATTCTGCGGACACAAAGCTGGGAGTACTAGAGACAGCGGATGCGCCCGATTCTGTGTTGTAGAAGATACGGCGTTCGATACCATCCTTGGTGATGATGCCGATGCGAACCACACCTCCTGAGCTGCCGTCGTGGTAAATGGCGTGTTGGACAGCTGTGGAAAGAGCAATGGTATCAGTTTTTGGGGACTTTTTATACATCTGTCTACTTTGTAATTTTTGAATAATTTGTTTAAACAAAAAACAAAATAAATTTTAAGCATCCCTACCATCTGAACTTTTAAATTTTAGGTACTGCTAATTAAAAATGGACTACCCACCCTTCTTGACGAATGAAACGCAGTCCTCCTTCTGCATGTTGGGGCGGTAGTGCTCCCTTACAAATCCATAGATAAAACTGGAGCCGGAGCCGCCGATGGTACACGATTCCCGTGTGAGCATGCCACCCAATGGAATGCTGTACACCTGGCCCCCACGTTGGGCATCCCAGCCAGCCACGATTATACCGGCGAGTAAGGACTCGCGGTAGCTATAGCAGTAGTTTCGGAATTCAGAGGCTGCCTCAAAGACCAGCGCATCTTTGTTGGTCTGGTTCTCGTGGTAGTTTAGAGAGTATGCCACAATGTCGGCAATGGCCTGGGTGTCGGCGGCGGAACCACTGCGGCAGCAGTAGACCTTATCCGTGATGCGGGTCAGCTTGTCAGTAACACGGTTGGCGACATATGCGCCCGAACTGGTGCGGGAGTCAGCTCCAATGACCACTCCGCCATCAAACTCCACGGCCATGATGGTGGTCTGTAAAGAATGGGGCTCTTAATAGATGGGCAAAAGAAGGGATTTAGATTTACTTACGCCAGTGCTGACCGGAGTATCGGTAAAGTCAAAGTCGGGAAGCATCTTGATCCTTAAATTTGTCACAATTCAATTTACAGTTGCTGTTTGTTAAAAAGCCGCACGAAATGACTGGCTTGTTTTCGACAGTGCTGCAAGTCAGCCCAGTTTTAGTGCTGGACAACAACCTAGCTATCGCCTATATCATCGATAACAGCCAAATTGATTATGATAATGGAAATTTAGTTGCTATCGATAAAAAGAGTATATAGCAACCCTGGTTTGGAACTTGGATAAACGTATACAATGGTTAAAAATGCTTCAGCTTTCGCATTTACAATCGATATTTGGTAGTAGTATCAAAAATCATCGGCCGCGGCACATGTTGAGTTTGTTTTGTTTATGAAATTAGGATTAATATGGCTTATGTTGCACTGAGTGAGGCTGAAAAAACCTATATATTGCACGGTGTAGAGGTGAGTTAGTTTGAAATTTTCGGCTTACCTTTATAATTTGTTTGAAGGATGATTTTCGCTGCGACGGACGTTCTCGACGGGATTACCGGCCCATGGAACTCGAAACCGGACTGGTAAGTAACGCTAGTGGCTCTGCTCGCTTGCGTCTGGCTAACACAGATATCTTGGTGGGCGTGAAAACGGAGATTGATGTTCCCAATCCGTTAACGCCGGAATTCGGCAAACTGGAGTTTTTTGTGGATTGGTATGAAGAATGTATATTTGGTCGAATATATAAAAACATAAAAATATTTCAGCTCTGCTAATGCAACGCCAGAGTTTGAGGGACGCGGAGGTTCAGATTTGGCTCAAGAACTAGTGCTGTCCTTGCAGAACGCCTACGAATCACCACTGGCCTTCGACTACCGCACCTTGTGCCTCATTCCAGGTCAGCAGTGTTGGAAACTCTACATAGATATCTTGGTATGGCAATAATCGGCCTTGATATTCTAGTCTTATAATGTACCATTCTAGATTTTGGAGTGCGGCGGAAATCTCCATGACGCAGTCTCCCTGGCCGCGAAGGCGGCATTGTTTAACACCAAGTTACCTAGGGTGACGGCAACATTGTTGGATGCCGGCATCACAGACCTCATCATATCAGACAACCCGTACGACTGCACCCGTATAGGGATTGAGACTGTCCCGCTTTTGGTTACTGTTTGCAAGATCGGCGATTATTGCCTTGTGGATCCATCGGCAGAGGAGGAAGTCTGCAGCACAGTTAGCGTGGTTGTGTCAGTGTCAATGCGCAATGGAAAGGCATTCCTTTCGGGCACCCACTTGACCGGTGGCGGCGCCATGCACCGGGACACAATGCGCAACTGTCTTCAATTGGGCCTGTCCATTGGAGAACACCTAAATCACTTGCTCACTAAGATGTTAAATCTGGAGCAGGAACGCGTTGGACCGAAGCGACCGCAAACCGTTGGGTTTCTTAAATAAAGAAGCCGTGGCTTATAATGAAAATGTACTATTTACTCAAACTGACTTAAGTTGAGCTCGATGGCTCTTTTTTGGCTTAAGGCTAAACACGATCTACTGTTCCTTGCGCTTCTTGGTCTGCCTCGCGGCCGGAGCGGGTTTTTTCTCCTTGGGTTCGGGCTGTTTGCCAGTCAGCAGAGATGTTAGCATTTCGCTGATTTCGGGCATGTCGTTGCCCATCTGTGAAACACAAAATTGTTTTTATAATTTTAAAGGTAAATAAATCTGACTTACCTTAGGGAACTGCAAATTGTCGATCTCCTTCTTGGTCTCAGGATCGTTGATCATCTTGGGAAGGACCAACATGAGCAGTAGGGGCAGGACCATCATCAGCACCATAGGGCTGAACAGGAAGTCGGTAATCTGTCACAACAAATCAAGAAGTTAGATTCACGATTTAAAAATCTTGAGTGTTAGATTTACCTTCCACTGCTCTCTGGTCTGGAAATACTTGAAAGGCATCAGGGGCTTCACACGCAGTGGATAGGGCACCTGCATAATTTGAGCCGGCTGGACAAAGTTCACTTTGCGAGCTCGGAACTTTCCCTTCGGATTGATCTCGACGCGCACCTATAGGGTGGATTTTTGATTAAATGATGAATCTTAACAGGATTTCTATTTTTACCGGCTCATAGAACACATCTGGGTGGTGGACATCCAGGATATAGCTTCCGGAGGGAACTCCGCTAATCATGAATTGACCATCCTCGCGGACGAATCCCTTGAACTCGCCGTCATTGATGGATAGGGTAACCTCCGTTTGCCACTTGGGAATATCCTTGTTCTCCGGAGCACCTCGTCCACCTTGAGCCGGTGGAAAAATGGAATCGGGAGGGGAAACTCGTCCTTCGATTGTGTACAGGCCGGAGATCTCGTCCACCAGTTCATCCTGGCCAATGACAACCTCGCAGTTAACTAGGGCGAAAAGCGCCGTGAAAATAAGTAACTTTAAGCACATTCTCTAGCCCAATTTGATTTTTTCCACTAATTTTTCAATTATCAGCCGACAATGTGACCGTTATTGGGTTGGCGAAAAATAACAATTTTAGGGCTGGATAATTTTCTTAAAAATCATTTATAAAGTAAATTTATATTAAACCTTTTTTTTTAATTAAATAAATTATTAAAAAATCAAAAATTAAATTTTTTAAATAAGTTGTCTTTTGTTGTAAGCAATTCCGTTTGGCTTAATGGCGGGTTAGAAAAATGTCGACACAGTAGCCTGGAATAACTAAAGCATTTTCATTTTTAAAGGGATCCCTTGCCTTTCTTAGTATAGCTAACGCGCTCAGAAAGAAACAATCAATTTTAGAGTAAAAATATTTATAAAAAACTATTCGATAAGAATATATATTTTAATAAAACATATTCTCAGGTGAAATCGGTGTACTACAAATGGCGCCCGTAAATAAAAGCAAAGAACGAAATGCTATTTTGTCCCATCCGGTATGGTCCTGGCATAAGACGTTTCCTTATGCTGTAAGATGCTATCCTCTGGATCCTTTCGACTTCGGAAATTTTAGCGAGCAAGCTAAGATGATTACCAAGAACCTAAAAGTTCAAAGAATCCTTTCCAAAAAATATCGGCATTCAAGGACTTTGATCAAACGTCTGATACGCGAGGTCCGAAAAATCAAGAAAATTCTCAAAATTTCAAATTTCGATAGCAAGCCTCGGAATAATCCCAGACATTGAATCGAAACCTCTTAAAAAGTTGGGATGCTCCAAAGTAAACCAAAAAAATGAAAAACTGTTTACTCCGCTTTATACACATGTAAAACAAAAACTTTGCTGATAAAATAAATTTAAAAATGTTCTGCGGAAAGTTAGTGAAATATTTCTAAACCAGTTTCTCTGATGAACGCAAAGAGCTCAATAGCTCGCGGTTTGAGATATCGCTGTTTTGACTTAACTATCGTAACACGACCGAAGCATTTATATTTCTTTCCAGCTTTTTTAGGCGCTTTCCGACGTCTTTTTCAGTCGTTGGCGGCAATTCGTTGCGTTCGGTACCTTGCTATTTCCAAGCGGTTGATTGGACAAAACTAAGAGCTATAAGAGTTCGAAGTGATTTTTCGAATATTGTTGTCAGCGATTTTAGGTTAGTGCGTGCTTTGTCAAACGGGTTTTGAGTTATTCGCAATGAATGGCGATGGAGTTCTACTGGGCGCAGGTGTGCCCATGATCAATAAGTGCCACATACCACATGCAATATGCAATATAACAACGTGAAACATACTCATCGAAAGTGAAGCTCAAGCTGAACTACAATCTTTAGGTTTAACTTTTAGATCTCCTGGTGTATATATGCAATGTCAATGGGATATCAAACTTGAAGCTGATCCCCTAATCAATCCATAAAAATTCCAAAGTTGCTGCTGTGTTTTTGTTTCTATCCACTTGAACTGTGTCGCATGTACAGTGAAACCGGTTTCAGTAATTTTAATGATGCTGAGATCACAGTTCCCCCTCCACCCTCTTTCGGTAGACTTGCATAGATTTATGTTTATTTTTTTTCGCACACACATTTCAATGGCAAGACGCAATGCAAGTCTTCTAGCACAATGGCAGTGGTTAATTAATTAAGCAGCAACTGAAATAGTGAGTGATGTCAAGCGTCGCGCCTGCGCAAAGTTGGTGATGTAAACAAGTCGCGGCGGAAAATTGGTGAAAACAAAACGAACGAACTTATTCGGGGGTAATCACGGTACGTGCCCTGGTCCCTTTATAGGAATTGGCACACTCGCGGCCATGAGTTCAATAGCTTATGCAATTCGCTGTTGATAAATCAACGGTGACAGTAGTCACTTTCTACGTATAAAACTGCTCAATAGTTATAATTAATGACAACAATTGGTACAGTTTTTTGTTATGGCCTAACTCATCGACGATTTCCTCGATCTGCGACTCGTGATGTCATCTAATGGAGGTTTTATGTGCATACCATGAATCAATATTCAAGTCGTTAAGGCTCTTTACTCGGCCCCCCGCTAGCACAGTTTACGCATTTTACGCGGTTTTTCAGAGAACACCTGTTTGGATCTCAAACAATTAATTTGCACTACGTTTGAAATATGTTTGGTTGTAAGCTTGGAAATTTTATGTGGAATAATCACATTTTTCCTAATTGGTTTGAATTTGTGTATACTCTTTGTGGTAACCGTAACACAAATGTTCTGTTTTGTGATTAACTTCCCTTATCTTATAATAAACGTTACCCAAGAATCGCTCAAAAATGAACTATATAAAATCAACATTACGGCATATAGTCAGTCTATCGCTTGATTAAACATTAATCTATAACACCTTCTTTGACATATGTCAATCACTATCTTTCGCCAAATGTTGATCAATCTTACCATGTAAGCATAGAGGCAACCTGGAGCCTCAGTACCCTCAGTGATTGGTTTCTTTAGTGAGTTTACCTTCTGGATGGAAGGGTATAGTGCTTGGATTCGCTGGAACTGCGCACTACAGGCTTGTTGTTAACCCAGTTTACACAGGTTCTGGCACGCGATGTCCGTCCAAGATTGCTGCAACGCAAGGAAATTGGTTGACCACCTTGACCAACAGCCCACATACCAAAAGCATGCCCCTCGAACTCTTTTACTGGGGTCAAAAGTCAATAGTTGGCGTGTGGTACAAAATTACCCAGAAATAGTCCACCCAGCATGGTTAATAGATGATAAAGCGAAAATAATGTGTAGATATACCCTTATTTCTTGGTCTGATTGGGCCATAATCTAACGGACTAAGCAAAGTCAAGAGCACTCTTATAAACTTACAGGCGTTTGCCAATTATGAGAATTTACGCAATTCGTGAAGTGGATGATTCAGCAATCTGCAGCAAACAACCTGAAGTGGTCACCATCTCAGGAAAGCAAATTAAATCGAGTCGTTTACCTTTTTTACGCGATCTACATACCTTTCGCATTGATCGAAGCAATTAGAGTTGGACTGTCAAATTCGTACGAGTGGATATTTCGTGTAGACACACACCGACGGCATTCAAATTGCGATTATTTTTTGTATGAGTTTCAAAACTGGCTTTTTAACAAGGGCATGGCAAGCTCTATGTGTGTAATGCATATATATGAATGCTATATATATACGATGTATGTATATACCATATATACCCCTCACAATGAGCATGTTAGAGTCAAGTGTTCGGGCCCACATAATGGCTCATTGTTGTTGTGGAAAAGTCGCTAATCAGTTTTGTCTCACGTTCAAAAACAAAAGCCGAGTCCAAGTTGAATTTTCAGAGTCGTGGTTATATGGGTAGGCCATTGGCTATATAGCGCAGAAAACTTATTAATGTGCCAAGAATTTAATGGAAAGCATTTATCGCTGCTGCTATGCCACGGCAGCTGGTGAAATTTCATTTCTCTGTTTTCACTTTACCTTCTACAGAGTGCGAACTACCAGATACATTTGTCTGTGCGTACTCACCGCAGTAGGTATTTAGGTGTATACCTAAAAGATACCGAAGGTCTAGGTGAATGCTTTTTAGATAAATCACTCACAATCAATAATTTTAACTTTCAAGGTCTGATAAATATGAACACCCATTGTGCGGTTCTTAAAAGACCCAAAACCCAAAAGTCCAACAACCAGCGGCCAAAATATGGTCAAAACAATGACTGTATCGAGCTAAAGCTCAGGCCGCGTTTTAATTAACATTTTACTGGCAATTCAAAGAAAGGCAAATTAATTTAAAACACAAAAACACTCATATATGGCCGCTGAGATACATGAGCTATAAACCTCGTCAAGGTTAATCGTAAATGCTTTCAAATTCAAGTTCAATTCGAATTCTTGACATGGAGCGGGATAAATATGTAGAGACTTTCATACAGAATGGAGATACAGATACCTGTGAGGTTGTCGATGAATCACTTCAGTCGTTTGTATTCCCACCGCACTTGGGAAAGTCCCAGGCACATAATGTATTCTGCCCACTCACTTCCTCATTGATCTTGATCAAGGCTTGGATTGGGCGATCACAACGAAAGCAAAAGTCATCTTCTGACTCACAAGGGAACTGACCTCGTTAATATTTTTTTAACCTGCGAATAAAAACATTTTGTTGACCAAGTAAGAAGTAGCACCCGTAACCCGTAAATCCCCATGACGAAACGAGTGCAGCAGAAAATAATAAAGCGATTTGCTTACGTGCAATAAAAGTTAATCGTTAATTTATGGCCCCAAATAGCGGGTAATTATCTTAACTAGCCATTAGCTCGATTTATAAGCTTATGCGTAATATTTTGCAGTTTTGCAGTTATTAGGAATAATACGCATACGCAGCGAAGCCTGACGACCAGCGATATTCCCAAAGTGATAAGCGCTGAGTGGCTAGCAAACTGAAAGCTAAACGGTGTTAAGCGATACGTCCGCCTCTAAATATAACCATATCGGGGGGACCCAATCTCTACCAGAGTCGGAAGCATTTCTAATTAAATGAGTGCAGCATAATTTGCTGGAAAGTTTTCTTGGAGTCTGCTGGCTAACAATGTTAGACGTTGGTATACTCCTGGTATAGAGTTCTTTGAATTACCTTCAGGAAGTAAATATCTTATGGCAAAACTTTTCAAATATTTAAGAGAGCTGTTTCTTAAAGAGATTCTAATATAATTTATAATATTTATCATAACTTACCAATAACTCATAAGTCCATTCAGGGTATTTGAAGTGCCCACCCATGCAGTAGTTATAGATACTTTGATCGTTATCAAATATGTAGATGCACAGATACATTCGCAGTTCATTGTTTGCGGGTTCGCTGAAAACGTGCCCCCGATAAGCGGGGTAGCAATTATTTATGCCATGGTAATTAAACAGACGACAGAAGATGGAAATGACGAATGTCTGACGAGGGCTTCAGATAGTTTGTCTCGGGGGCAGTAGGAAACAAAGGGGAACGGAAGCCGGGACACGGTTCGCTTCTGATCACTCAATTTCCATTCGATACCAACCAACTCTAACCGGCATTGTCTGCTCAACAGGTGCTTCACGATGACGCGGCCGCTGACGATACGGAGTTGGCTGACGCTGATGACGGCGCTCTTGGCGGTGGCCACCTGGCCGGATCCGGGCCAGAGTCTCCCGCAAGGTGCTCCGGAAACGGTGTGCGACACCATGCTGCCGTTTCACTCCGGCGGTAGTGTGCTGCCACAAAATAGCGTTTCGCCCTTCAGCGTAGAGACCTCCTCCTCGACCCTTGGCCAGGGTCAAACTCTTCGCGTGGATCTTACGGGCGTACCAGCGGGCTTGAGTTTTGGTGGCTACATGATCCAGGCAAGGAATCGTAACCCACCGTATCAGATCGTTGGTCAATTTGGACCTGCCCGTGATGGCACCATCAAACTGATGAACTGCGAAAACTCAGTAAATAACTCGGCTACTCATAGCAATGCTGGCCCCAAGCAGCAAGTTCTCCTGGAGTGGCAATCTCCAGTGGACTTCCTCGGTCAGGTGGTCTTCAAGTAAGTCAATTGGCTTTTTAATATACATACATATAATGATAATGAGTATAATGAATATGTAACTCTCAGTGCTACAATTGCCCAGAGTTATAATGAATTCTGGGTGGGAGTGCCTTCCCAGCCTGTTCAGATAGTCCGTCGTGATGTGTCGGCACCTACACTGCCCACTCAGAGTCCTTCTGCCGCTTCAGGAACCACCCGTGCTCCCTATGTTCCGCCTAACTACGTGGCACCTAACAACGTGGCTGCAGTTTCTGCGGATCCCATATACAATGGCTGCGGACAGAGCAAAAACTGCTTTGGTTTCCCAGACGGTTGCGTGGCATCCAAGACCTGCACATCCATCACCGTGGTTACGGTAAGGGGGGATGTCTTCGAGTTCGAGATTCAGTCTGGAAAAGGTGAGTCACAAGTTGTTTTCTATCTAGTTCTGCTCTTATTCTTCTTCTATCATTTTTCCAGGAACAAATGCCGCTTACGTTGCTGTGGGTCTTTCCGATGATGCTAAGATGGGTGACGACTTGACCACCGAGTGTGTACCAGAGAATGGAAGGGTCAATCTTTATTCTTCCTTGACTTCAGCTTCTCCTTATGCGGCTGTGAGATCTAGTGTGGTAAGTTGGGAGTTCCTTATCAGAAAATATGAGTATTCATTGCATACTTTTTCTCAGAGTCAAAACTCAGCCCGTCTTCTGGACGCCTCCATTGTAGATGGTGTGATTTACTGCCGCGTACAAAGGGATGCAGTGACTAATGTCCAGGGCCGCACCTTTGACCTGCGCAACGGCAAATACCATCTACTCGTAGCATCCGGCAGCAGCCTTAAGGAGAACAGTGTGGGCTACCATGACATTGGACGCTTGCCGTCAGCACAGGCAATCAATTTGGCGGAGGTTCAGGATTTGGGCGGTTCTAGCAAGCTGTTGGTGCAGCTCCACGGAGCTTTCATGATTGCTGCTTGGATTGGAACCACATCTTTGGGCATAATTTTCGCACGCTATTTCAAGCAGACGTGGGTGGGCAGCCAAAGCTGCGGCAAAGATCAATGGTTTGCTTGGCATCGCCTTCTCATGGTTACCACCTGGTCGCTAACGATTGCAGCGTACGTGCTTATCTGGGTGGAGCTAAAGAGGGCAGTGTGGCATGCTCACTCGATAATCGGTCTGATCACGGTGATCCTGTGCTTCATCCAGCCCATTGGAGCCCTTTTCCGACCAGGACCCAACGATAAGAAGCGGCCATACTTCAATTGGGGGCATTGGCTGGGCGGTAACTTGGCCCACATCCTGGGAAGTAAGTTCAGAGATCAGAGATCAGGGATCACCCCAACTGATGTATAATACCCTGTCTCCATTGCAGTTGTCACCATCTTCTTCTCTGTAAAACTACCAAAGGCAGAGCTGCCCGAGTGGATGGACTGGATCCTGGTCGGCTTCGTGGTGGTGCACGTATTAGTCCACCTGATATTCTCAGTAAGTGAATTGTTCACTGGTGGTTCGGTTTTCCCCTTTCATGTGACCCTGAAATGTACAAAGAGTAGACCCTGCATCGCCTGCCTGTACAGTGGTTCTAGTTGTGTCATTAAAAGTTCATTCATTCGATACTAATTCATCTGTCACCCATCATCCCCTTGAGAACTCGTGCCTACGTCCCTTAACATGTAGATCGGCTTGTGTTTTAATCATTGGCAGATTGCGGGCATGGCTTCAGAACGTCATCTAAGCCAGCGAGCGAACACCTTCCAAATGGGCGATATGTCTCATCATCAGCAGCATGCCATGCGGAATGGCATGAGCATGGAGCGGAAGATGGATGCTCCGGTGAGTATAGCTTCTGTATGTAAATACATAATCCTATAATCCGGTGATTCCCCTTTTTTAGTACGCGGCAATGCGCAAGGGATTGCTGGGAGTTTATGGCGTTGTTCTACTTCTCTTCGTTGTGGTGCTGATCTTGCTGGTGGTGCTGGCGCCCATCGAACAATTCCTGGGCAAGTCCTAGGCGCCCAATCTGAATGTTTCAGGACACGTCCCCCTGTCCCCCTCCCAATACTCGTATCAGTTTTATGTGCTCATTGTTTAACCCCTTCCGCCCACGGCTCTGCCCTTGTCCCCCACCAAATCCCCCTGTTTCCCTTCCAGCGTTGTGTTGTTAAGTGTAATTAGGCGCATGTGTAACCTAGGGCGGAGCGTTCAGTACATGTTATATAATTTATTATTAATAAAATAAAACAAGCCAACATAAATGCAGTAATTTTGTTTCCTTTCTTTGCTCCTTTTCTTTATGCTGCGCTATATGCATATGTATATGTTTGCCGGTATTATCTGGTGCTGTGGCGTGCTGTTCGATCGATTGCATTGGATCTCCTATGTATATATTCAGTTGTATTCAGTTGTATAAAACCTTTACTCTAACTGCATCTAAACATTATCATTATCTTTAGATATAGATTTATATGTATGTATGTATGTGGTGTGTATGTTTTTTGTAAACTTTTTGCTTGCTCCGCTTAATTCAAATACGTAAATTATAGGTAACTCTACATTTCTCAAATATTAATGTGAAAACTAAACCCAATCGAACGAAACTTCTTTAAAATACCGAGCGAAATCATCGCTCCTCCAGGATGACCGTTTCCTGCGGATAGAGCTTGAGCATCTCTAATGTTTGGCTGCTCTCAATGGCCGTGAGATCGCGTCGCGGCCAACTGCTAATTAGTTTGTACTCCTCGATTAAAAATCCGTTGGCCGTTACAAAGTTGAGCAGATCCTGGATGAATACAAAGTTTTTAGGTATTCATTAAAATTTAATTCAGTGGAACATACCTGCAGGTTATTGTTAGTGAAGAATCGTCGTTCCAGAAAATCGCCCGTGGGTTTGCGCACACGGATCTTTGAAGTACCAGCTTCCTGCTCGGACGGCTCCTGAGGTAGTGATTGTTGAGCCTAAGGGGTGGATTTTTTAAAAAAATTTTTTTATCTAGTTCCAGGAGCCTTCTTAACTTACAACTAATCTAATGGACTCGCGTCTAGCGTTTTCTTCGGCTCGCTCGGACTCTATTCGTTTTCTCTCAGCTAACTGAGCTGCTTCCTTCTGACGTTTGGCGGCATCCTTGGCCATGTCGGCCTGCAACGTTTCCTGGTAGGCCATGTCCTGCTCGGCTTTCACCTGATCACGGGCCGCTCGTTCATCCTCTTGACGTATTTCAACCTGAAGCTGTTCCTCGAACATCTCACAGGTTTCAATGAGCCTCGTAAGCAAATCATCCAGACCAATGTCACCTAAAAAAGTAAATAAATATTTTGAATGGAAAGTTTTTATGAGACATTCAGTGAACATACCATGAATCACAGATAAAACCTCGCAATTGCTGCCCAACTGTCGGCTCTTCCCCACCAGCATAATGGCCGGCAACTTGTCCAGCTTAATGTTCCTGGCCGTCATAGAGGCGTTGCTGCTTATGCAAGCGGTCAGCGAGGAAAGAAACCTACAGAATTATGGATTATTAATTAAATTACATAAAAAGACATCGAACACAACTTACATATCCTTGTTGCTCTCGTAAGTCATATCCCAACCATAAAGAACAAACTTCTCTTTGAAGGTTTGGATAATGCTCTCGTGTTTCATCAGTTGATCACAGAAAACGTTGATGAGAATGCTCTTGCCGTGATGCAAGTAAATAGCCAGCAGCTTACGCTAAAATTTACGAAAACTTAATGTGTATTCTCATGAGAAGTACATAACGAAAATTACCTCTTTGGCCGATCTGAGGCAGGCCAGCTGCTTGGCGCTTTCCAGACTGCCAACAAAAAAGTCTGGACATGGCTCACCATAACGCGCCTTGTAGTTCTCAACAAATTGCGTGGAGCCACTAGTTTCGTCATCGGTATTGTTTGGTACTGGAAAATCCAAATATAAATATATTACACTGCACGAGAAGTGTCAGTAATAAAGATGCTTACTTAAGTGTCTGTTTAGGGGCTGAGCGGGTGGCGAGTCAGTGAATATGTACTCGGCATTGTTGAAGTCCGTGGCATCCTCGAATTCATCCGCCGAGCTCTCGCTGTCCACGGTCACCACATCGAATGCATTGTGCTGGTTGGAATTTGTTTGAGGCGCCCGCGCTGTGCTGCGTACGGCAAATCTGTGCGACAGCTCTATTCCGGATTGCTAAAGGGATCAAAACATTAGTAAGCAACAAGTTTGAATTAATTATTTAAATTTCGTCTTACCGCCAGAGTGGTTTCATTTGTACAACCATTGGGCCAACCTGTCCACTCCTGGTGGCGAACTGGTATACTATTAATGTCGTACACGTTCATCTTCAACTCTTGCATTGTTGTTCGACCTGGCAGGTTAAGAGTGAGTGGACTTCCCGTCTCAAACTGTATGAGAATGGTGAAGGTCTTATCAACTCGTTGCGTCACTTCATCCCTGCAATAGTTTAAATAGGTTACAAACATTTTAAGTTATTTTCCTTCTGAACTCACTGTTCGGTATCCATGAAACCGTCATCGGTGAGATCCACCAGGATCAATTCGTTTTCCGGGGCGAGATCCAAGTTGCATATACGAGTTCCCAGCTGCTGGGCATCACTAGCCTTGGACGGCGGCCAGCCGCGAATGGCTTGCCTGCACACCGGTACACTGGTCTCGTCGAAGATTTTGCGTTTGAGTTGCTCTAATAAAAGGGTTTATCACTAAAACGAAATGTATGGTTCCAGCTAATTCTTACCAACAGTGGCCTCCGAGGGCAATCGGATCTGGTAGAGCTGCTGGTTGAAGTGGATATTGAAGGCGATCACGTTCTGGTTGTTGTTCTGGCTTGATGCAGGGTCCAGGTTGATGCTGGACGTCAGCTGGGCTAGCAATTGTGACGCTATAGTAGATATGTTTCAAGTCAAGGCACAAATGCGGCGCAATCATGTTAAACTCACTGGGAAATCTCTGCTGGAGGTGCGGCTGATTAAGATTAAGGTTCTGGTTGTGGTTCTGCAGGGCGGCAGCATAGAATCCCGAAGAATTCGAAGTTCCAGGCAGCTCATCGTAACCAGGCGGCCGAAAGCCGTTGGTGCTCTCCACGGGATTCCTAGTTGGGGCCTCCATCTGCTGGATAGGATGAGGGCTGGCCAGTGGCGCATCCTCGTGCGGCATCACCCGACTCAGTGCGTCCTGTAAAGGGACAACGCAATTAGGACCACGCATGTGCGGAGATGGGAAACCCAACAGGCAAAGCAGGAGAACAAAGGATTTGTGCACTCACCATCAGGTTCCAGTCTGCGGCCTCCAAATGGGAGAAGGCCTCGCCCACATCGTCGATGCCTGTGATGTTCTGCGGAAGACCAAAAAGCGTACCATATAGTATTTCGATATTGGAACTATCTGACAAAGTCACCCACACACCACCAAAAAGGCACACGCATCGCAATGTGCGCAGCGAAATTGAAATAATTCCTGGTAGTTTATGATGAAATGCATTACCTGAAAGCTGGCCAGGGTATCTTCCTTGTTCTCCGACATTGGAAAGGCTTGTGGTTCTCTTTATTTAGCCGATAAACTGTGCTCTAAACTCTAACGATTTTCACTACAAAAAATTACACAAAGAAAAAGTGGCAGGTCAGTGTGACCAGTTGGCAATAGGCGTTTAATGCGGAGTAACGCAAGCTCTGTTAACGGCACATTGCATTTATATTTTTGATTAATTTAAATTATTCTCCTTTTTTTATACTTATTGTTTATTAGATATTGAATAATTTTGATGACAAACGACACACTGGATGTGGGACAAGAAATATAACTCTTAAATTTTAACTCTGTTAACCGTAACCGAGTAATGTTAATTTCAAACTATAAGGCGCGAAAATCGTAGCAAATTTGAAATCTTCAAAAGGATACGGTTTTACAAGACTTCCAACGGATATACATATATGTGTATATCTTGAATTCTCACCAAAACTGAAAGCCAATCCTTCAATCTGCGAAATTTATTCAGCTGTAAATTGTGATTAATATGAGAAACTTTATACTTTGCCCCCCGGGGACGAATAAAAGAGCCGGACTCGCCCCCGCTTTACCGAGCGAACAAATGCGGCTCAATTAATCTTCATGAAGTGGCGAAATCAAAGATGCGGTCCGATGTTACTTCGAGGTAGTCAGGATAAAAGTGTAGTATAGAAGCCTCCGGACTGGTAAGCTGACAACATGTTGCTTGTGGGCCTGAAATACACTCTGATACTGGCCATTAGCTGTTGTTCCCTGATCCCCATCAATGGAGTTGGTACACAAACTGACCAGGAGCTGCCGCATCGCATCTACCGACTTCTGTACGGACTCTCCGACGGACGCAGCCTGAGCGCCAGCTCCATATTCGCCCTGCTGCTATCCCAGTTCCTGATAAAACGTAAGCCCAATGAACCGTATACTCGCGATACGGATGACGGATGTGCGTATTTATTTATGCCCTGTCCATTGCAGAAAAACTACGCTACGTGGCGCCCACGCGTTACGAGAGGCAGCTCTACTACCATCTGCTGCACAGGATGGAGCACATTAGGGAGCGATCTGGATTGCTTCGCGAGCAGGGTGTTCAGGGGGATAGTATGTTTGTTTGCTACAACTTACTGCGTATTATTATTTATGGAAATTTCTTTGTAGTTCTAAACATTGCTCTTCAGAAGAATGTGTTACTTTTGCCTCCCTCATTGAGATTGGGGGAATTGGATGCCAACGCGGAGTACGAACAGTTAGCTGAGATCTACTCGAAAGTCGTCAACGAGGGACAGCTCAACAGGACACAATCGGGTGAGTAAGCCATACTTTATATTCTTATATTGGTTGGTCACAAATTAATAATAATTGTAGGGTAGTTAATAAGTGAGCTATCCTAAAACAAGCGAGCTCGAACGAATTTTTCAATGTACTAAAGATAAGATTGTTCATTCTTAACCAATTTAACCAATAGAGAAGAATAATTTATTGAAATATATAGTTTTTAAAGTAATTTAATACAATTATTAAAAATCAAAGGAAAAGTTCAAAAAATTCTTTTAAAATATATATTATTACAATATTTGCAGATCTCTGCCTGCGGGACATTGTGGAGTTAAAGCCCCCAAAATGCAAGCTGCTATCGTCGAAATGTTTGGAAATACTGGCCAATGATGCACCAGCATATGGATACCAGAGGACACACCAGTGAGTGATTATAAGTGTCTTCCCGTTATGACCCATCCAAGCTTAATCTTCTCCTAGGGTTCTTTTGCTCTATGTATTGCAGCACCAGGTGTGTGCCCCTCATCTCAGTCCACCGCAGGTGTACGAACTACTAGCCAGGAGTCAGTGCGATGAGGTGGAACGCGAACAGAACGCCATCCGGAGCCTGGGGCTGCCTGTCGCATATCGCGATCTGTATTTGGAGCAAGGTAAGCTTGGGTCACTGGGCTGTGGATGGTATATTAAGGGCTATCCTTGCTTGTATCACTGACACATATCTCTGCCACACATACGTATCTCTGACACCACAGCCACCATCTGCGGATTGTTTGGGTACAATGAGTTTGTCAACTGGCGCAACGTAATGGAAATTGGCAGCTGGCTGGAAGGGGATTCGCCGAAGGATATATTGGCTGCTGACGGAGATAGTCAGCACATAAGCGATTTGGCCTTGGTCTTCTATATAAATGCACTGCTGCTGCTGCATTAAGCCCCTAATCTATTGAACTCCTCCTTCCTCTTCCATAATTTTGCTGCTTGTGCTTGATAAGTTAATAAAGTACCGCTTATTGCTTTTATGGTTGTGTCGATTTCAGCAGTAGATTAGCTAATACTTTTGTTATTGAACTGCATCGCGGATGAGGAACTCTCAGTGGGTATGGGGACACTTGGAATGGAGTGGCGGAACGGAAACAACATTTGTAATGTGACACATTACTTGCGCTTGGCTGCCCGACTGATGGATATGCAGCAGGACGACAACAACGACGACAACACTTTCCATTACAAAATGCTCACACTGAAGTGGAATACTAATATTTGCCCTGACATACTCGAAAACATGGAAGCCGGAGCAGCGAAGCCCAAGGGCTTGCGGAAGGAAAGGGGTCGTCGGCTGGGTTTTGGGCTCTGACTTGTGGGTTCTGGGTTCAGGAGGTCCCCGGCTGGATATTAATGCCTCATTTGCTGAATGTCGAAGGGTTGGCATTGCAACAGGGGACGGGAGAATGCACCTACTAAGCCTGCAACAAAGGAAATGCACTGCGAAAAACGCATAGTCCTTGTAATGCTAAAAACATAAACTTGCTTTTCGTAAGGCTCGGACTTAGTGCCCCTAAATTTATTTCTTATAATTTATTTTATCATATAAGTTATCATCTTCAACCAGCAAAATTAAAGTTAATAATATTCTAAAATAAAAGAACAACAATACTAAATTCTTTACCATTGGTTATAAGGCTCTTTAAAAGCTTAAGGAGACTTATAGTTAAAGTGAGATATCAAAAGTACCAACCTAATCTTAAGTAGACATTTCTTTACGTGCAGACAGACATATAAACATCAGTCCTATATGTCGTTGCCTTTGTCGGGGGTCATGAATAGCGCTGGGTCATTAGTAACGTTGGCTTGTCAATGCAGCAACAACGCCGACAATAACAACAACAGCAGCAACAGCATTGCCGCAGACTTGCCAAGTCTCGGTTACCATAGTGGGTTGAGCATATGGGGTGAAGGATTGGGTCCTGTCCGCCTGGACATGCCTGCTCCTTCTTCAATATGTTTTCGTTTTTTTATCATTCCTTTCGGCAGGCAAACAACAACCCTTCAACAACCCTTGCAACCTGATCAGCTGACTTACTGGCCAATGCACACACCTACCCCTTCTCCGTGTATATACCCCCCATCCACCGCAAGGCGTCTCGTGTTGTTTTTGTCCACGCGTGTCGTCGAGTTCATTATGGGCTTATGTCCCTTAAAGTGTGGCTGTGTGGCTCTCCGGAGGTGTTTATTGTGCTGTTAACTGTTAACTCGCTGGCAGCGGCAACAACAAGATGTTGTTTAACATTCTCCACGGCTCTCCATAGCGTCAACGTCCTTCACCGTTAACGTCTCGCCTGTCTGTTGTTGTAGTGCGAGCCCGGAATGTTTGGTTCCTCTCTTTCTGTGCATTCTCTTTGCTGCAGCGCATGCGTGCGTGGGAGAGCTCCCAAAAAAGAGACATAGAGAGAGCTCCCACCAGGCTGGACATTAAGGGGGTACATATTGGGAGAGTGGGAGCTGGTGGTCCTGGTTTAGGGTTGCAAGGTAGTTTCTTAATAACCACTACTCGATTCTAGTACTAAAGGCTGCTTAACTTTCACTTACTTTATTTCCAGAAATTTTAAAATAAGCAAAGACAAGAAAAAAAAATTTTTCAAATGTATAGCAAGGCACAACTTTTATGAAGCTGAATCAACTTAAAATTTTTAAAACTTAAAAGCAAAAATATGTTTTTAAAAATTATTCACTCTGACAACTCTATTAGCCGAGCTAACTGTGCGAATTGAATTGGCGCCTCTTTACATGGACGGATAATCGGCTAACGGATATTACAACAACGTCAAGAACCAAGGACTCTCCGAGTTTGACTTTCTCTCTCCGAGCTGTCAGCCGAGGGTTTGTTTTTTTCCTGTGATGGCTTAGTACTCCACACTCTCTTTTCGGTTTTCTCTCCCGTGTGGCAAGTGGCTTTTCCATTCCATAGTTCGACACTCATACGCTCAGTAGTCTCCCGTCAATTAGAGTGTAAAAACGTTACGCTCCACGGAAAACAAACGGAATCGTCAGAAACGCCAGAAATCATCCGTATCCGCCGTCATCAGACATCCGTTCGCAGGATACAACCAAAATAATATATATATATATATATACACAGTCTCACAACGAATACGATAAAGCAATTGCAGGAAACTAGCCAAAAACGTGGAAATTCCCCGTAATTGTGGATTTTCAAGTGCTACGATTGAAAATTCGCAAGTGCAATGTGAAAGTCAGCTTATACGACAGCTGAATGTGTCCGTGTGTGTGTGCTAGTGAGTGAGAGTGTGCGTGGGTGTGCAGGAGTGTGTAAATGTAAATACCACGAAAATCGCTGAACGCCGAAAAATAAAGCACAAGGAAGAAGGAGTAGGAGGAGGAGAGGAGAGGATAGCAGGAATCAGAAATCAGCGAGGACGAAGCCAGAGGCAGTTGAAGAAGAAGCAAAAGAGAAGCAGGAGCAACAGCAACAGCAACAGCAACCGTAAGGATTTGCTTCTGTGTGTATGTGTGTGTGCGTGTGAGTGTAGTTTAAGGAGACGGAAAAATGCGAAATGAAATAATGGAAATTTATGTGGCCAGCGCTTTTCAAGTGGCCACTCCACTGCCCTTCCGCACAAACATTACAACATAACCAGACACATGCACACACTTACCAATACGTTCATACATAGCACCACTTTTATTTATTGCGATTTTTGGGTCAAACTAAAGTTGCAATGATGATGTTGATAATTACCAGTTCGTTCACATCGCCAGCAGTTCAAAAGTCTTTTGGGGGAGTTCCCCTTTTCCATCCAAACGCACACAAGCACTCACGTAAAATCACCCGAACATATACATAGAAAGCCCCCTCGAGCTGAGTATATATGTATATGGGTGCGTGTGTGTGTGTGGGTGCTCGCTTTTGTTTTAGTCCTTGGGTCCTTGCTGGGAAATTACTTTGTTGTTGGTATTGCTTTTGTTGTCGTTGTGGCAAGGAACGCGGTCTTTGACAGCTTTCAAGTAAAACGCGCACCTGCGAATTCGCCATAAATTAGGCCCGCGTCCCGCATATAGGAGGATATATATTTAGTGCGACGTTAGCCCGTTGTCTAAGCACTCAAAGACCAGGCAGGATAAGCCGCAAGAAAAACGCGCCAAACCTCAGGGCTTTACAGTGGATACTAAAGATAGAGTACCCCTACTAACATATCTGGGAAAATATAAAGCGTTTAATTTTGTTACCAACTCTTAAATATAGGTACGAGTATATTAATTTTAAACTAACTTGTTATGTCTCATTTGAAACTACTAACAAACTTTAATACATTTTTCAAAACCTTTATAAATATGTCTTTAAGTATGCAACAAAGTTTTTTGAGGCAGAAAGTCTTGTTGCTTCTTAGCTAGGGACAAAGACTATTTTTTGGAAATTTCACTTTTTGAATAATTTCAAAGCCATATGAAGCTACCTTACCTTGCTATCTTTTGATTATTTGGCAAACAATGTTTGATGCTGTAAGTGAACTTTGTTTGTATTGTTCTCAGTGCATCATCGCATATTTCTGTTTACCTAATACTTATAAAATAACATATACTCGTATGTTGTTATGGAAGCTAACTAGAACAAACAAGTTTTTACAACTGTATAGTATTATATTTTCGTCGATTTGGATTTGAATCACATTTTTTTAATATTAGTTTACGACTAAAAGTTAAATAAACAGATATACGATTCCAATGTAAGCTGTGAATATTGCATACATAAAAGCTGCAAATGTATTTTTTCTTTGGTAATCGAATACTTTAAGTTAATTAAAACGGATGCAGATAGTAGATCAAAGGTAGCCAATTGGATTACATCTGTTGCTGGCCGCACAACTTTTTATTTAATGGGATTAATTTTACTAACTAATTGTTTAAAAGTCAAACAAAATTAAAATAAAGGCAAAATAATCAACATTTGTCATTCAATTATTGTGTTACATTTATTAAGGTTATCAGGGGCTTTGAAACAGGTTTTAGATTTCAATCTTTTGGGTGTTTATATTATATTTGGAGTAAGAGTTTATAGTTATTAGATTTCGTGCCTTTTATGAATTTTTCAAGAAAAAGCCTTGTGTTAGAAGGTCATATTTATCAGATTTCGTGTTTAAGTAAAATTAGAGAGTAATTTACTTATTCACTTTTCCTCTTAAATCTGCTGTGTTCTTGGGGCTTCCCCTGAAACCGCTTTAATGTTCTGGAATAGCGTCGCAGATTAGCCCAATTAACGTATCTCCACTGTGGTCGCTCGGTTGTCTCTTGCCTGTCATTTTGGCCAGCTTGGGGGAGTCAGAAGTCTGGCATGCGTGAATCGAGTTGATTCGAGTTCCTCCCCTCAAGATTCCCCTATCCACAACATTGTTTTTGTGTGTATTTTGTGGTTGCTGGCCACCCAATTGGCTCTCCACGGATTTTGTGCTCTATTTACCTGCCTTATAAAAACACAATTTATTGCTGGACTAACGTTTTCCCTTTGTATTTGGCTGCTGCCTCAGCTTCAGCTTCTGCTTTCTGTTTTCTGTGTTTTCTGTTTTCCGCTCCTGTTTCCATTTCTTTTCTTCACTTTTATTGTATTCCGCTGTTGCTGTTATAGTTTTCGCTTTGTTTTGTTTCGTTTCGTTTTCAACTTAACTTTTCCGTTCTGTGGGTCTGATACTGTACGCCCGGGGACTTCCCCTTTATTGGCTTTCTGTATAAAGTTTTTGCGTGACATCAGCCATGGATATTATTCCGCTGGCTGCCATTTTGTTTGGCCTTGTTTGCCTTTTGAATCAATAAACTAGCCATGGTATCGAGAGCAGTTCCTAAATAATTGAAAGGCAGCTGAGGTTTAGGCATTTGGCCCTCTTGAATTTTTCAACCACAAATGCCACTTAGCCAGTGGAAAAATCGCTCAAAAGCAGGCAACACTTTATGTGCATGCAAATAATTCGGTTACCACTTATCCGGTTCACTTTCACTGCAACCCCATAGTTTTTCGGGCATATCTCTGGACAAAAGTTTTCGGACTCTCCAGAGCAATTTGATCATTTGTTATGGTGGAAACTCTGGCATTCGGGCAAAAAATTCCTCCTCACTTTGTGGTCGGTCACGTAGTATCTAGTGGGCGAAAGTTTTGAGTTTACGATTTACGATGCATAAACTTTATACCAGAGCTTTCACTCAACTCAAATAAAAGTCGGTAATCTGTGATAAATGACCCAGGCTTTGACTATGGCGAATATGGATTCTGTAAAGCCAACTATCAGATATCAGACATCGACGATGAAAGGCCGCTGCCCAATGAGCTCTTAATTGTGTAATTAAATCACTGCCACTTGAAGCATTCATTTTTGTCCATTAGCCTAATTGGGTGGATCAACTTTTTCGCAAAATGAGAATTGAGAATGGATGTTCATGGTAGTTTTGGAGGAGTCAAGTTTTGTGTGGATTGAGCGACTGCCTATTAAGTTCGATACCGATGCGTTCTAATTAGTTTCTGAGGTCGCATTTTCCAGGCAAATGAGCGCACGTTTTTGTGTCGCTGCTTACCTGAATAATGAGTTTTTCCATCCACACATCGACGGCATGGATTTTGGCTCTTCACAGAAAAAAAATAAAAGTTGGAAAATGGAAGGGTAAAACTGGGGGAATCCCCCAACTGGCACCCACACAAAAGCGAATTCTGGGCGACGGGCTTCAACATTCTACATTGCTGGCCATTCGGAGGCGTCGTACCGGAAAGAAATGCCATTAAAAACGCAATAAAAATGCAAAAAAAAAATATAACAAAAAGGGGTTGGTAGTGGGGAAATCCCGAATGAAAGAAATGCGAAAATATAACGTAGAGAGTGTGCAAATACAAACGTACAAAAAGAAGTATGTGGGTAGTATGTCAACCTCTGTGCACCGTCTCTGTCTCTGTGGGTATGTGGGTGTATGAGTGTAGTGTGTGTCTGAGACTGTGTGTGTGTAAATAGCCAAGGTGGAAAAATCGATATAAATGAATACGGGAACATTTGGTCGCCCCCGAAAAAACAAAAAAAAATACGAAAAACGAAACCTCGACTGACTCAACTTGAGACAGTGCGGAATGGCGATGGGTTTTTTAGCCCTTACGTCAAACTTATAAAAAACGAAAAGTTTTTTTGCACGCACAACCATTGCGAGTGCTTACCCACTCATACCCCTCAAAAACACACACACACTTATGCAGCAAAGGAAAACCCCAAAGGGGAGAGGGGAGAAGAATGTGGAGGTTGGGGAAAACCTCCCGAGGCCATAGGCAGTCAACGCGAGTTTAAGCGCAGGCATATGAAAATTGCCATAAAAATATATAGTCCGCGTGCAACGGGGTTTTAACAGCGATTGCAAACTTACACTATCTTTTTTTGGGGTAGCTGTAAATAGATTTCAGAGAAGTTAAGAGTGGTTTTTATTTAAGCTCTAGTTTTGTATATTATGCTAGATTTTTAATCTTTAGGGATTGGTTTTTTAAAGCCAAAGTAGATGACCAATATCGCCAAGCATTTATGATCTTTTACGAACGTCAATTTTCTCACAGTTCCGTTTTGCGTTTCATTTATATATTTGAAGAAAAATAAATAAAATAAGTTACTATCCTAATAGACCCAATAGATTATGGATATAGATATTCTTTTATATAACTATTTTTAGACAGTTACGTTTAGTAAACAAAGAAGATATATATAGATATAGTAAACGAAACACCAGAATAAAGCCACATCAGCGCAAACACTTAATAGAAGCAACTTCCAGTTGGTTTAGCTTAATTAATCAAATCAAACATCCGTTCGTCTGGGGGACTTCCTGAATCTGGATGCCTCGTTCCCCCGTTGGGGCACCAAAGAGTATAAATAAATAAAAGCAGAAAGCACAAAGAGTGCGGAGGAAAGAAGAGCAATCGCAACAGCAGAGCCAAAACCGAAACAGCGGAGATGCTGCGGCTGCAATGTTTGCCCCAGTAAGTATGCTACACATTTCTCGAGCACGGGTTAAGTGCGATGCCAGCGAAAGAGATAGCAATACCCTGGCAGAGAAGGACATAAAGACAGAGACAAAAAGGAAACGAGAATGAGGAAGGAGATGTGTGCCACCAAAGCTTAACAACATTTGCACGCGTTTTCCTTCCATCTTGGAGACATTTGACATTTCAATTTCAAATTGGCCAAAGGAAAAGGCCCAAAAAAATGGGAAACGAAAAATTTGGATTTTTCCATGTTCGATTTTCCCATCAACTACTGTTGCTATCTGCAAGTAACCATGCCCGCTTATTTGCTATGCAGGGTAGACACTTTGCCGAATTGTGTTCGTATTGATTTCTAATTACTCGGCCACACAGTATTTGGCTTAAGGTAGGACGCCAGGTGGCAGGTGGGAGGTTGGGCGGTTGGGCTTGATGGGTTTGGTTTGGGTTTGGGTAATAGGAGTGGCCACGCTTGATGTGGGGCTTTGTCTATTTGTTGTGGCGGCGTTGCCATGGTGGCTCCTATTGATTTTACCAACACCATGAATCATGCCAAAGCTCAAGCCTATGCTCCTGTCTACATGGAGAGAAATAAGACTCCGTTTTATGAGGAACAGTAAGGTGGGATCCTGAGAGATAAAATTAACCTTAACCTAGATAAAAATATTAAAAAATTATATATTTTTCAAGAATTTGTAACTTTTAAAAGTTGTTTTTCCATATTATTTTTATTTTTTCCTTAATATATACCTTATTTTATTTTTCGTGTACGTGCCTAATGTTCGCCACCTTGTTCAGCCCTCTTCCCACACCTCATCCCCCCTTTCACCAGCGATGTTCCATTTGGCCACTGCGTGTTTAGCAATTTGTGGTTATATTATAATGACCACTTGATTTGCGTTTGCGTTGGCTTGAGCTCTTGCCTTTGCTTTTACCGCCTACTAATTGCGCGCTTGTGTCGCTTTTGCGTTTGTGTGTGTGTACTTTCAGGTGCTGACGCCGTAGGAGCAGCTGGGTGGGACAAGGACTGGTAGCAGGAACAGGAGCAACAGTCGCGGAGGCAACGTCGAGACGCATGCACGCTCCATGCTCGCTGCTGGCTGATGGCCAAAGGACTCCACGGAATCGCATACGGAACTGGGACTCCAGAGAAAGTAGCACTACCAGCAGCGGCAATAGCAGCAGTCGAACTCAATTGAATTGAGAGCCGAAAAAAAAGAGGAACCCTTCGTCGCATCAAGCATACGCCCCATTGCGCACACCTGTGGACAGAGTGCAGCATGTCAACTTCAAAGCATCACCATTACCGAGTCCTCTGCGTGTGGCTCCTTCTCCTGCTATCAACATCATCATCGGCCAGCGCCGCAGTGAGTGCGATTGCAGAGCCAGAGGAGGCGGCCTTTCAAGGTGCGTTTGAGATCCGGTACACCCGGAGGCCCCCTAATGTGACGACCCAACCCAATGTCTGTGCCAAGTGCCTAATTGTGAATATCTGGGTATTTGGAATTCGGTATTTGGCACTGGCAGTTCAATTTTGAAGAGCACGACCGACCGCCCGACAGACCCTCTTCGACATATCAATAAACGAGGCTCTATTGTATGTTCTTTGACATTAATGAGCGACTTAATTATGCGTGAGAGTGGGCCAAAAACCAGAAAACCAGAGAAAACCAAACCAAACCAAACCAAACGAGGACAGACGGTGAGGGATCGGAAGTTATGCAATGGCGGTTGTCAAATTTTCAGGACCATGGGGGCGAAATCAGTCATTGGCGACGATGCTGATGTGTGCTGCTGACACTTCGATTTCAATTGCATACAAAATGCGATTTTTCAATTTCAATTTGAATACGCAATGCATGGCCAGCGGGCAAAGAAGTTTCAAAGGGGGAAGGCCAGCGCTGTGTGGCAGCCCAGCTGGCTTGTGTGCATATGCAAATGGGTTTGTGTGCTTGTCCTCTGTGTCCAGTGCACTTTAATCGTCCCCACAGTTGCTTAATCAACTAGCAAGCCTGCATGCATGCACGAGCTTTGTCCACCCCCTGCCTTTCCCCCACAGCCACACATCTACGCCCCTGTGAATCCCTCCCTTTTTTTGGATGGCACTTTAACAGAGTAGCTGACGTGTTCGTGTCTCCATCTTCAGAAAGTGCCTCTGCGTTCGTTCCATTTAATACAATGTGTGTGACGTAAGTGCCGGGCCACTCGGGCGTATGCGTAATGCTTGTAATGTTTTTCCCTTTTTTCTTTTTTTTATATATTTTCTGAACCGTTTCCTTCTTTGCACTGGCACAATTTCGGTGTCAAGTGAGTGCTGGAGAATGCAAGCCAAATGGCTGTGATTTTGGTTCTCCTCCTGCTCCGCCTATGGAATTTGCATTTAAATTGCCCTCGAACTGAGGACGAAAAACTTTTCCCTTAAAAATAACTACGAAGAAACTATCGGCCAACTGACTTATTTAAGTAGTCATTATGAATTTGTGCGGTCAGGTGCGGGCGAGATGGGGGAGGTGAATTTGAAATGCTGCCATGGCCAGCAGTAAATTTCAGAAAACGTATGCCATAGTCAGGACCAGACCGAAACCAGGCCCAAAGTCCTTAAAGCTTATTAGAATTTATTGCGGACACGTCGGTCACACCCAGGAAGACACTCACACACACACTCGGTAACAGGAATAAACGGAGACATGGACGTACTCGTAGACGTAGACAGCCACGCAGGCAGACAGGACAGGGACACTCGACTGAAACTAAACTCAACTGAAGTGAACTGAAATTATGAACTAGACCAAACCAAACCGAGTCTCGGCTCGACCAGAAAACGGCCCAAACCCAAAGTTGCCAGCAAACAGACTGAAAACGCTCCGCCCCGTTATCGTTCATCGTCCATCTATTTGGAACAATTCTAACTGAACAATCCTCACAATCCTAACCCTCTATTTCCCTCCCCACGAAACAGGCCACTGCGGACACACCAGCCCCTGTGAGCAACTATGCTACGAGATCCACGATGGAATGTACGAGTGCGACTGCATCGAGGGCTATGAGCTGAACAAGAACGGTTACAGCTGTCAAGGTGCGTTCAGGATGGGCACATCCCACGTGGGATTGGGAATGTTATGTGTATGGGTAGGGATATGCATAGATACAGTGCATACATAGATGCAGATCCTGCCAGGCCACAAAATTGATTTGCCATTTTGGTTATTATTTGGAAATCACCTGTAATGGATGGGCAACTGGGCAACTGGACAACTGGGCATTCAAGTGGGTTGGATTAGCCCCCGATTACATTTGCATTCACCGTTCTGTTATTATTCATTTTTGTCCAGACTTATTTGGGGAATTATTATTTTGCAATTGTCTGCTCCTCTACCATGTTGATGCCCCCCAGCAGGCCGACAAATTGATATTTTTGTGTTGTTACTTTGCCATTATTTTGTGTGTGCGTTTTGCATTTAATTTGTGCATTTCGACAACGTGTTAAAAAAATTTACAACTAGTTCGTTTCTAATAGGCAATACCCTCATTTAATAGAAGGGATGATTAGCTAGATCAAAATGTTGAAATTAAATAAATTATTATTTAAGTTGTTTTAAGTTATCAAGCAATAAGTTGAAGGTATTTCTAATTATCGAACTTATGCAAGTTTACATTTTAATTAATGCAAGCATTCATTACTTAGGGAAAGCGCGTATTGAATCTCCTTAGTTTACCCTCTTCATTTACCGATTTTAATTAAAATAGCAGATACGAGGCGTTCATTCTGTTGTGGATCTTGTAACAATATCCTTTCTGATTTTCTAGTAATTAACGCCACTGCCAATGGTTTGGATGGGCGTGGCAAATCGGACGAGGATGTTCTCTACCAGAAGGGCGCCTCGTTCAGTGCCAAGTTGGCTAATGACGATGGTGGCAAGACGATGGCCAAGTCTCCGTTCGTAGGATCTGCATCGCAATCCAACTCGCCTTCGGGCAACGGAAACGGTGAGGATGAGTCTGGGTCAGAAAGCGACAGCTACGATTATGGCGAGCTGGAGGACAGCAATTCGGAGACACAGGAGCAGAAGCAGCAATCGCTGAATCTTCAGCAACAGCAACAGAAAGTCAATTCAAACGATTACTACATATCAGCGGAGAGCATCAACTTCAATTCGGAGTCCGAGGGCCAGGAGCAGGATGTGGCCGACTTCAAGGCGGCCAGCACCATGCCTCCCACACCCTCAGTGCCGCCGACTTCCAGCAGAAGCACTACAAAAGCAACCACCACAACAACCAGAAGATCCCCAACGGCAACTGGAGCCACCAGGGTTAACCAAAACCAAGTGGATATGGATTACGGGGAGAGTGATGGCAGTGATGACTACAGCTACAGCTATAAGTCGGACATGTCCGTCTACGACGATGTCAACAATAATCAATTAAACTTAAGACGCAACAGCAAATCGCAAACATATCAGCAGACAAGCAATACTAACACAGCCAAGAACAGGAGGAAGAACACAAACGTAACCAGCAATAAGGTTCAAATGCATATCACAAGGGAGACCAACCGACTTGGCAACATATCAGCAGCGGAGCAGATTGGAGTGGGAACAACCATGACAACAGACAGGTGGGTCATAAAAATGTAACGTGGGGGGTGGAAAATTCCTTAACCAATTTCGGATGTAAAATCCTTTGACTCCATGCGAACGTTTCTTTGTTGGTTATGTCCAACTTAAGTATGCAGAAATTGTACGAATTCTCCATCCACTTAAATGTGCATATTGTGGTTGACAAAGCTGCATAAGCTAAACTGTATTTTAAAATTAAATTTATATAGTTTAATCAACTTATCCAACTGCAGCAGCACTCCCACATGTAATCTGGATTGCGGTTCCGATGGTATCTGTGCCTTGGAAGCCACTGCCGCCAGCTCACGATGTCTTTGTCCATTTGGTAAAACGGGCACTGGCTGCCAGGAAGGTAAGTGAATATCTGAAGGAAAATGAATAAAAAAATAATCTACTATATTTCCTATTTAACTTCTTTAGATATTCGAGCCCATGTGCCTCGTTTCGCCAAGCGATCCTGGCTAGCATTTCCCGCTCTCCATGGCGCCTACAAGCACGTTCAACTGCGCATCGAATTCCGTCCAGAGTCTTTTGACGGCATTATCCTATTGAGCGGGGAGCGCGATGACCTCACCGGAGACTTTATGGCTCTTTTACTAAACAAGGGATTCGTGGAGTTCTGGTTTGACTGCGGTTCCGGCGTGGGCAGCGTCAGATCTCGCGAGACCATCTTGTTAAATGAATGGAACTCCGTGATCATCTATCGTCATCGATGGGATGCCTGGCTGGTGCTCAATCATGGCACAAAAGTCCAGGGCAGATCGAATGTAAGTTGATTATTCTAACTTTGGAAAGCCTTCTCTCCATGACTTCAATCTCTCTTAGGGTTTATTCTCACGCATTACCTTCCGGGAACCAGTCTTCCTGGGTGGAATAGGTAACATCACTGGATTGGCCAAGCGACTGCCCCTAGCCGAGGGCTTCGCCGGCTGCATTCGTCGCTTTGTAGCCAACGAACATGATTACAAGTTCACAGAACACCCTCTGGGTGATGTCATCAATGGATTTGATATACGTAAGTTAGCTAATGACTGTCTTTTAAGCCAACTTTAATATTAATAACTAACCACAGAGGACTGTTCCACGGACAAGTGCGTGAGATATCCTTGCCAGCATGGTGGCAAGTGCCTGCCGTCAGATCAGGGCGCTATATGCCTGTGTCCCATTGGATTCGTTGGAGATCTTTGCGAGATTCGAATGGACCTACAGGTGGGTTATCCTATAATAATCGATCTCTTTTTCGGTGGGTAAAATATAATCGTTTTTTCTAGGTTCCCGCCTTTAATGGTTCATCGTTCCTACGCTATGCTCCACTGGGCGATACAGCGCTCATCTGGTTAGAGCTTAAGGTAACCCTAAAGCCCGAACAGGCAGACGGTTTGATTCTTTACTCAGGTCCAGAACATCGAGGAGACTTCATAGCCCTCTACCTAAGCGATGGCTTTGTAGAGTTTGCCTTTGATCTCGGTAGTGGTCCAGCTTTAGTGAGGTAAGTAGTTTAGGTCTGTTTTTAAATAAGATTATAAATAAACTTTTTGATTTTTCTTTCCAGGAGCGAGCATTCCCTCAGTCTAGGTCAATGGCACACAATTAAGATCTCCCGAACAGCTAGACTGGCAGTGCTCAAGGTAAGAAGTATTAAAGGTCTTTCAACTTCCTTTACTTACCACTTGATTTTCAATTTCTTAGGTGGATCAGCACCAGGAGGTTATGACTATCTCGTCGAACGGCTTCTGGCACTTGTCATTGGACCAGAATCTCTTTGTGGGAGGCGTGAACCACGTGGATCGCCTTCCTCTGGACCTTAAGTACAAACCCTTCTTCGTTGGCTGCATCCAGAGGGTGAGTAATAAACATCCCTTTTCCGTTTTCAATTCCATTGTATACCTTTGTTCACCACTCACAGATTGACATCAATGGCCACTCGCTGGGCATTGTGGCGGAGGCTTTGGGTGGCAGCAACATCGGCAACTGCCCTCACGCCTGTGTGGCGCGACCCTGCGGCCCCCTGGCGGAGTGTGTGCCGCAAATGGAGAGCTACGAGTGCCGCTGCAGCATCCACAACGAGCGCTGCAACAAGGCCGCCGAGGTGCCGCCCGAGCAACTGCCCGAACTGGCTCTTCACAAGTCCAAGGTCCTTGAGTCGAAGGACAATGGTGAGGCAGTGAAGAAGGTGTCTGGTTTGGTGCACAAGAAGCATTCCAAGAAGCACAGGAATTTGCATAAGCCAACCCCTGCCACGAGCACGAGCACAAGCACAAGCACCTCAACCTCCACCACAACCACTGAAGCTCCTGAGAGGTCGGAGGAAGCCACTGCTGGGGCGCTAAGCAACGAGGAAATCGAAGATGATATCATATTCCGTTTTGTGCAGCAGCAACAACAGCAAAGAGAGCTCAAGAAGCATAGGCAGCAGACGTCTACTACAGCCTCTTCCACTTCGACCTCCACTGCCTCGCCTAAACCAAAACCAAGGCTTTCAGGGAAGCACCACACCAGCAAGCATGAGCACCATCAGAAGCCAAACGCAGCATTCACCCACAAGCTGAGTCGCCTGCCCACCCACTATGAGAGTTTCCAGACGAACCCCGACAGCGACATCCTTACCTTCGACGATAACAACGACTGGGTGGCCAGTCTGCAGCAGCAGGAGTATGGCGATGCCATGGCGGCCAGTCAGGCGCCATTGGCCTTTGAGGATGGAAACCCTGGTAACCCCAAGTCGAACGAAAACAACGATGATGATGAGGACGCCTTTGTGTTTGATGAGTCTCTGTTCGACCCCTCGGACGGCACAGAGGAGTACCAACGCAAGCAGCTGGCTCAGGACATGAAGCGCATCATGTCCAACTCGAATACGCACTCTAGCCACAAGAAGGCTGAGGTCCAGTTCCCATCGCAGCCAAATCAAGACGAGGGTTCTCCCAACGATGATACTTCTCAGTACAGCGATGATTACAACGATGATGAGCTTTTGACACCTGTTATGCAGGCCGGAGAAGAAGTTAAGACAGATCAGCATGTATCCAGCACACCACAGACCCACACCGATTGGAGTCTTCTGAAGAAGATCGACCTATCCGCTGAACATCAATCGCAAGTTCAAGGAGTTCGAAAGAATTTCGGAGCTTGCTTCGCTGGCAGTGACAGCTATTTCCACTACAACGACGCGGACACCATGAGCCAGGTGATCAGCTACAGCATCGACCTCAACCTGCGTATTAAGACGCATTCGGAAAACGGCGTGATCCTGTGGACAGGTCGCCAGGGAACGACGGAGGAACACGATGACTATCTTTCGTTGGGCATCGAACAAGGGTGAGTTCTTCGTGGATTTTCATTAAGCATTAATAACTTTAATAATCATTTTGTCTATAAATACCAGGTACTTGCACTTCAGATATGATTTGGGATCTGGTGAGGTTGACATACGCTTTAATGGCACCAAGGTCAGCGATGGCCTGTGGCATCGCGTAAGAGCTATAAGGTAAGGAACAAAGATAAAACCTTTACGATTATTGATCCTCACTAACTTTATACATGCCATTTCTAGGAACTCTCAAGAGGGCTATCTAGAGGTAGATGGAAGAAAGACAGCCACACTACGAGCCCCTGGAAAACTCCGTCAGCTTAATACAGACACGGGCCTGTATGTGGGTAAGTATCTAACAAATAAATTAATCCCCATATAGGAGTCTATAAGATACTATATTTGCAGGTGGAATGCCCGATGTGGGATACTTTACGCACCAGCGCTACTTCAGCGGCATTGTCGGCTGCATCTCGGAGATCGTTTTAGCCGGCGAAATGAAACTGAACTTCGACCCGAATACGCTGGGAACGGAGCACAACGTGGAGACGGGCCTCCTATGAAACACTGCACGCACGCCTCAAGACTTTTGATATCAACTAGTTTAAATGTTATGTTAACCACACAAATGTCCTTCGTCGGTTTGTGTTTGTACAAATACGCTTTTAAAACGAAAACAGAGAGAGAAAACGCAGAGTTGGAAGGGTGAGGAACATTTTTTTACACCAGAAGACGGAGGAGTGACGAACTAAATCTAGAAGGGAAACATACTACATATTATATACAAGCATATTGAGTATATATACAAAGGCATACATAGGTATATATATATATATTTAAAGCAGAGGAAACCAAATCCAAAAAAAACCAAGGCACGCTTCTTATAGAGCCTGTGACTGTCAATACTTCAGATCGGAATAGTTTATATATAACTTTAGCAAAGGATTTATATCAGAGAAGTATGTCATATAGAATATGAAACAAGTGCAGAAGAATCTGAGTAACCAAGCTGTCCATTTGGCGCGATTTGCTATTGGCGAATTAACGAAATTGACAAATTACGAATATCGATAGCGATACTTTAGTGTGTGGTCGCTTTTTTGAACGAACCGTTACGCTTTAAATGCAAAGCTGCCATCTTTTTGTACCACACACACACAGACAAAAATAACATGTACACTAACACGCACTCGACTAACACGGTAACAAATGCATATTGGCAATTCTTTCGTTCTTCGCATTGCTGTACCTTAAACTATGAACTGTAAACTGTATAACTGTACATTCTGTACTATTTGGCGCTTCTTGGAAGGTCTAGTCCAAAATCGAACGAATCAAAGACCGTTAGGTGGGAGGATGGTTAGATGGTAGACGAGATGAAAGAAATAGGAGGCGATGAGAGCTAGAAGAAGAAACAAACATATTAAGTGGTAAGTTAATAAATGTGTAGCGTGTATTAGCTCGTAAGTCGGCACACTCGTACACACACATATACACAGAGTCACACAAACACAAACACATGCCTGCCTATATTAACTTTTATATCAAAATCGTAAGATACTAAAGACACCAAAGAAACTTAAGACATACGTAAGGACACCAAAAAACACACAAACAAACACTTGAAAACACGCTGAACCAGAATTGAAACTTGTGAGCGATTTTTAACAATTTATACTAATACAATACATACACAACAACAACAAACAGAAACAACAACAAGAACAAACTCAAAAACTAGCTAATGGAAAACAAACCAAAAACGAAAGCAAAGCAATTTAACAATCCCATAGCGAAATTTTAAAATGCGAAACAAACAACTAATCCGAATAGCCTGTTGAAACAATTGTAAAAGAGCGAACAAAGTATGGTAATAATGGTAAATTAAAATTAACTAAGGAGGGAAAACGTTTGTATTCGTCTTATGAGTATAATTTTGTAGCTTAATGAGATAACAACCACGTATGTAGTTATATATACATCATAAACACATATGCGTAACTATATATGACTATGAGAAACTATAGAAACAATGGCGTAAAATGAATAAAGAAATCACAACCACCAATCAATGTAAAACTAAATTAAACGACATTCAATGTAGCTTATTTATATGACAAATGGAAGTCGAGGCATTGAGATATTTAATTTCGTACATTGGTTTGCAGAAAATAAAGATAAAAAGATTCTAAACGATGTTTATTTTTTGGTGTTCTAAGTAATAGACTTTTTGAATTTGAATTCCGCTCTCTTTTGCGGTTACCCGTTGGCACTGATTCAACTTTACCGGTTAACCGATGAAACTGATTTAGCTCAACCGAATAATAGCTGGAGGTGATTCCTCACTTGCGGTGAACTTTTGGAACTGGCTCAAAACAGTATTTGTGTTCGTTCATATTAGCTTTTAACTGTTAAATGTGATTTAAAGTGTTCTCAATACATGTTTTTGTATATTAAATCTGGTGGATGGATAAATAAGTATTATTTAATACAATCTTATTTTATAAATATCATACTACAAAATTTAAAAAAAAAAGCTAAACTGTTACCTTTCCACTATCTCGTGACTGAAATATTTTTCTAATCTATCGATAGTGCTATCGCTAGCAGTAGTGGTGGCTACAGGGGACTTTGTTGTTGTGGTCCGCCAAGTGAATTTCAGCCAACTCTCTGAGATTAAGATTGAGAATATTCAAAGACTGAGATCGGATTGGACTGCGGAAGAGCGTCCAACTAGACGCGGAAGTAACAGCCTTCAACTCCAACCATGGCCGCTGTGCTGCCGGACAATGCTGCCGAGATCGCGGTGGCCAACGCAATCAATAACATCAACGGCAATGTAAATGGGAACGGGCGCAATCGGGTGCTACCTGGCGGACTTGGCGGTGGAGGCCAGGTAATTACCCATGGATCATCATGTTTGTTTAGCACCCTTATCTTTGCCTTGACTTGCAGAATAACATGATGAATATGCGGGATCGACTATTCCATGCCATTTATTTTCGGGCGGCGGCCGCCTATGCGGAGTTGGTTCCACGGTAAGAGTCATTGGACTCCTTATCTATCCACCCTTATCTCTACATACATGTCTCCTCTTCCAGAAAGGTGCAGATGACCATTGAGTTCCTGCTGCTGGCCAAGGCCCTGCTGTTCTTCTTCACGCTCGCCTACGTGCATAACTCCTTCATCAAGAACCCCTGTACCTGCCTAGAGGGCGTTAAAAACTGGCCACGCGAAGGCGTCATAAGGCAGGGATTTATCTTGGAATCTTTCTTCATTCATTCTTAATTGATTTATCCTTATATAGAGTGGAGATCATTCCCCACCTCGCCGAAAAGCGGGCCATTTGGCAGGGCATTAAGCGGGACCAAGAAATAGTCCGTTCCCTGAAAGATTCTTAGTGAGCATACAGGGCATTAGAAGTAAAGAGTTGATTTTCATTACTTAATATATTTTAGTTACTACAATATTGGACCACAAACATTGGAAAACCACAACAGTCTCAAGCGGTATGAGTCTATTCTGAGCAGGCTGGGACTGCCCGTTAGACCCACGTTTGCCTACAGTAACGAATCCCTGTACTACTACTTTGATGCTGTCAACATCCTTGACACTTACGACCATCCCAATGCAATACAGCTCAAGAACGAAGAAGATGATGGTAGGTTATTATATTAATTGATTACATACGAACCATTCTAATAACCTTTTCAATTGCAGAGGAGCAGTACATTGTGGAGTATTCGCTGGAATACGGTCACCTACGGCTGTCGTCGTCAACGCGTAAGCGCTTACGTATTCCCGTTCTCACTGTTCAACTGGATCCCGATACGGACAAGTGTTTTGGAGACAGCCTGACGCGATACTTGCTGAAGCGTATGCTGGGGTAAAAATAGATTTTTTGTTATGAGTATAAGCTGTATTTGTTAAACAATTCCTTTACTCTTGTAGCTATGATGACTTACTGATGGCCTCCGTAAGAACAATAGCCGAGCAGGAGGAAAACAAGGGATACTTGCGCAATGTGATTACCGGCGAGCATTATCGCTTTGTGTCCATGTGGTGGGCAGCCTGGAGCAGCTATCCAGCTGCTTTTTGTGTGATGCTGTTATTTGTAAGTTAATTGAGATTATGAGGACTAAATAGTTACTAAAATTACATTTTGTTTCAGACCTTTTCGGTGTCCATGCTGCTGCGCTACTCTCATCATCAGATCTTTGTCTTCATAGGTAGTAAAATTCAACAACCTCGTCAAGATTTGATAGACTTTAAAGACTCAATTTTCTTTTACAGTCGATTTGCTACAGATGTTGGAATACAACGTGTCCGCGCGGTTTCCTATTGCTCCTTTGCTTACTGTCATACTGGCGCTCGTAGGTGTGGAAAACCCCTGTCAACTGATTAATTTGCATTGCCATTAACCTTTGTATGTGTTTTTCTGCAGGAATGGAAGCCATCATGTCAGAGTTCTTCAATGACACTACCACGGCCTTCTACATCATACTGATTGTCTGGATTGCGGATCAATATGATGCCATCTGCTGTCACACGAGCATCACCAAGCGTCATTGGCTCAGGTGCGTACCAATTTGGCAACAACACTCTCTCAATTGTGACCAAAAGAGTTTCTCCATTCCGACCATGTTTATTTTTTTCTGTTACTGTGAAATCGTCCGTGGCTCGAACAAATGACAAATTCAATTACATTAAGTCTGCAATCCTTTCCAGCATCTATGTTGCCTCTGCCCAGCCATAGATAATAGCTTCCACCCGGCATCTTGGCCATCCCAATCCGTCCCATTTCCCACCTCCGTCATCAGCACTTAACAGTTCATTTCGTTCGGTTCGCATATTTTCCTTTCCTTTTGGTCTCAGTCCGGGTATTTTGCACTCTTCTCCCAGTCCAAACCGCTGGCGTCCCGGTTGTTATTTGAAAATTAACTTGGCTTGCGCAAGCCTCCCCCGGGGCCAGAACAAATCGACCAGTGGCCACCCCTTCGCCTGGGGCCGGGTGTCCGTTCCTCTAACAGTTCGTCCATCCACCCACTCATACACAGACACCGGCAAACAGAGAATTTCATCACTTAAGTCAACAAGCGTAACCCAAGCGCCTCTTTTCCATATAGCCACCATATAGCTCCCGACCATCTGCCCCAACCAACTGAGCCGCACCATTAGCAAACATTTAAATAAACTCGCTGCTGCCCCATAACAAAAGGGGGAAATGCGAAGAGTGAAAAAAAACGGTGGAAATTTAGAGTCGCTCATACCCGTTCGATCGACATTAATGACCATGCACGTCAGGAACGGATGGACAACCCCATCTTCACGAGAAGCGGAGCTACTTTGCGGTTTATTACGCGCACTTTGCATAATTGAGAACGGCCGCCGCAAAAAATTATTTTCATCTTATTTTTTTTTTTCGGCAACTTTTCCGGACATCAATTTCCACGATGCGCCGAACGGACCATCAATAATTCAAGAAGACACTCGAAAATTCCCTTTTTACCATGGGCCAAGGTCCGCACGCCTTGATTATGAATTCATGTGCATGCATCCATCCTCAATCACTGGCCTCGCCGCCTTGCGGTGTTGATTTTGCGTAATTTGCGCCGAATTAAAAGGCTATCAGTGCTCCGAAAAATCTTGTTGGCAACCGAGGAGTGGAGTGTCTCGTCTCTTCGAGGACCACTTGTCGTATTTATATTCATTAAAGATTCATTGCCGCGAATGATTTTAAATGTGCCCGGCTTGTTTGTCCACAGCTTGTCATGGATTTTTATGGAAATAGCATCTGGGAAAAGGCCAGACGATAACATCATTTAGACAGGAGGACATAGCGCACCTCCTCCAGCTCCCTTGCTGTCTATATTTGTGTTCTTATGTCTACTGGGCCACAAATTAAAAATTTATGGAAGGCACGCATAAGGCATCTTTGACTCTCGAATATCGACAGTGAAGATGAAAAGGTAGTCTAGATTCCGATGATAGTTTCCCCCAGGACGAGTCCAGGCTACTAATCTGTTAGGTTGTGATGTGCACCTGGCCAAAAGAAATATCTTTTGTGTCTGGCTGCTCCTTGGAGTTTCGCATAACTCATCATTTGCTCGCCCAGATTGTCAAACTTTTTTGCAAAACTTTTGAATGAAAAAATATCCAATTGCAATGTACCGGGGTGAATCCTTTTCTGTGCAATTGAATGGCAAACAATATCTGATGTTGCTTGTGCTACAGGTAGCTATAAAGGACATTGATTGGGTATGGGCTTGAGTCCTAAGTCCAAGTCCAAGGAGCTTCCTTCTTGGGGGCAGCTGCTTGGACTTTGCTTTAAGTAAAATTAATTCAGTGCTAGGTCCTCGCTATATCCATATGCCATATGGCCAGGACACTCCACCGGAACCATAAATGCATGTTTGTGAGTGTTTTGTATGTCTGGAGGGTGTATTCTGGATGAGGGTGAGAGGAGAGTTGGAGTGTGGTGTGTGTGCTTTCCTACGGTTTAATTTTGCTGTTATTGACTGCCCCAAGCGGTGAAAGGGGTTTCCGGAACAGTATTTTTATACCCTATCAAAGGGTTGTTCTGTAATTTGATATAGGCGGAGTTTGTTGGCGAAACATTCGGATTTTGGTACTTGCTTCCATCGACCGCTTTATTAACTGATTTTAGAGAGTAGATCTTTAACTTAAGTTAATATTTCGCACAATGTTAAGTTAAACAAATTAAAAGAATGCGATTTCAACCTTACCATATTCACCCACAAGGGTATTCCAGATTTCGTTATTGCAAATTAGAGCTTTTTTCTTGTTCTTGCTGGCGCCGCTGTTGTTGGTCCTGCGGTTATGGGTTACAGGGCCGGGATTGCTTGTTCTGCTGCTTCCTTCCTGACTTCCTTCCTGACTTGTTGGCAGCAAGGAGTTGGGGATGACTCGCTCGATCCTTTAGCTCCCTGCTTCCGTATTTGCTCGCCTGTTTTTGCGGTTAACTTGGTCTGTGGAAGGCAGGCAGTCAGTTAAGGCCCAAGCCGGCTGGCATTGAAGTTAGCATACAAGACAAACAAGCTGGCGGCGCTTTTCGCTTTTTAGCTACATTTTTAGCCCAGCCATCCCCTCCACCCGCCACCCGCTCTCCACTCCCTTGCAGTCCGCCAAATGGTATTAATTTCATTGCATAGACTAATTTGTGTACTTAAACTTTGCTAAAAGTTGCAATCAACGTGAATTGCAAATGGCAATTGCAGACTGGCAGTTGGAAGCTTAAAACTGTCAAGTGGCCAAACGTTGAAGCGGGGCAACAAAGCCAGTTTGTACTTCGGCTTTTAGCCAGCCAACTAACCTTCTGAACTTCCTGTCAATTGCCTTCAATTCATTCTAATTGACTTTTAAGGGACTTTAAAGTCATCAAAGGAGCGACTGCCTTGGCTCTTCTTAATCGCCGTTTAACGAGGCCGCCCGACTACCCCCTAACTACACTCGTTATACTCGCTCCACGAATGGGAGTATAATAAGCCCCTGACACCCAACTTTACCCCCAATCTCTCAGCCCTTTCACCACTCCGGCCCAGGCTTCTTATTTTGCCCTGTGGCTTCTTGTGGCGCGTAATGCTTCTTTTGTGCTTAAATCTGGTTGCCAGGCACGGGGCAGACGACACGTATTAAATGAGCTGCAAACGCACAGGAAAAGCTAAAAGAAACACCTGCCTGTTGGCCCCACTTCAAACTCCTCTGCCTTCGCCTTTGCCTCCTCAAAATCCAAAGTCTTGCGCAGATTGTTTGTCGCACCAAGAAAGCTGGTAAGGAAGCTGAGGACCAAGGCTTCAAAGAGCAAATGCCAGGAACCCGGAGCCAGGGGGGCTAAAATGATTGGGAAGGGGTTTAGGTCGGTTACAGTAGCGCGCCTCAAGTAGCCGCCTTCGTCTCCGCTTTCGCCCTGCTGTTTACACGCTTGTTACGCTAACAAACATAGAGAATATATATATATATATATTTATATATATAGGATTGGTAGAGGTACCATATAACATATATATTCGCCTGCCATTGTTGCCATTGCTTCTCGGTCTGTAAAGGTGGCCACGGTGTCGGCGGGTTAGCCTCAACGTCAACGGCATTGGCAACCATGGTGAAGAGGTCCCGGAAAACTGGGAATAAGGGAATGGGCTGGCATTTTCCTTTCGCTTTGCACTCCTTTGGCTGTTTTCGTGTTGATTGAGATCATGTTACGCAAAGTATAATTGCGTCAAGTTTGTTTTTCTGCCATAACTTTTGTCCAACCGCGCGGGCGGCGACCCCCATCAACAGAAGTGGCTCGAAAATAAAGGGACGGGGAGGAGGGGTGGGTAGGTCTTTGATGGGTGGCAACTAGGGCGAGCGGCAGGGCGTATCCTTGTTGGTTGGGTGTTGTTCAAAGGTGCAGTTGATGAGTGCTCATAACGAGGCAAAATCGCTTCATTGTTGTGTGTGTTTGTGCTCTGTTTGTTTCAGTTTCAGCTTGTTTTGTTTGTTAACATGGCGTATGCGCAACGTGCCTTTGTCTACTGTTTGCATATGCGACATCTCTGTTCCAATTTATGCATGAAAATGGGTCGTTTTCACGCATTTAACAAAGAGAGACAGAAGGAGAGCGAGAGGAGAGTAGTGTTTGCAGGACAAATACTTCACTTTTTGTGATATTTCAATTAAGTTTCGAGTTGCATTCATTCACCGCGATAGCCCGCCTTTGAATTTCTCCCGCTTGAATCGACCCCATTGATACACCTTTTGCATCAGGCGGAATTGATACTGCTATTAACCCTGCAGCACTCGGTACTAGTGCCAAAGATATGCAATCCCATCTATGCAAATGCTATTAAAAGCAACCATACCATCAGAAGAGCTTACAAGCTCATTGAGCACTTTAACTATTACGAATCCCCCCATATGCATACATAGCTGCTTCTCCTCATCCCGCTCATCTTCCTTCGCATTCTCCCTTTCTGTTTACCTGCAACAAATAAACACTTATGACGCAGATCGGATCATCGTTGCTGGAGGAACTGACACGACCAACAGCACCGTTTCACACTTGCCATCAGGTTGAGCTGTGGTGCTTACTTAACCACGCTCAGACTCAGACTCCTCCTACTTCTCGTACTCATACTCAGAACCAGACACATGCAACAGTTGTCCTATTTGCCATCCTACCTCCGCCCTTGCCCCAACCATTTCCGCTCTCGGTTCGAAGGATATGAAAGCCAACAGTATTTGCCTGGCGCACATCCGTCCTGCCACATCGCACACTGGTCTATGTTGACTGGAAACTGATTGAGCCATTGCAGTGAAAGAGTTGTACGAGAATAGGGATTCACAATTCTTGGAGGGAATAAAGGTACTTGGACTTAATACATTGTTTTGAGATTTGTTTTTCTCAAATGGGAATATCTGGTAAATATAAGGAGTTTGGCTAAACCCTTTTGCAGGTGTATTACAGGTAGATTGTTTTATCAGTAAAAGCAAGATTGCTGCAAAGATTGTAATTAAGTTTTATAAGTTACCTAAAAGTAAGTTTAAACTAAATATCTTTCACATCTTAATAGTTACTACAGAAAGGGTTAAAGGTTAAGGTCTTATAGAAAAGTTAGGAGTTTAAAGGGTCATCCACAAAAGGAATCTTGAAGTGTCCTTATGAGAATACTTCACAATAACATGAATAAAATGAATGACAATAAGAAGGATACGATGATGTCAGTGCACTGTGCCACCGCAGGCAATGCAAGTGGGTTGATGAGGAGCTGCGACAGAGAAAGGGTAAGGAGTATTAGCAAAGGAAAGGGAAAGGAACGGAAGCGGGGACACAAGGCGTTGCTGCTTGTCAACGCTACGCTACATTAGGAAAGCGAATGGAACGGAAACGAACGGGCGATAAGTGTTGTCTACGTGTCTGCAGCCCGCACTTCCTTTTCCCGGCATTCGAGGATTCGGGTCCTCTGTGGTGTTGTATAGCCATGTGGCCATGTGTCAGAGCGGCGGAGGGAAATTGAGGAAATTGCTAGCAAGCGTTTGGCGGGGATATGTCCATAATGCTCAATGCTCCTCTGCTTGCGCAATGCCCTGGAAAGGCTTGCTAAATAAGAGTCGTGTGTCTTCATTTGTCGCTGTTGATATTGATGGTCGATAGTTCTGGGTTACTCTGTCTGTCTATCTGTCGGTCTATGTATTTGTGCGTGTGTGTGTGTGTGTGCACACAATCAACTCGAATTAAATTCAATAACATAACTCAATCATGGCCATGCCCACATGCCCCCAAAACCCTATCCGTATCCCGATTCCGATATGGATCCAATCCCCCTCGTTCCTGATGGCTGTAAAAATAAACTAAAGTTGAATTCCGCTGGCCACGCCAAAAGGTCTTCTGTCCGGTTGTCAAGCTGTTTGTCCGCTCGTCCATTGCTTATCAATGAGTCGCCTTCGTTGTCATTATTGTTGCTTCTGTTTGTTGTTATTGTTGTTATGGCCATCCATTGTGTTTTTTATTTGTTGTCTTTGGCCAGCAACAATTCAGCTAACAGGGCCAGCAATTATTTATATTATTAAATCCTCTTGAGTGTTTTTTCAGCCAGCCTTCCTCCTTCCTTCGGCCATTGTTGTTTCCGTTTCTAGCCATCGCCTCTGTTGTCTTGGCAGTTTGATATTTGTCCGCCTCGGCTACTGTTACTTGTTACTCTTATGTCATGGCCCGTGCTTCCCAGGGCCGTTCCTCCATCCACCACATGTCTGACCCATTTCTCCGCAGCTTATTCTCAGCCCATCGAAAAAAAAAAACAAAAAAACAGAATGGCAGCTTCAAGGAGGTGGCGGAAAAATAGAAAAATAGAAACCAATATGTTTTCGCTTTTTATTTTTGTCAGCTAAATACATTTTTGTGGAATGGTAATCACGCTCCAAAAACATCAACCCCGTCGATCGTTGATATTTGATGTGGGTTCCGAAGCCACAGACACGATTTGTAGCAACTTTAAAACAGATTGTAGAGCTGTTTCTTTTATGTAAACTGTTTCTGTTCAATACCAAGATTGGTTCTCGATTTCCTTAAGTGCTTGACACTTTGGTCACAACTTAAGTGGGGTAAATGTTTTTTTAGTTAGCGTCAGATAAAGTAATATGCCGTTTCCACTTTACATAGCAACCCTAGATTGTGCCCTTGTCTATATTATTTTATCACTATTTTAATTTAATTCTTTACCAAGAATATAGATATAATCATAATCATCAGCCTTAAAGTAATTACCTTTTCCCAAATCATTGACTGTAAAAGGACTCTAGCATCCTATCCCGGTGTCAATTGTTTTTGAACCTGGCGCTAACCTTTTTTGTTTGTTCACTTGCAGATTCTTCTATCTGTACCATTTTGCCTTCTATGCGTATCACTATCGCTTCAGTGGACAGTACAGGACGCTGGCGCTGCTCTCGTCGTACCTGTTCATCCAGGTGGGTATACACGTAGCCGCATGGCGTAACCATGGCGAGTAATGAATGCGTTATGCAACGCCGCTGCGACAATGATGGAAACGAACTCTGGCCATGTTTACGCCTGTCAAGTGCATGACAAATTGCCATTCTCCATTCTCCGGTTTTGGCATTGTGGCATTGTTTCCAGCCGGGCAGAGGCTCACGTGCAGACCGATTCGTGGCTCACGTGCCCGGCGACCGTGGCATAACCTCTCATCCTATCTGCTCCATATATCTGTCTGAGACTGACTCTCTTACTCTCGATTTTCCAGCACTCAATGGTATTCTTCTTTCACCGGTACGAGTTGCCAGCCATCATGGCCCAGCACCAGGTCTTCATCATCACACGCAATCAGGGGGCAGCTGGTGCTGCAGCTGCAGCGGGAGGAGCTGCGGCAGCAGGAGGTGCTGGTGGCGCTGCCGCTGGAGAAGAGGCAAGAGCTGGAGCTGGAGGAGGAGAAGCTGTTGGCCAGCAGGCGTCCATGCAACGTGCCCGTCTCATAGTCACTCGTCTCTTCAGCCAACTTGCAGCACAACGCCAGGGGCAACAGCAACATCAGCAGCAGCAACAACAACATCAAGAGCAACAGCGACAGCCTGGGCCCACTGCCGCCGTGGGCGTGGCCTTGGCCAATCTGAGAAGACTGCCTGTGGTGGGACAGTGGTTGCAGGGCCGCGAGCAATTCGCCACCGTCCGCCGAGTCTTTCTGGGACACGGCGGAAACGCACGCCTGATGCAGGTGCGTCTGCAGCGTATTAACGTGGCCGATATACCTGGCTTGCGCAATCAGGTGGCAGCCGCCATGGCAGCAGCCGGAGCTGTCCAAAGGGGCGAGGCGGTGGCACATGATGAACCCACCAGCGGCAATGTTGCAACTACAGAAGCATCAGCAGCAGCAACATCGACCACGACAGCAACGCCAACAGCAACAGCAACAAACGAAGCAGCAGGTAAGCTTTGGCGACATTCCCTCGCCTTAATTGAGTGGGGCCAGCACACTTCATTGCCTTTCGCATTGAGGGCTTAAACTCTTAACTTTTGCGGCCACCATTTGCATACCCTTTCAGTGGGCATAATACTCGCATCAAAGGATATTTTTTCAAAGAAATATATGATTTTATAAGCCGTCAGTATTCGCATTTTAATTGCATCTGTTCGTTGAATGAACTAATTGAGTTATAAAATGTTATTATTAGCATTATCAGCTTGTTTTTAGGTGGAAAAGTAAAATTTATTAAAATCCAGTCTTTGAGTAATTAGCTAAAAGTAGGTTATCATAATTGAATCTTAACTATTCACATTACTACATAGTGCAAGCTTAAATTTAAAGAATATTTTAACTTCGTCTAGTAGTATTGTAAGCCAGCATTTTTTCCGTTGCCAGACCAGTTTTGGTTGCCACGAAGAGTCCTTTTTGGCTGTGTGTGAAATCGTTTGGAAGATAAATTCAAATTTGAATTCCACTCGACAAACGGGAAATCCCTTTCGCCCCCGGACGCGCGTGTGTGAGTTGGTAACAACCAAACATGCAATACAAATAAGCAAATAACGGATTCAGTGGCAATAAATGCCAACTGTAGAGGATTGGCTTGGTGATGGAGGTAGTAAAACCGGGATCCAAGGAACCCTCAATTTTTGAAGAACATTCAATAGCCATAGGGAGAGAGAGAGAGAGTAAGAGCACCAAAGCTGCTCTTAACGTCTGTCTTTCTGTCTGTCTGTATACAATAATCGTAATATGCATGAAATTATTTCTCAATTCGCAGGAAAATATTCACTGTAAATGTTTCGCTTGTCATTTCCTGTTTTATTTTCACTCTGCCTTCAAATTCTCTGCATATTTCAGATGTCGAAACAAATCAGGGACGCAAACAGCCAACAACATCGGGCATAAATGATGCAGTAGCAACGGGAGCGGAAGCAGCTCAAGACAAGAGCGTTCAAGAGGTGGAGATTGGGCGTCCGGAGAAGCAGGAAAAACAACTGGATGAGGGGCCAGAAGCAAGCATGTCCAAGACGCTGGAAAATCTAAATTCCGTTGCGGCGGATATTATAAATATGTCGGATGAAACTACTGTTGCAGCAACGCCCTCAATGGACGGCACTCAACAGCCACATCAGACCCTGATCCACACCCACGTCGGTGTCCATCAGACCCAGCCAAAGGCGAGGCAATTAGAAAATAATTTGCCAGAGTTGCTGAAAGCTGAGGGGGCATCCGCAGCAGCAATGGCATCAGGTGAAAAGCAAAGCTGCCCACTACAAGCTCACAGCATTATGAATGACCAGCAGCAGCAGCAGAGGCAGAAAAACAAACCGGACGAGCCCGCGACAGCAGAAGCAGGAGCAGCAACATCAGCAGTTGCCACGTCAAAACAATCCTCTGAGCCAGGAGCAACAGAGGTAGGAGCGAGAGGAGCTGGAGAGGGACCGCCAGCAGCCAGGCCAATGATGGATGACAGGCAAACAGTTGATTTTATAGAAGGCGACAGCCCAACGTCAGCAGCAAATTGCCAACTCAATGCTGGCACAAACCACAAGGCACAGGAGCAGCAGCTAATGAAAACTTCACAACATACATCAAACCAAGTGACAACGGCAGCAGTAGAAACAGCAACAACAACAACTGGAACAGGAAAAGGAACAGGAACAGGAGAAACATCAGCAGAATAAGCAAGGCATTAGTGGCGAGCCCCCGAAAACCAAACCCAACCATCCCGAAAATAGCTACCCACATAACAAGATGCTATACATAAAAGAGCTAGTAAATTTTAGATAATTTGTCTGGTGTACTTATGTCCGGAGATCAACCACGACTCACGACGCCCCTCTCCGATTCGAATGTGAGCGTGTAAATGTGTGTGTGCGTGTGTGTGTCTGTAAGGGTCTGGATGGATGGGTAGATATGGGTATTCTGAGTGGGGTAAAACGAGTGTGTGAGTGTGTGAGAACGTGTTTGAGCTCCGACTAAAAACGAGTAACGGGAACGCGTAGTTGACCTGCTTGCACCTGCAAGGAAAAGTCAGGATATACATATATACATATTAATAATGTTGCACGCCTTTTTAATTAGCCAAATACGTGAGAAGCCGCAACGCATGTACGGAGAAATATACCACAAGCTAGTCGCTTTTTAAACTTTCCTTCTTTTTTTACCCATCTTTTGTTTGCCCCGCTTATTGAGAAAAATGCGTTGAACATTTTTAATTAACTTTCGAGCTGCCTTTAACCCACGACGAATCCCGAGCTCACCCTCGAACCCCAACACCAACCAAACGGACGGACAAACAGCCGTAAGCCCTTCCGGCCGATAACCATGCCTATGCCAAACACTGCTGCTGTTAGCCCAAGCTCTTTGCTTTAACTTTATGAAATACCATAAAATTGTCAACTGTAATATATTTTGTTTGTTTGTTAAAACATCATTAAAAACCGCAAGAAAAGGCATCACAAAAACAACACTGTGAATATTCATGAAAAAAGAAGATATCGTTGAATGTTTGACACATATATACACATAGTTTGCAATATTATAACTGTGAAGTTATTTTATTTGTAATTTTATTGTTTTTCGATTGCTTTTAAGTTAATACCTACTTTGTACATGGTTTATTTGATTGTAACTCCAATCTATAATACAAGATTGAGTGAGTGTGGCGACATGTTTGTAGAACTAGCTATTCAATAAGCAATGGAGGTCGGATTATCGAAGTTCGAAAACGGTTTATAATTCTTAACTTTATACACTAAACTAATACTAGTAGCTATGACTATTTGCTATTGCTAAAAACAAAATGTTATTTCTAAATGTGTATAAATATATACCACATAAATCAAGTATACGTACGTTTTTTTTTTATATTCTGCGGGGTGAACATCTCCAGCTGGACGTTGTTTTTGGGTCTAATGAATCCGAAAATGGTTATGTAATTTACATAAATGTTAATAGCCCTCGCTGGCAATTTAATTTGACTGGAACACAAACAAATTATGCTTCATCAGAAGTTGATGCCTGTTTTGCATATTTCTGTCTTATAAACAAACTGAGCGAAACCAATTCGTGGTAGTCGTACGATGGATATTTCTAGGATAAGGATTTTACGGCGAACAATTCTGGGGATCAAATTTTACACAGAGATTGCTCGGTTGAGTGGTAACAGCACTATTTTGAAAAAGAACATTCATTTTACAATTTCAGTCTTTTATGAGTTTTTGAGGCACGTGCCAGATGCCCCATCTAGCTTTACTTTTAATTTCTGTACGCTTTACTATGATTTAGAGTTTAGATTATGTCACTTCATGTAGGCCAAACTCAATTTTAAGTGGACGGCAGCTGGATATGAGTATACATTTAACTATAAAGATTCGCCTGAATGTGAAAATCCTAACCAAAACGATCCATAGCCATTGGAATGTTCCTTCGCGCACTCTGCCAAAAGTTTCGCCACAAAAAATGTGTAAATAAAACAATGCAAATTGTCTGAAGAGCATCTTCCTTCGACGGCTGTTCCTGGTGGATGTTACTCCTATTGACGTTACTGCTGCTCCTGGTCGTGGCAACTTGTGCTGTCACAGCGCATATCTTCCAGTTCGCTGATGTGAGCAAGCCAAGTATCTTACAATAATAAACAGCGGGTCGTGTTGTGTCGTATGTGCCGACACTGAGCGACTTCAGACAGGAGCAGGGACATCATGGCGACGATGACGGAGTGTTGGCGTTCCGGGCCAGACAGCCGTGACAGCCGGAGAATTCCATTCGGTTCGGCGGGGGAGATGGATAAGAGGGATATGGAGCGATCCCATCAAGAAATGCCGATGGGTCGTTGTTGGGAGACGGGGGAAGGAGAAAAAAACATACATATTTATTATGTCGCAAGTACTCGACTGCCTATATGAGCAACGTGAGCTTCCTTTGATTAACATCTTTATCAATATTTTCTTATTATTTGCTCATTTCATCCGGCAGGAGCAGAAGCAGAGGCCGGAGCAGCCAAGAACTTTTCAATAAAGACAACCCCACAAAAAAGCTGGCAACTGACAGCAAAAAAAAAAAAATAAATAAACAAATCATTTGCATCTCATTAATGCAAATCACACATACATATATACATACATAGCTCCCTCCGCGTGTGGGTGTGTTTTATGTTTTAAAAGGCTTGTCAAATCCCATTCCCCTTCCACAAGCCTGGAGAGCCACCCTCGCGGCAGTATCTTTTTTCAACCACCCCAACCCCTTTTATCCTTCCGGAAAACCCCCGAGGATGCTGTTAATCAGAAGTCAAACAAAGTGTTGCCTACTTTCCAGCTGTGATTACAGGCACAACATTTTAATTGGGTATTTATATTTCCTTAGCAAATATTTCCTCAAGGCTTTCGACAAAAATAAAGGCCCAAGTTAATAACTAACATATCTACATACACACTAATTTACTAGTTTTTGTAAGGACCTGCGGTGAATGTTATATTTGGGAATTGTAATTAAAATTTTAATAACTACAACTGACAGTTCAAAGTAATAAACCTGTGCTTTGTTTTGCCTTTGTACTCGTATTCAATTATTTGGCGCCTTTTGTGTGAATCTGCTAATAGGAAAAATTCTTTATATTGATTATTGTTCACTTTGATAGCATTGAATTCACAAATTCTTTCAATGCCATTCAATTAACTCAAATCGAAATCAATTGCTCTGGCACATATACATATATTGGCATATGTATTCAGTATAAAAATTATAAAAAAAAACACAGAAATATTTATTAAATATAAAAGGAAACTTTACGCTGCTAAGTCTAAAACCTAAATCAACCTTATTTTTCCTGCAAAAAGTAAGAAACGTAAAACTCCTAGACAAGGAAATGAGAATCCATTTCTCTCTATAATTTCTCATTAAATGTAAATAAAACGGATTAAATGTTAATTATTTTAAGATTTTCCCTAATTTGTGGTTTGAAGATATTGCGTTAAAGGTCTATTAAAAAATTACTAAATAACTAAACAGCTAAAATGTTAAAAAACACCATAATAATAAATCGACTTTCCAACTATGATGACAGACGTAACTAGTAACGACAAAACCATAATTTAGTATGTAAAAAAATCTATTTAACCTAAAAAACACACATCTCTAAGTTAGTTTCTCGATTTATTTTTATAATCCATTAGAACCTCCAGATTAGGCCAGATTAAAAAACTTTATGGTATTACCTGTTTTTCCAGTTAAATTAACTAGTAACTGCAGTTTTTTTATAGCTTTCAGTGGCTTGGTTTGATTGCTGAACAAATCTCGGTGAACTACGTGTATTCTCAAGCAATAACATTGGATATCAGGTTATCGCTACGAGTATACACGTGGCCATTGGAGATTGCCGTCGACCATTTAATCCACTTGGCGGTTAACTGGGATAACTAAGATCTGGCACTTTCACTCACTTCGTTTGGTAATCGGATCCGGTCACTTTGCGGCAGATTCCATTTAATTTTCATCTACTTACCAAAAGGTAACGCCGTCCCAGGTGTCTGAGAATGGGTTCCATTTCTAGGTTTTGTGTTACCCACCGGATGCGCCTAATAATGCCAAGCCGCAAAATTAATTGCACTATAATTTGTAATTAAGTTACCGGGCAAACACGAAACTATGCGTGGTGGAATGTCCTCGAAAGGGAAAGAGAAAGGGTTCGCTTCTTGGCTGGCTAATAAAACCGAAGGAATATCGCTGTCCTATCGTTGTAGCCGTGGTAGTGGTGATGGTGGTGACCCACCACTTTCCATCCTGCCATAACTGTACATGTAACTACGTTGTTTCACCGTAATTAATTAATTACATTACACAAACTTGCCGTCATCGGTGCTTGGCTGGCAGTGTGTTTGTGTGCTTTTTGTGTTTTGTGTTGTTGCCTTTGTTGCAACTGCAAAAGGTTGTAATGGACCACCCACGTGGCAGCCCACAAACGAGCATCACTTTCAATGAAATTAGCTTGTTTCGCAATCGTTCTTGCCACCTTCCCCTTGCCCCGTGCCCCTAGCACTTCCTTCGGTCGTCGTCTTCACTTTTTGCTCTGGCAATTATTTTGCAATTTGGTGGCAGGCAAAGCCAATCAACTACTTTGGCAACTTTAGAGCGCAAAATGCAAAATGTAAATAAAATTAAGTCCCAGGTCCATGAGACCGGCGTACTAAAACTTCATAAAAATGCATTAAAAGTTGGTGCGAGTTGGATGTTTTTTTTTTCTGTTCGAAGCCAGGTAAAGTTGAGTTAATAAGCTGACAGATTTCCCTCGAAGCTTATAACATTATTCACCATTTAAGTCTAATATTACACATTTTTCTGGCTTTAATTGTGTTGGAAATACTAATAGGATGAGAGGGAAGCTGGAGAAGGGATCGAGATGAAGCTGGTGGAATGGCTGGGTCAAATGCGTAGGAAAACGGAAAAATCAACAAATATCAAATTTACTGTGTGCTGGCATTGCTGCGGGGCATTGGTGTTCTCTGATGTTGCTGCTGTCTTCGTGTTGCTCCTTGTTGTGCTCTTGCTTTTGCTCCTGTTGTTGTTGTTGTTGTTGTTGTTGCTGTTGCTCCTGCCACACAGACAGAGAAATAAATCGCGCATAATACCGCATACCAGAGCAACAGCACGAAGTATTTGCACTGCGTGACAAACAATTTGTGCCAACATTGACAGCAGCGCATCCGCTTCCGTACCGCCCACATTGCTATTGCCCTCCATCGAATGGAGAGGACTGCAAGTGGACCCCGAGGAGGAAATGCCGCCTTATTCTTGCCACTGTCGTCCCTGTTGTGTAAATATAAATATTTTCATTCCGCTTTCATTTCTTTTGCCTCGCCGCCAGTGTTAATTGAAAAATCATTTGCTGAACTTAATTAAGCAATGTCCTGGCATTCAGGACCACTGCAGGGATAAATAACATTGGAAATGCATTTCCAGGGTTATTATTTTTGATTTGTAATCAAATTTCCCGCTGGACATGGCATTAGATGTGGCGGCCACCAACCACACCAACATCATGATAATATAACTCGAAGGATATACGTCAATCCAGATCGATATGCGGCGGAATAATGGAGGCCATGATAGAAACAGCAGCGCATAGATGCTGCTGCTAATGTGACACATGATTTCATTCCAAATTTATTTATGCAAACAAAAATTGCTGCCCCAACAATAACAGTGCCAGCAACAACAACAACAATAGCAACAACAAAGAATGGATGAAAAATGTTGTAAAAGTAAACAAAGTATGTGGAAGAAAAAAAAGGAAAAGAAAGGAACTTTGATTTTGTTTGGTTGGGATTTTCAGGATACGGGTTTTTTTAGGATTTCGGAAAATGCGTATATACATACGCATGTCAAGGGTGAATTTTTGATCATTTCTTAAAATATTTGCCCGTGTCGATAGTTGCCCCATTCGAAAGGAATTCCACTCAAGTTTATAGGGAGGTATAGGAAGAGTAGAGCCATATATACTCGTAAAGAGCCATGAGGATTCGACATTTGTGTGCATTTTTTAATGGCAAATTGAAATCACAGCACAGACAGTAAAGGGGATTAAGTTTAAAGCTTTGTCTGGTTCTGTCTAGAGGGTGTTGTTAATTAAAACTCCATTCAGTTTGCCACCAGACTCGCCCACAGTTTTCCACCTCCTCCTACCAAGCTTTCACTGTTATCTTTTGGCTTTTTTTGTTGCAACTGACTGGCTTTTTGTTTGTGTTTTCTTTTTTTTTTGGTAGGGTGAAGCAACTACAGAGTAAATGAATAATTTGTTGACACTTTGCACCCACTTAATCAAGAGTTTGTTCTTCCAGCTCGACTCTTTTTTAAT